GAGGATCTTGGCATCGAGTGAGTCGTGGACGATAAGCGGTTAGATAAGGTTCTTGGTACGGAGGACAAGGGATAAACTACGCCGAGTCTCCGGCGGCCGCGGGAGGAGCCGTGCTAAACCCGGGTAGAGACGAAGAGTGGAGTAGACGCTCATGATGCTTCGCCTCAAAGGAACAGAGCATGGCAATTTTAGATTGGGGTCCATTATTTGTTGTATGATTCTAATAATGCACTGGGCATGAGACCTGCTTCTTATTTTGGGCTCTTGCTGTGGGCTCTTGACGTGGGCTCTTGGCGTTGGCTGCAATTATTGCTTCGGGCTTAGACAGTTAAGCTTGAGGCTTCAAGTTGACCAGAGCTTTATCAAAGATCAGGTCCTCAAGCTATCTAAAGTGTTATTCAGAGTGTAGCTTTGAGTTGATAGACAGGAAAGCTGGTGCTTGTATCGCGCTCCTATGCCAATAGGTGTTTCCATGGGAAATCGAGCAAGGAGCCGGCCTGTCCACCGTGATATTTGCATAACCTAATCTCACCAACGCGGCATGGCTCAGCCCATCCTCGTCAAACCGCCCTACCAGCGCTGCCCCGACCCCAAATCCTCCTCTAGAATCGGCAGATGAAACGCGAGTGCAGATCCTTCATCTAGGAAACAATCCACTAACCGTATTAGGTCATCGAAAAACTCACGATGCGCCCAGATTAGCTTCACCTCGAGACTTGGCATAAGCCGCAAGGGCCGCCCGACAGAGCCAGCGCCAAGAGTACATTAAGTCAGCCGATTTCAAGCATGATTCAGTTATCGGCAGTTATTCCAGACTTGCAGGAAGACGTTTTCCGTGGCTTGTGGTGGCGGAGCTTGTGTGTAGGGTTACAATGGAAGACTTGGCGTAATTTATTCGATTGGTCCATTCATGGGAACTTTTTCAGCTCTCGCATTCTTGCCTAGGATGTAAATGCTATGGAATACGACCGAATTCCTTCGGAATGCTACCCTCCACTGCATTGAATACCTTTCGCCCCCAACAATTTTCATCACCAGCGTTTACTTCGCCGCCGGAGGCGCGGGCATTGCGTATGTAAATGACAGCAAAGTCTTTGGTTCCTGCTTGCGAAGGTATTCCTCGAAGCTATCCGTCTTGACAGGTTTGCTCAACTGCTCTGGTGTGATAGCCCCTTCGATGCCCTCCACGTATCCATGCTCATCGAGGTAAGCTGCTCCGTCAAGAACCTCGTAAGGCAGACCAGTCTTCTTATGCATTTCCTCCTCCGTCAGTGACTGGAAGACAGCTTTCTGGCCGGTGACTCTGCTCCAGGTTTCCATGATCTCGAGGATATTCAGGTCACTGTCATAAGCGAGAAGCTTTGTTCCAACGGGTTCATTCTCAACAAGAGCTCGGACGAAAGATCCTGCAGAGCCTTCGATATCAATGATAGGCAACCTAAGATTCTTGGAAGCTGGCACCGCGAGTACATACTCGCCCGTCTCAGCATCTTTCTTGGGGTACAAGAAAGCGTTTGTAGCGTAGGCAGCCATGTAGACATATGACGTCTTCTTAGCCAGTTCAGGCATCTCGTTCTCAATGTACTTGACAGCCGCAGCTTTCGTCTCCCAGTGATGACAATGGGAGTACTTGCCCTTCGAAACATCCTTCATAGGACCAAGAGCAGAGTAAATGTACTTCTCAAGAGTAGATGTGTTGGAAGCAGCATAAGCCGCATTCTTGACATGTCGCTCCTCGGTATCGTAACCGATTTGCTGAGCTGTGGCCTGGTCTTTGCCTTCAGCGAGAGCAGTCCGGTAAGGAGCCCAGAAGTCAGTGTTGATAAAGATTGCGTGAGCGCCTTCGAAGGCTTTGATGAGAGACTCTGGATCATTCATGTCTGCTTCGACGACCTCGGCTCCGAGGCTCTGAAGGGCTTGGGCTTTGGCGGAGGTTGAGCTGCGAGTGATGGCTTTGACGTGCCAGTTGGGTTGGGAGATGAATGCTCTCACGACTGAGCCTCCTTGGGTGCCTGTGGCGCCGACGACAGCGATGGTCTTGGTAGACATAGTAAGAGTGTATGGTGAAGAAGATGGTGTTGAGTTGGTCAATGATGAAGTGATGGAGATGGGTTTGGCATAGGTGCTACTATGGTACTTATAGTACTCGACATTGCAGCGTTAATATTGACTTCTCTATTTCCTCGTTCCGTATTCATTATCGTCTTTGGTATGCAATCGGTGAATGGAGCCAGGACCGTAAGCCACTGCTGCTTACTGGCGTAGCAGCTTTTGATTGGCTGAAAAACCGTAAGCCAAATTCGCCCCCACGGACTTCGGACTTAGCATCGTCTCATTGCGTCAGAACAACCAACAACTCGAATCTGACATGCTTCAATGAGACAATTATGCCCAACCACGTCCATCTTCAAGCCATGAGCGATACAATGAAAGACAGTTCGGCCAATGAGAATGACACAGTCTCTCGAAAGCGGACGAGTAGCAGGGATAGTGACGCTCCACCAGCGAAGCGTCGCGTTCTTACTACCGCGCGGAGAGAGCAGAATCGCCAGGCGCAAAAAGCATATCGTATGTTGCGTTTCTATACGTATAATAGTTGTAACTGACAAGATCGTGTAGGAGAGCGACAGAAACAAGAGAGGATACAACTGAAGCAGGAAAGGGCTCAAGCGAAAGCTACTTGCGGACAGCGCCTGAGACCTCTTCTAAAACGAGAGGATCTTTCACCAGTAGACTCTTCTGAGCAGCAGAGCTCAATCGAGGAGATATCCTTGTGCGATGAGAGTCTCTTGGAACCCGTCGAAACTTCTGCCAAAAAGCTTGAACCCAAATTTCCGGATCTTTACATGAACATGCTTCAATTCTCACCAGCAGCCATCTTCACATCATGCCTCACCAACGCGCTCTCCCTCGGCCTCGACCCATCCGTCATCGCAAACTGCAGTGTGGAACACATATCTCCCTTCTATCAGCCCAACCTCTCATCCACTCTCAACCACACAGCTCTCATACAAGCAGGCTCAAATATCCTCTCAACCTTTGACAACACCAGTATCCCCATTCATCTCCGCCCAACAATGGCGCAGATCTTAATCCCGCATCACACAAGCCTCGATCTCATTCCTATTCCATTTCTGCGTGAGCGAGCAATAATGCTATCAGCTGCAATGCCGCATGTATTTAATAACTGGGAACTTAAACTGGATATTTATGAACGAGGCGGGTTGACGATATGGCGATTGAAGCATGAGAAGGGTGAAAATGTGAGGGATACATATCCACCTTGGGATATGAAGAGCTGGGAGGCTGCGCCGTGGTTTATGAAGAAATGGTGCATGCTTATGGGGAGGGAGTATGATAAGATGCACAATCAGAGTATCGGATGGCAGGTTGTCAGGGACATGATAAGTTCGAGGGATATACAGCGATTGACAACTAGTTAATTCTAGAAAGGCTGTTGCGTGTTGGCTATGGCAGATTGGGAAATAAATAGTAAAGAACTTAATCGTACAGACAAAGCACATCATAGAAGATGTTTACTCCAGAACCGTGGCCAACTCCCTCTCAGTCCATTCCCAGAGCTTCTCTGCCAACTCATCATCTCTCCCCTCTTCCGTCGCCAAACCATGCTTCCCAACCGGCTCATAGTACTCTCCACTGATGACACCATTCCCAACCGATGCCCAAAGCTGATTCCTAGCACCCTTTGAAACAGGCGTGATCAACATGCACCTCACTACTGCATATAAGTACCAAACCATCCCCGTCGCCTTCACCAATAACTCTGTGTTCACGAGACCAGGATCGATTGCGGATACCGTGAGGCGCGGATACTTTTTGGCTAGCTGCCGTGCCCAAAGGATGTTGGCAAGCTTGCTTTGGTAGTAGCACTGATAAAGACCAATTGACTCACCGTCGGTCTTGAGGGTGTCATAGTTGATGCCGCCTTTGTTTAGATAGACGTGTCCATGGGATGCAAGAGACACAACTCTTACGTCTGAACCGGGTATACGGGTTGTTTTTTCGAGGAGCGGAATGAGTAATTTCGTGAGCAGCGCATGACCCATATGGTTCGTCCCAAACTGAATCTCATAACCGTCTGCAGTACGATCAAGAGGAACAAACATGGTGCCTGCGTTAAGCATCAAGGTATCAAGTCTTTCACATTCCGAAAGTACGATCCTCGCTGCTTCTTTTACGGAAGCGAATGAGCAAAGATCGAGAGGGAGGAGTCTTATTGACGCGGACGGGACAGCGTGCTGGATGTCTTGAGCTGCGATTTGTGCCTTTTGTAGGTTGCGGGCGCAGAGATAGATGCACGAGGGATTTTGGTGGGCGAACTGGAGGACAGATTCTTTGCCCAGACCGGCGGTGGCGCCTGTAACGAGGATGACTTTTCCCTTGAGAGAGGGCATGTCTTTGGGGTTGAAGTCTTGTTCTTTGGACCAGAACATTGTGTTAATAAGAGTGGGCAGGCAGGGGACTGATTGGAAGAATGAAAGCAACGGAAGACTTGGATTGAAGGTAGTTGCTCATAAAGCTCAAGCAAAGATACATCATACAGCAGAGGATGCCGTCCTTATTTATACAAGATCTAGCTATATTATAGATCCATATTGATTTGAAGTCTGAGCTTTCACCAGAATTCAAAAATAATAAGAGGCTTAGATACCAGAGTCTACTCCTATATGGGAAAATGGTACGGCCTTGGCGCGGCAGTCAGTCTATTAATGCTTGTCACTAACAGACTGAACTGAATTGCCGACTGCCAACCTGACGCTAAGCCACATTTGCTGCTGAACAGGCTCCAATCACGATTCAGAAAAAGTCCTCTAAACCCTTTCGAGCAAATGGTACGGAAGAACTACGGGGAAACTTATACCCAGAAGTGCTTACTCTTAACATGGATCAAGACCGAATAGCTTCAGAAACAAAGCATGTGATTAGTGAAGCCACCGACTCTTGGAGGAGATTCGTCTCAACGACCCAGTTTATGCAATATGGCCACTTTTGTAATTACCACGTCTTCCGGAAAGCCTGACAGGGATACCATGAGAAAGATTCGCAGCCATGCGATGCGTGGAAGGAATACACGAGCGGACAGACTAGCTCGGGCCCAAGGACGCATGAATCCCGATAAGAGCCTGGAACGTACTATGGAAACTGGTAGGAGTGCATCTTCCATATCAGTACCCTGTACTGGCTCAACGGCAGAACCGTGTAATGGCCAGAAACCAGGCAAGGATAATCTGTCAACAATGAATATTCCGCGAAAACTGGCACCAGAGCTTTTGTTGCAGCGGTCAGAACTCGAGCTAAAGCCGTATATGCTGGAGTTGATATATCAAGGTATTCTCACGAACTCTATATCAACGATCCAGAAACTAATGGCATGGTATCAGCTTTCACGACGTCAAAACCCTGCCGATACGCCATAGACATGAAAGTCGCTCACGAATGCGAGTCTCACATCTTCAGTCTCAGCGACATGCACATGCACGAAGTATCTCTCCACTCCATACTCTTCACATCATCAGCATTCAAAGAAGTCTGTCAAGGTCTGGAATTCAGCATACTCACGAGATATCATCTTGGCGAGACACTACGCTGTATACAACACAGTCTCCAGGATAAAAGCAACGCAACGGCCATGGCGACGGTGGGAGCTATCGTTAATTTGGCGTCGGCGGCGTCGACTTTTGGAGATGTTGAGACTGCGAGGAAACATATGGATGGGTTGTGTCGGATTTTTGAACTTCGTGGTGGGGTATCGCCTTTTGGAACTGCAGCGTTGGCAGAAATGAAGTGCCAGAGGTACGTGGCTCCGTTGCTCAGAGTTATGTGTGACTGACGCGCATAGGATTGAGATCTGTCTATCGATGACAGAAGGGCGAAAACCGCGACTCCTCCCCGACATCCAATCTTGCGATTCCTTCATGCCAATATCTGCAATTCATCCCCCTCCAGAGTCCACATTTCTAAATCCCCGAACCTTGACACCAGATCGCCGTCTACTTTCCATCTGGACCGATTTGCAATACTACAGCAGGCTAGCTAATGAAGGCGCACTCACCCCACCAGATCTGTTCCTCTTTATAAGCACAACTCTTCCGCATAGATTACTTCAGCTTTCTTACAATGCCCAATCGACTTGCGAGCTTATGAGGCTTTGTATGCTGGCTTATGTCAAGAGCATTCTTTTTAGTCTTCCTGGGGTTGGGAGGAGAATGTCCTACTTATCTACTAATCTGGAGAGTGCACTTCAGCAGTTTGTGCCCTTGGATCGAGAACACTCGACTTTCTTGCTATGGGCGTTGTTCATTGCTGGGAGTTGTATTTTTGAGGACTTTGAACGAGAGTGGCATCGTCGGGCTATTCAAGAGACATGTGACGTTCTTGGTGTGAGTAGCTGGGTGCAATGCCGGGTGATATTAAACAGCGTGCTGTGGATTGGTGATTTACACGATACGGTGGCACAGGAAGGGTATATAAAGGTCTTTGGCGCTACATAAACAACCCGTCAAAGAATCAAGTTGATGTACCTCTACCCGAATTGACATGTACATGGTATAATTTCCAGTTCGAGTGAGTCGCCTTCATGTTAGAATGAGATGATGTTTTAGCCTGAAGCGCTTTGTCTGCTTACGTGAGACGAATGATAGGATCGCTGGCATTTAGTGCTGACGCGCAAAGCCGACGGAGTTACTCTCTCATCTCCGCCATTCCCCTTCAAGTAATTTTTATCTCCTACCAAATTACATTTAAAACACCAAGCAATCCTCTCTTTCACCATCAACCAAGAATTCATCATGTCCTTCATCTATCTCAACCGCGCAACACACGTCGTGTCTCTCATCCCCGCCCTCTTCGGCATCAATCTCCTCACGCGCCCCGAAGCAACCCTCCAATCGTTCCAGTACCCCATCCCCACAGACCCTCAAGCTCAAAAGCTTGTTCGTGGCCTTGCACGTATCTACGGATGTCGAAATCTTGTTGTCAGCTTTTTGTTCTTCAACATTAGTCTCACTGGGGATAAGAAGCTTATGAGCTTCGGATATCTTGGGGCGCTGGCCATGTGTATTACTGATGGGCTTGTCGCGAGGAATGTAGTTGGGCATGGGGAGTGGCAGCATTGGTCGTTTGCGCCGCTTTGTATTGGGCTGTTGATAGGGTTGAACTGGTGATTGGAAGAGTCTCGTTAGACGTACCCAAAATGGATGGTGGATCTACCGCTACTGGCTTCGAGACGGCTCGCAATATCTTTATATCCCAAAGGATAATCTTTATACTCCTGAAAATATCTGTTCATTTGTTTCACGAAATTCAATACACCAAGGACTTCTTACACATGCATATAATAAGATCAATTCTACGTCTAGGACTTCAAGTACCCAGGCCATACAGCTCTATCTCATGAATGCCAATCCATTGAGTCATTGCTGCAAACTGCTCCTTCTTGTTCTATCCAGTCAAAATCCTGTGCTGCCTGAGCACAGTTCTTATAACCCAATACCAACCATGCCTTATTAGGCACAGCTTCTTGAACACCTAGAACAACCCTAATCCTCCAGCAAATCCAATTCTTCGAGTCCCTGGTCCTCCTCAGGGATAGGATCAAAACCATCAAGGTACTCTCCCACTCGACTCTCATGCTCCTCCCAATTCGCTTCGCTATCAGAAGTAATAGTGAATTCCTCTCCCAAGATGTCAGCTAGTCCTTCAACGCAGGCCTTTTCGTCATTTGGTAGATCCTGCACCCAGCTTAAGACAGTCTTCTCAAGGAAATGGATGTTGGCGGTCTCGTCTTCTCACTCAGTAGGATATTCTTTCTCTCCTTCGCGTTCTTTATACAGGTCCTGCAACATCCACATAAAGCTGTACTGGAGCTTGTCCACCTCCCAGTCTCTGGGCCCGTCAGGGTAGAAGAATACTATATCAGTAGCGAGAGTGGAAATTCTCCTGAAGAATTGCCTTGCACGGAGGGCTTTGACTGCGACTGAGGGATGGTCATGTGAACCAAATAGCGACTTCTCGGAGTCAGAAGCCTCGTCGTACCAATTTTCGGGGATGATGACTGGGAGTTTGGTGGTGCCAGACTTGTAGGTTGACTTTGCAGGGGATGATTGGGCTTGAAATGAGGTAGTATGGCTACTGCAGCCAGCTTTGACAGCTTTAACTGAAGGAATAAAACAAGACATTCTAGATGATAAAGTCGTGTATGAAGTGGAAGTAGACTGTAGTTTGACAAAAAGTGTAGTCCTGTTGGTAAGATGTGATATGATGATGTCGGAAAGAATTATTCACGACTGGTAGAACGAGGTATTTATACGTATAAGTTATTCGAACTATCTTTTACCTCGTAGATATTTGTTCATCTCTACAGGCTGTGTGTTCTCACAGAACTGCCACTCTGGTATAATGTCTAAGTTGTGAGCTAAAAGTGTTATTTGCCGCTGAGACCTGTGGCTGAGAGCTTAATCCAGCCGAGAGAAGATAGAACTGCCACTCATTTAAGTATTGTTCTGATTTCTCACAATGAAGATAACGAGTTGGGTTGAACAAGACTGACTAGGTACGTGTTCTTGCGACCAGAGTACTATAACTATTATCACAAGACAGAAGAACAAACTTCAACTCCTTTGTATTGGGCTGTTGATTGGATTGAACTGGTGAACGATATTGAGTATGCGATAGACTTTCCAACTAATTACATGGATATTGGCTCAGAGATGGTTTAGAATGTCCATATGTCAAGATAAACAATCCGTGGTCTTGTTACAAACCTCACTTTACAAATAATCATACACTGGTCAAATACAGATGATGTTCTACTAGCTTTCTATAAGTGCAGTAATAAGATCAATTTATCTCCCTGCGGTATTGGTAACCATGAAACATAACCACTTTTTATGTATCTTTATTCTCTAGATCTATCGCTGCAAATCACTCCTTCGTACTCTACCAAGTGAACGTCCGTCAGCTCCAATTCCTCGAGTCCCTGGTCTTCCTCAGGGACAGGGGCCATATTGTCATCAACGAACTTCTTCACGCGGTCAAGATGTTCCTTGACAACAGCTTCGCTACTAAGATCAATGGCAAAGGACTCTCCCAAGATCGCAGCAAATTCTTCAAGGATGGCTCTATTGTCATCTGGAATATCCTCCGTCCAGGATGCGGCAGTCTCCTCCAAAAAAGAAGCGAAAACGGCCTCATCATCCCATTCAGCAGGCCAGCCTTTCTCTCCTTCGACTCCCTTGTAAACCATGTTTAACATGCATAGAAGACTCCATTGAATCTTTACTGATTCCCAGTTGATGCTGAAGCCGTTGTAGTCTTTATCGAAAGTACGAAGCTTCCTCTCAAATTGTCGTGCGCGTAGGGCTTTGACTGCAATTGAAGGACGCTCAGAAGAGGTAACATCCTCGTCCTCGGGCATTTCAGAGGAGCTATCATCCTGATCCTCAGGAATTTCGGAGGAGATATCATCTCGACCCTCGGGGATCATCAATGTTAGTTGTGGTCTGCTGGACTTGCATGTTGACTCTGTAGGAGAAGATTGAGTCTGAAGCAAGGGAGTAGGGCTGCTGGGATCAGTGCCAGAGCTTGGGATCGAGGTAGTAGGTGAAGACATTTTGGGTAGGGGATCAGATGGAAATTGTTTGTACAGTGGAAGATGATTGTAATTTGCGGTAGTGCAGAGTGTTGAGGATGTGATGGGAGGTGATGGTGTTGGAAAGGATAGTTTACGCCGATAGGATGAAGTATTTATATTAAATGGCTTAATATAATTAACTTCAACATCCGCTGAACAATGGGTTCATTCATTCCCACAGCTTATACACGCTAATGGATTTAGATAACTGTTCGAGAAATGTTCTGACAATCTTTTAATATTGATCATTTGTTGAACCAATATATTATTAATGTAGGCTCTCTCGAGATAGGCAGTTTGAATTATGGCATTCTGCAAGTAAAAGAATTATATATGTTTCTGTTATCTCTACTTGATAAACACCTAAGCGTGCGATGGCACGCCTTGCCACGGCTGTTTCGGTCTCTAGCGACATAAACAATGCTTAGGGTAGGTATAGCCGTCATTAGCATCTATGAGACACGCTAAGTTCTCCAGCACCCAGTTAAAATATTTCCCCTGTGGCTTAGTTGGCTAAAGCGTCCGACTGTTATTAATAGACAATCGGGAGATCGGAAGTTCGAGCCTTCCCGGGGGAGATTGAGTTCATTTCTCTTTTTGCTCTTATTAGCTTTTTACTTCTCTTACACTTGATATCTAGGTATTTTTATTACTTAAACGCGAATGTCGTTTCTTAGTGCATCCGACTTTACCTTTATCTTCTTTGTTTTAGGCTTGCCCTGTTTGCAGGTATTTAGGTCATGTCTATGGTTAGGCTGATGTTCTAAAATCTGGTCTTGACTCTTTCTTCTGTCGATAAAGAGCCCACTAGTACGGAGTAGCTCTGGGAGAATCCCTTCATAGCCTACCTTTAGTCCGAGCTGGCTTAAGGCAGATTGCGGGGTAAAAAGCCGATAACCGCTTACCCGAAGTCACATGACACAGCTTCAGTGAAATCATCATGACCATCGGCAATGCTTTTAGTCTTTCACTTCCGTCCTACAATATACTGTACTATAGCTAGCATAGAGTACTACTGATATCAATCGCACTTTAATAAGATCACCCACCCACCCTCCACCTAAGCAATGGCAGCTCGCCCAACATGGATCAAGGCTGGGAGACTATCTCGGAGCTTCTTGCCCTACAGGGGCATCAAATATCTGTCAACTTCCGTACCAAGGCATCAGAACTACGATACCACCATTGCCAACTTGAACATTGACAAGGATACCAGGGTGATCTATCAAGGTATGGACTCAATTCGCCTGACAGATAACATGGGACTGACCGTCGTCCTGTAGGGTTTACTGGTAAAGCCGTACGTATTCTTGACATTAATATCCCAGCCTTTGAAGGTAACCGACTGAGATAATATGCAAGGCCACGCTTAATGCCAAAGATACCATTGAATATGGCACCAATGTTGTTGGTGGTGTATCCCCCGGCAAAGGCGGCCAAGAGCATTTGGGTCTTCCTGTATTCAATACAGTGAGAGAGGTACACCACCCACGCCGCACTCTTCAAGCATCGCCGTGGAGCCAATTTCATTAACAGCTTTTATAGGCCATGGAACAGGTGAAACCTCATGCGACATCAGTCTTCGTACCAGCACAGTTTGCTGCTACTGCTATCATTGAAGCTATAGAGGCAGAAGTTCCTCTTGTCGTGACCGTGGCTGAGCATATACCCGTACATGATATGATGCGCGTCCACGACGTGCTCAAAACTCAATCTAAAACCCGACTTGTTGGTCCGAACTGCCCCGGTATCATTGCTCCCGAGCAGTGCCGTATTGGTATTATGCCGCATAAGCAGTACAAGAGAGGCCCTATTGGTATAGTCTCCAAGAGCGGAACCCTAAGCTACGAAGCTGTGGGTTCAACATCGAAAGCTGGATTGGGCCAAAGCCTCGTTGTTGGTATGGGGGGAGATATGATGCCGGGTATGTCTCGTGATCTCGATTCTACCACCTTCATGGACGAGCTTCTCTGGCTAAAGGATTTTACTGACATCCAGACTATAGGAACAACACTTGTGGATGCCCTGAAGCTGTTCTTTGATCACCCAGAAACAGAGGGCATTATTGTCATCGGGGAGATCGGTGGGGAGGCAGAGCTCAGAGCTGCTGAAGCCATCAAGGAATACAGGAGAATCATGAGGAATCCAAAGCCGATCATAGCCATGGTCGCTGGTAAGACTGCCCCCGAAGGTCGAACCATGGGCCATGCCGGTGCACTTCTGCAATCAGGAGATATATCCGCTGAAGCCAAAGCGAAGGCTTTGGCAGATAGTGGCGCGGTGGTGGTACCGCATCCCGGGGTTATGGGACATGTTATGAAGGACCTTCTTTCGTCACATACTCACAGACTCCGTAAAGGATTCGGCCCATTAAGTCCTGAAGTGTCTTTCTCGAACCCCACATCGGAGCTACGAGAATAGGAATTAGGAAGTATACAAACTCATTTGTAATCTGCAAGTTCTAAGCGGTTTAATAGTGGGTTTAAGCTGTTTATGGCTTTAGGCCTTGGTATTCAGTTGCCAGAGTGGAAGTGTTGCCAGACAGAGTTTAGGTATGAAGTAATCACATCAATGATGTATACTGATGATTTGAAGTAATCTTCAAGCAACTGAGTCAAATCTTTCCATGGAATAGCAAAATATAATCTCGGCATATAAAAGAAGACTAAGTTATGAGGACTTGGAAAGCTGCACGGCCTTCTTTGCTGCTTCTCCAAACTCAGACTCAACATGGAATCCGAGGTCGGCTTCCTCGAGCTATTAGAATATTAGCAACGAACCTGCAAGCAGATAATTCAGACGAACAATTTTCAATCCCTCAGCTGAATTGGTCCCCTGCAGCCGGACTACGAGCGGCACACGCATTGTACCGAGCTCTTTGGTAGCGCCAATAATCGAGTCAGCAATCATATCGCATTTAATAATGCCTGCAACACGTCAGCTCGCACAAACCTAGCTTCGAGATATAGTATCTCTCCCTTACCTCCATAGATGTTAACAAGGATCACCTTGACCCGCTCATCTCGAAGAATAATCTCAAATGCCTTTTGCATAGTTTCCTTGGTGGCCTGGCCGCCCGCATCAAGAAAATTCGCACTTGCGCCGCCATGATGGGCAATAGCATCATTGGTAGCCATGGCAAGACCTGCACCGTTGACTACATTACCAATATTCCCTTCCATCTTGATATATACCAACCCATACTTCTGTGCCTCGATCTCCTCGGGGATTTCTGCTTGGATATCTCGCTCGGCGAACAGGTCGGGCTGGCGGCGCTGCGAAGCATCATCAATCATAAATTTGGCATCAAGGCATTTGAAATTAGCTTCGCCGGTGCGCGCTAGAGGGTTGATTTCCAGAAGCGTGGCGTCCTTGCTCACAAAGAGGTCCCAAAGACGGGTTAGGATAGCCCCAAGCTTTTCTGCCTCGGCAGGACTCGCACCGACACCTGTGCCGAGACGTTTCAGAAGATCTGGTGTGATACCTTCAGCGTAGTCAAAGTGGAAGCTTCTCAAGCTACCGCCCTCGCCCTTAGCCGTATCTTCAATGTCGACACCGCCACTTCTTGAGATGAGCACAACGGGGGAGTACCGCTCGCGATCGAGGGCTATGGCGAGATACCATTCCTCGTCGCATTCTTCAAACTCTGCCACCAACACCTTTTCGACAAGGATACCGTCCCCTGAAGTCTGCTTGGTTCTAAGGCGATGTCCAAGCATTTGAGAGGATATATGTTCCCCCTCTTCCGGGAGCTTTGCGATTTTGACACCGCCGCGGAACCCATTGTCGAATGTTCCCTTGCCTCTACCGCCCTTGAGAATTTGAGATTTGATGACGCATTTTCCACCTACAGGACGGAAAGTCAGCATACTAGATTGATGGGTAAGAAAGGAGATAACTCTACCATATTGACGCATGATCTCCGGCACCTCGGCAGCCGTAGTAGCTACTTTTCCATTCTGCACTGGGATGCCGAACTTGGTGGATCAGCCTCGTTGTCGCCTGCTTTGCTACCCATAAACTTACTTCTCTCAAAAGTTGCTTAGATTGATGCTCTTGCAGACTAAGACCTCGGCGCTGATATTTCGTAGGGAACTGAGCAAGGTCAGCGAATTACAGAATTCCTTACATTACTGCTGTGGATTCTCACTTTGGGCTGCCAAAGCCTTCGTGCAATGTGTCGTGCTGCCATTGTGAGAGGGTATTATTAGTTCCGTTCCGCGAGCGACACAAATGGTATAATGGGAAGTAAATTTGCGGAAGTTAATGCTTGAAGAGGTTCAAGTCGCCATTACTCATGAATGACGCGGACGGATGGAAGTCTCATGGCTTGCAACCCCTCCAAAAATCAAGTAGCCTATCGGCTATACCGGCTTCTTGGCTGCTTACCCCGCAAACTTAAGACTAGCCCTGGAACATCACTTTCATCAGTCATGGATGGGTATACTACGGATGCAGACTTTACTGTAACCAAGATACGCAGGTAGCTAGGCGCTAGATGGACCTTTAGATATTCCAATCGATAAAGACATACCAAGAACAGTAATAGTCATCAAACAACTTATCCGTGTCTAACTGGTGTTCAAGATGGCCCTCCTACTCTATCTCGAAAAGCTTCCTATCCCATCCAGGCAACCCCAAACATTTAACCTCACTCCCCTCAAGAGCAATTTGAACAATGCCTAATCTCTGATGGAGCACTTTGTCTCGTCTCCTCCAACCCTTGCTTCTTCTGGCGAGCACAAGACAATATCCGTAAGACCCAAGCCGGCCAAGCCAGACGCATACATAATCACCGCCACTCCCTAACCTTCCCTCCCAAGTGTCGTCGCTAGTGTTGGGGTCGGCACCGTCAAGCGTGACATCCAAGGCCTGGAGGCACTCAGTGAAGACGTGATTGGGAATGACTTGAGCAGACATCACCAGGATACGCGGGTGATCCTTAGCAGGACCATGGGCCCTGTTTAGTTGCACAATATCATCCAAGCTGATGTTGCTGGCGCCCTTGTCGCCATCTCGAAACATCACATCGCATGTGACGTCACTCAGCAGCCCATGGCCGCCGGTCTCGAAACTTGAGGGAAACTCCTTCATGCCCTCCCAAGCAGCCCATGACCACGAGGGAAAGTCCGTTCTGCGATGGCAAGGTGGGTTATGGACCCAGCCCCAGTTACCTTTAGGCTTCCCGTCACCCCCGTGATTCCAGGCCAGACCCGTCGTGAAGAAACGGACTGCGTCCGTGTGCCTGACGGCGAGGGTTGCAGGGACTGGAACTCCCCAAGTGTGGCAGAGAGGGGTTGCTATGGCGTCCTGGAAGTGTTCCAACATGCCCACAAATGCATGCAACGAGTCGGAGGGGTCGGTAAGTATCCGCTTACTATACGCCCTCACGGCCTGGAGATAGGGGAGTAGGCCATGCTGAATGTAGGCTTCGATATCATCGCTTTCGCTCGACGGCGGATTGGGCTGGTATGCGTGGATTTGCGGGTTTTCTTGCAGGATTTCTCGCAACAGTGCCTCCTTCCTCGCCTCGGCATTGGAGCCGTAGATGGTAAGAAGCGACAAACTCGGATTGTTACTGAGACAAGCTTCCGGCGAGTGTAAGATGCGCTCGCATGCGTGTCCCAGATTACATTCAAAGTACAGCTGGTCTTCGAGAAAGACGAGCCGTCTACGGCTTAGAAATGCTTCTTCGAATGTCCATCCGCGCGATGCCCACGTCGAGGAGGGGATACTCTTCGAGGGTAAGAGTGGTACCACCCGAACTGTGACACTACCGACCTTGAGGGTGGGTGGGTGTCTCCTTGGCCGTTCGCCTACACCCGGGAGGCCGTAATTCGCGTCTTTGCCAGCGGCGGCGACTATGGTAAAGTCGGCGTTGCCATAGATCCGTCGCATCTGCTTGATCTGGGCTCGTTTCTTGAGGGGGTTCTCTTGGTCGATGCAGTATTGGTCGACCCAGAGATATCGCCGTCCTAAAGCCGTAGTTACCTGGATAGCGTCGAAGATAGTATGCGCTACCTGATCCAGACGGGGACCGAGAGCGATGGATGAAGGAGGTGGTGGATTCAGACCGTCCTCAACCTGTCCTTTGGCCGGTTTTGTCGTCCCCCACACGTAACTGAGAGCTATATACTCGAAACTAGATCCGCCAAGCTGGAACGGGGCCACATCGATGGTCCCGAGTCTCTTACCGGGGCATTTCGAGCCGCATGCGTGGCTTGTATGGCCGTACCGGCAAATCTGGCTCTCGACGCAGTCTACCAGCGTGAGTGTCTCCGGAAAGCCCTGGTTGCTTAATGAGCACGAGAGTGTGTGTTCCTGTTGGCAGCGTTCTAGCCATTCGAGCACTCGCGGTGGCTCGAATCTATCCGAGGTGTCCCTGACCACGATAGGCTGCGCCCTAGATGGGATTGTCTCCATATCTTGGTCCACACACAGGGCAATGAATGTCCCCAGATCCTCTAGCATTTTCTTCTCGTCCCAAGGTTTCTCAAAGACGTTCCTACGCAGAAGAGCCTTCACTGCCACACAAATCGTGTCGCCGGCACCCGGCGGCCCAGCCGAATCACTATAGTGTGACCTAGGCCCTCGGATAATGTTCAGGGTCAGTGGAGTCTGCTTCACGAGGGAAAAGGTGACCATCTCCAGATAGCCTTGAGGAGTGACTTGAGGAGTGAAATTAGTAGCTGGGGACAAGCGCTGTCTGTAGGTGTAGAAAAGCAGCGGACATAGTTTGCAGCCGTCCTGCAATCGGTACCGAATGCGAGGATTCGGTGAAACCTCGAACGTCAGAGTTGGGCTTCTGACAGACATGGTAATCAATTCGGCGCAGCCTGGACATAGCCCATTGATGTCAAGACCATGTCGTGGTTCCGAATGGTCGTCCCCATGCTCGGGGAGCCACGATAGCCACGGCGGTCGCAGAGGTTTTGAAGCGAACGAGATTTCAGCCCCCCGAAAGGAATCTGGAGGAGGGTCTTCGGAGGATGGCTCGGAGGCTTGAGTTTCGGGGGATGGTCGTGGATCAGGTATGATTGGTGCAGAGTTCATCCCTCGTTCACTTTCCGCAGCGCTATGGCCGTTCTGGGGCCGATTGCATCCCGGAATCATTTCTTTCTTGAACATCTACATTAATCAGGAAGGAAGCGCCTCCGACAAAGGATAACAGGCACTGTGCGCTTAAAAACAGCGGCGCTCGTTTTATAGTTGGAGTTGGTGAAGGCTCGAATGTCTTCTGGTGGCCGAGGAATCTTTGGATTCAGGAAAGGCTGGCGCGTCTATAGCCGTATTGCAAGTCGGTGCGTTGAAAGTCACACTAGGCCTTCTTGCAACCTGGGCACCTGCTCCCACAAAAATGTTTGGCCCATATGTTTTGAGAATGATGCAACCAGCTAGGCGGCGTTGTTGGTTCTAATTTGGGGGTTGACGTGTCATACGATACATCAACGATCACTTTTGGTGGTGAACCCAGTGTTATAGTGTTTCTGTATATAGATTTCAGGTTGCTCCCTGTAGTTTAGAGTAACTGGGAGCATTATAAGGACTTTAGCACACTATTGGATGGTAAGATGGTTATGGCCGCCGGCATGGGCCTAGGTCCAGCTGGCCTGAGCCAACAAGGAGGCCTGGTGGGCGGCTATCAATGCCAATTATCAAAGCCTGCATAACAGGCTGTCACAATGTTTCAGACTCTTGCCATCTGACCACCAAGCTGAACCTATCCACTCAAGCCAAGGCGTTTTCCAGACCCAGGCAAGGCATTATCCAGGCTTAGGACGCATGTGCAGCTGAACTTGCTCAACCCCAGTCTGGAACAAGGTATTGGTCACTTACCCCGCTCTAGACAAACATGTTGTTATACTTTGGCAGCCTGCTTCTCAATCAGCCTCCCAGATGCAGGGAGCCACGTCTTTCACGCTGGGGGCGAAAGCTACTCTTTTTGATTGGCCGAGTTATGTATGCATCGCCCCCACGATTATCACATCAAAACCGATTTTGCGAGGGCCAAATTTTCACAGCCTGATTTTCGACGCGCCTGCTGACGTCTCTTGATAAACCAGGCTGGCGGCTACTGAAGCCTGGACCTACCGCGAACTTTTACATGTTGATTGTATAAAAGAATTCACGATCACTGTCTGCAAATGCTCGACGCCTTTCATCGCAGGCCAGGACATCGTGAAAGATAAGAAGTGGTGTGAGCTGGGGAAACGGTATAAAGCGCATAACCAAATGCAGTGGTCCTTAGCCAGAGTAAGTTCGGCCCGTTCCCCTCGAACTCGTATACTTGCCATCTTTCTAGGGCGAGAATGTATCTACGAAGGAACCCATCTTGTAAAGCTTCTACATGCTCTACAACGGCCAATTTGACGGCGAATAGGACATAGAGCCCTTTCAGTGCGATATTAACTCTGTCTATTGACATCAAATAGACCTATATCATTCTGCCTTGCTGATGCTATCCGTGACGGTAGGCTAAAGTCTCGTAGGGCGTCTTCGGTCAGCATATTTGTACCTTCTTCTGTGTTATAGCTTGGCATTGTGTTGTTTGTCGAGGCTCTCTTATCTACAGTACTGATTATACGAAGAGTCCGTAGCGGTCGATTCGAGATTTGATTCGGCGTTCGACGGTAGACACGCAACACAAGTATGCGCATGACGGGGATTGATGCTGCCATGATGGTGACTGCGCACTCGGTAGTACTCCATATAATGATTCCAACTCGGTCCACTGCGAGGTATACCAATCAGTGCTTTGCAACCAGAGAATGATAGCCAATCCAGCGACTTACGAGTTCGATTCTTACTGCTGAGGCCAAGCATTTTGTAGCATTTCGCAGCAGCGGCGGCGGCGGCACTGGAGTATCATTAGTATAAGCATAGGAAGGTCCTGGAGACTGACAAGATGCCAAAGGTCAAAGCAATCCCAACGCCAATTTTCTCTCGGGTCCGCATAGAGAGTTTCCAAATGATAGTCCAGGCAATGACACAGAGTATAAGGTCAACTAAGCCTGAGAAAGCTACCTGCAATTAATATGACGTAATTCAAGGCAAGGCAAAGACTTACCCCCAGCAAAGATATTATAGTATGTTGCAACCATAGGATTCCAACACGCTCCAGGCAAACTTGAATGCCAGACCTTTCTGGCGGGTGTACACTTCACAAACGAGAACACAATGACCAAGTTCATGGCGATGTTCGTCGCGATGATGAGAAACCATAGAAACCAGCTCGTCCAGCCATCAACCAGTCGTATCAGTGTCAGGGCGAATGACGTTTTGCTCCATGCTGCAGATAGAACTCCGAATATGCCGAATATTGTTCCAGTAAGAGCGATTGTCGGTACGACAGCTGGATCAACCTCTGACTGGTCCTTGCCGAAACCGAGGGTGACGTTGAAGATGACGAGACCAGTGCCGATCACGAGGCAGATCTGGCGAGACGCGTGATGTTAGCTCAACTCGACGAGTTTAGCTGCAGATGAACAATAACTGTTTGAATCGCGTCGCTATGACGGATCTCACAGATCTTGAGCCCAAAGTCAACAGAGAATGACTGGTACTCACCCACGCCGCAATCAAGATATAATCATCCCACCAAAACCCCCGACGCCGAATGACCTTGCAATACAACCTGAGACCCAAAAACAAACCCGCCAAAACAGTCAGCGACACACAAACCGCGATTATCGTTGCGCCGAGACCCGTAGGCGACGTCATCAGGGAGCGGGACGCATTCGCTGCCTCCCAGTGTATTTTCTTCACGACATGGGAATGGGGAAAAAAGAAGGTGAATGTTGCAAGAAAGGGAGGGCGGAGGAATTGAGATGAAGTGTCATCTGTACAGTACGAGAGGTCCGAGCCCCTTTTGCTTTTTGCGCCTCCCCGGAAACAGGCGGACCAACGGATTTAATGATCGGCGGCACTTCTGCTGGGCGTGACATTACACTGTGGGCTAGTGGCTTATGGCGCTCGGTAGTGCACTTCGTCACGTACCCAACAATTGTTACGGCTGAGCGCGTTTAATTGTCGCTCCAGGTTACCTCAGGTCATGATTCTCCCTTGTATAATGAATTGCTTCAAACCTGCGCATTCTGAGCTGAAGGAGAAATAAACAGAGTGCGCATCGAGCCGAGATTCACTCATGGGCGACAACGTCTCACTGGGTACGAGTCAGTCTCAGTGCATTGCAGCCACTGTCACGTAGCTAACCTTGGCTAGAAACTCAAAAATCGAGCCGCCTATGAGCAACTCCCCGAATGTCCTGGGCATTACTGATTGGCTGCTGGTCTGTGTACTAAAGAGCATCCCCGATCGAAGCCACAAGCTTATCGTCGCGGTGCGGTACCCGGTTCCCGTAGAGATTTACTATTACTAAAAAGCAATAGAAGCGCGCTACAGACCACTAATTTTCATGTCTCTCATTTTGATCCCGTCTTCCAAAAATACCGCGTTATTCATGTGATTGGAGATCCTAAAAGCACGATACGACAACTCGCCACAGACCCCTGGTGATAATTTAGCAGCTTATCCAAGCCTATTGCCCCCAGGCCATCCAAAATAGCCTCACAATAGTCCATCCAGCTGGACAACCCAAGTCCTAAACCGTGTCTCAACACCACAACCAACAAATCTCTCTTCAAAAGCCTCCCCGCGCACCTTCATATCTGACAATTTCACCTGTTGCTCCTTATCCCAGTCATCATCCCCGCTATTACGCAAAGGCATCATGCACCAGATAGGAGCATCAACTTGAACCCTCTTCAGGTTCGGAAACTCGCCAGAAAGAACTCGTTGTGCTAGCAAGGTACTATCATACATAAGCCCATATCTAGCCCATCTGTCCAAGAGGATGGTCAAGGTCTGAACTGTCTGTGGCAGGAAATCGACGAGGTATGTTTCTTGCTCAATGCCATCTTCCTCTCCGTTGTCTTGGATGCAGTAGCACAAGGGGTCGACTTCGAGAGTATTTAGACTTGTAAACTGCTTGATCTGCTGGGGCCTTATGGGTTTGGGTTGCGAAAAGCCAAGCCGATTAGGTACTGACCTGCTGTCGAAGTTCAGGCTGAGGTGCTGCAATGTCTTTTCCGTTTTTGGGCTAAGGAATCCGAGTAACTGTGCAGGTGAGATTTCGGATCCAGCATCAGTATGCCAGTAGCCACTGCCAACACTGACAAACTTGAACGTCTTAAGATTCTGAGCCGCCCCGAGAATCCGCTCGAGTGCACGAGTTTGCCAATTATCTGTAAAGAACGGCCAACCCAGGATCTGGATCTCCGCGATGTTCGCCACACCAGCGCAGAATTCCTGTATGTTCGACTCGCTATTCTGATTAGCGTGTCTCTCGGTCGCAGGACCTCGGAATATCAGTGTTCGAAGACGAGGTGCACCACGCAGAAGAAGGATTGGCTCGGGATCACAAAGGCTGAACTGGATGCATTGAGTCTTGTCGATGTCAAGATGTCGAAGCTTCGGGAACATATCTTTATGCTTACGATTCTCCAAAATGGAATATAGAATTTCGAAATGCCTCGGATGCCCGAAAAGTTGATCGTCTGCGATTTGTATCTTCAGGCGTTCTATGTCAGAGCATAACGCCATAGAGAGACACATTTCTGCGTCGACAACAGAGAATTGCGTCCTTTCGATCCATTCGCGACTGAGTGATAGTCTATTAGCAAATCTCGCGAGAACAACGGGGTCCGTCATTATAGATGAGCTTTTGGGTGTCGATAGTGGCAAGCATAGATGCTTCACCATATGCACCAAATCTGGCTGGTGGTCCAGGACTCGGAAGATATAAGTCGACGGAAGATGAGGGCTGAGACTGTGGAATTGGATCGGCCTTGCAATTGAGCGAAAGTATCTGCATGTTTGCGTCAAGGCCAATAAGGCTTTGGTGTTTGCTGCATTGTCTTCACTGTCGACGTCGTTGCTGCAATGAGAGCAGAGCCGAGAGAAAATATCACCGAGAAGCTCTGGAGGTACAATACTAGTAATTGCCGGTTTGCCGACTCGAGCTGCATCCATGATGAGATTCCATGTAATGGAGTGTTGAAAAGAGCTGTGTTCGTAGAAGCGGGGTTATAGCCTGCTTACTCCTCGATATTTCAGGCAGAAATTCTGCGCCACCTCAAGACATAGTCCACTATTGGTCAGATGCCAAGTAGCTGTCTGTAAGCCCTAAGACATAATAATGATCTTAATTATAGATAAGGTATTTAGTAGCTATCTTAAGAATGTACATATCTTGGAAATACAAGTATCTTGAGATAAAACAGTTCTGAAGTTAAAGAGTTTATTAGTTCTCATCCATTGCTCCTAACCTACCTACAGCTTAGCTACAACTTTAGAGTCTCTGACTACTATGTTCCCACTAGTACTGGAAGCCGGATCTTGTAGCTTGCGCCTTAAGATCTTACCAGCCGGGCTCTTTGGTATTGTAGACACAAGCTCAATCTCCCTAAGCCACTTGTGTCGCGCCTTTTCCTTCCTAACATACTCAAAAATCCCTTTTGCAGCTTCCACCGGCCTTAGGTCTTGAGAAGACTTGAGAACAACAAACGCTTTGGGTCTTTCACCTGCCCGTTCATCAGGAACACCGCACACTGCAACATCATCGACGTGAGGATGTCCGAGAAGAAGGCCCGCGAGCTCTGCTGGAGCAACACCAATGCCTTTAACCTTGATTATCTCCTTCAACCTGTCAGTGATGGCCAGCATCCCGTCATGATCGAAGTAGCCTATATCACCGGTATGTAAGAAGCCGTCCTTGTCGAATGTGCTTTCGGTTGCCTCGAGGTTATCAAGATAACCCATGGCCATTTGTGGCCCACGAGCCCAAATCTCACCTGCCTTGCCAACTTCACAGTCTTCACCAGTATCGATATCCACAATTCGCACCTCTGTTGATCCTACCAGCATACCGACTCGATCGCCATATTTATAAGCATAATTGGAAGGGGGATGCGATGTAATCGTCGAGCACGACTCGGTCATACCATAGCCCTGCTTAAACCCGGTCCCAGGGAAAGCCTTCTCAAGAAGACTCAAAATCTCTCGAGACAGAGGGGCTGCGCCGGATGAGAATCGTTCAACATGAGATAGATCATACTTCGACACAAGCTCCGGTTCTCGTACTAGTCTGATCAATATCGGAGGAACGATGATAAGTTCTCTGATCTTGTTTTCAGAGGCAGTCTTGAGTAATGAGTCCAGGGTGAACTTGGCTAAGACGTAGACATTGGCGTTTAGGTGTATGGGTAGGTGTAGTTGATGTATTATACCTGAAATGTGATGGAATGGTAAGGCTGCCAGAATTCGATTGTGATTAGGGAGCGTGATATCAGCTGTTTGGATGCATTGGGCGATAATGTTGGCGTGGGAGATCATGACTGCCTTTGGAAGGCCGGTAGTACCGCTGCTGAAACAGAGAAAAGCACAAATATCCCGGTTCGACTTTCCGTCCGCTATTTCGAAGGCAGGTGCCTCGGCGAGAGTCTTTGAGCTTTTGAGTATACCTTGGATGCTCGTAGCGCCTTGCCTGAAACCTTCGAGCAACAAGACATTCTCTGGCGCAATCCCGGCCTTTTTGGCTGCAGCGCTGGCTGTATCAAAGTTATCAACCGTCGCAAAAATGACTTTAGCTTTGCTAGTTTTCAGACTGTAATAACACTCATCAACGGTGTACTCGGGTGATATACCGCAAGCTACTGCTCCAACGCGAACGGCAGCAAGTGTGGCTACAGGGTACCAAATGGAGTTTTTCGCAAATACAACAACAGTGTCATTTTCACTGATGTTATAGTTGGTAACAAGAGCAGATGATAAAGTTGTTGCATAGTCTTTGAGAGATTTGAAGCTGATGTGCTCTTTGGTGAGAGCATCAGTGAAGCCTGGGGCATCACTATCAGAAGACGGAGGCTTGGACTCCAGAAGCCAAGACCAAAGCGTCTGCTTGGGGGAGACTATAGAACTAATGTCAATGCTAGACATATAAGAATGAGGAAAATCATTTACATGAGATCGTGGGGTTCTGCGACTGGTAAATCATGATGCTTGGCTAGACCCTGAAGTAGTGTTGTATTTCTGAGTGCGTATTAAAAGACAAGTATTTGGGCTATTTTAAGAATACCAAAACTACCAGTAGACGGAGAATGTCTAGAGCCGAGGTTGTCGTCTAGCGACTTAGCTTTTAACTCATTGCAGTAGAGCTACCTCAAAATGTGAATCCCTCGGCGCGGCACCTGCAATTATAGTTAGTGGAGAATGAGGAGATTCTGACTCGCAAAATTGACTCCGAATTATTGTAGTGTATGGACCCCGCCTTGTATTTAGAACGCCGGCTCTTGCATTACCGACCGTGACTTATACGGGCAAAGACCGTCTCAAACTCACAGGACTCAAATGAGAAATTATTGACACTACTGCATACTCTATCCGCCCATTCTACAAGATACTTATTGCCTATCAGACAATGCAAGCCTTACCGAGGACGATTGCTGTTATCCACACTCCATACTGGAACGCATCAGAACAAGATGAACTGCAGAACGTCTCTGTACCAGCAATTATTTACTTCCCAAGATCAGACAAGAAGGGCTATGCTACCAACGACTCATCACGTCGCCAAAACAGAGAATCTCAGTCAAAAGTACATCACAGCTACAATAAGCAACTTCCTTCCCACTCAGAGGCAAACCGACCAGAACAATCGCCCAAGTCTGTATTCTCAAGCCCTTCAATCACATGCAACTTTAACATGACGGATTTCGAACGCTTCCTGCTCAGTGACACTGGCAAAGAAGCACAGCAAAATAAATATTCTTACTACACTGTCCCCCAGTCTACTTCAGAACGCAATTCAAGTCCAAAAAAGAGAAGGAGAGTGGATGGTCTGAAGATGGCAGAGCGGGAGCTTCGCGAGTATGAGCGCTGGGTTTTTGGCACTTGGGAAAATATATTTTCTGGATCCTATTCATATTCTGGGTAAATAATAGAGAAATGGATGAGCCTCTGCATTAAACAACCCCTTTTCAATTGTAACATAATTCTCAATCTACGCACTTGACTGCCTCCTGTCAGATTGATCTTCAGGCTGCGAACACGGGTGGTGAATGAGAAAACGATGTCGCCCCCATATGAGTTTTTATTTACCCTCAATCAAATGCCTTCAAAAAGAAAACAAATTACGTCATTAGCTTAATATCGCATTGCCTTGAAGGGGATGATCTAGCCTCTTCCAATTGCGGGCAGCTTGACAGCTCGGGATACCCCTCACGAGTTCTCGGTACTCGGGCTCTAGGATCAAACCATGTTCCAGTTCCCAAAGCCTTGTTGGTCACTCTCGATCAGCTGTGTCAACTGTCAATTCTTCGTATAAACTTTAATGCTGCAACTGCCGAGGTCATTACGAACGCGCTTACCGTTAACTGGATTAGCTCATGTTTTTGTCTCTCTTGCCTTGAATGTATTAGCCCGACATAGCAAACGCTTTGACAACATCTCCTCTTTACTGGGATTATCCCCGCAAAGGTCCTCGAACTTTAAACAAACTGGAATGTTCGTGTCAGATAGTCTGACAAGACTAGATGAGGGTTTTGAAAGCATGGTAGCTCTTTCGCAAGTAAGCCCAAAAGGAGTCTAGAGTTGGGATCCTTCGCAAAGCCTCGATCCAGGACTATTTGATCACTTACCTCTTGTCTGTTTGTACAAGAACAAGCTCTTGGACTCTTATCTATGACGTGAACTCGTAGATACAGAACTCAGACTACTCTTATCTAGTATTCTACCCTATCATTCTTATCAATTTTGTTGCAGACTAACCTGGCCTACGATGAAGCTCTCTTTTCTAAAGGCACTGTTACCAGCCCTGGCCTTGGTCATAGGCGGCTTCGCCCAATGCCCAAAGCAAGTCACGACCTACTCTCCCATTCTCTCCCCCGGCCCCAGCGACGTCCTGTTCACCTCTTGCGCATCTGGTGCCGACGGTCCCCGTGTCTACCCCATCAACTCAACCACTTTCGATTGGTGGTACTTTGACGCTGTATCTGATGATGGCGAACACGCCTTGACCGTCATTTTCTTCACCTCTTCCTTTGTCGGATTCAGCTTCGACTTGTTGAACGCAATCGACCCTCTAAACGTCTATGTCTTTTACAACAATGGCGGCGATGGTTTCTCGTTTCCTATTTCCTCTACTTCTGTCACGATCAAACTCGATGGCGATGGAGCTTCGGGTGATTGGACCGGATCTGGTGCCAGTTTCCAAGGAGCGGCAGACCTGAGTACCTACAAAGTCACCTTCAAGAAAACGTTGTTGAACCCATCCGTAGAGGGCACCTTTACGTTGAAGTCTGTAAGTATACACCACGTCTATGCTGCGATAACCTGTTAGAAAGATGTAAGGAGCTGACGTTGATGGATTTAGCGTGGCCCCGGTCACTATGTTTGCGGTCCCCTTGAAGCTGGCCAGAACATGAAGGTTCTTCCTAACGTCGGCTGGGTGAATGTCATGCCTGCCGCAGATGCCGCAGTTGACGTGAAGATCAATGGGCAAAACATCAAGTTTACTGGTAATGGTTATCATGATAAGGTATGTTCATGTGTTCACAGCGGCCTGTCCCCAACAATCTCAAAATAACCATTTTGATATCGAGACTAATAGACTGACTTGGATCTGCCACTCAGAACTGGGGTGATGCTCCCTTCTTGGCCTCGCTGAACGGCTGGTACTGGGGTCATGCGACACTTGGCGACTACAACATTGTCTTCTTCGACATGCTCGATAAAAACAACGTCGAGAAGGTGGGAGGCTACGTTTTGAAAGACGGAAAGGTTGTAGGAAATACGTGCACCACGGGCCTTCGAGTCCGACCTGTCGGCACGCCGTATCCACCAACTCTAGGCTCGACCAACCCAACACAGATGACACTGAATATGACTCTGGACGACGGCACCGAGTTGGATGCTCTTCTCACAGTGAAGCAAACCCAGATTGACATTGAACTCTACAGCAGGTGGATTGGCTCGATTGAGGGAACTGTCGGTGACTATGCAGCTTCGGGCTCTGCCTTGTGGGAACAGTTCAAGGTTGCTTCATAATCTTAGTTAACTACAGTTAGTTATGGTGGAAGGGGTGGGAAACAGCTGGGGGATAAAGGTAGAGAAAAGAATAAAATTAGAAAAATAGAAAAAAAAAGATTAAAAGCATAAAATCCATTTTTACTTACAGTGCCTTATTATCGGTACTAATAAGTATATTGCTTTAAGTATTAATTTAGTTTTAGGTAATATATAAAAGCTTGGTGGTCTTAATTGGTAAGATAATTCAGGCCTTAATGTCTCCCTCAACACTAAGGCCTACCCTAAGTTGATCCCTCAGACTATACAAGATACCTTCACTTAGTGGCAACGAGGGTGATCCAGCATTACTAATAATTTAATTTACATCATTTAAGTGTGTATTATGTAGCTAACAGCTGTCTATAAGGTCAAGGCTCAGGCTGCAAATACAGGCAAGTCATGAGAAAATATATCAACTGATAGTCAAGGCTTTTGACATCTCAGTCACACAGAACAAGAACATTAATATGTAACGCGTTACATAAGTGTAGCTACATCATCTCTCAAACCAGAATATATAATTAGTACCAACTCTTTCAGTGCGCAATACGAGCAGCAATACGGTTAGTCATGTACTTCTTGGTGTTTCCAATAAAGGCGCATGCTACAATGGCACAGACGCCAAAAGCAATACTTGTCAACCAAACATATTTCAGCGCGTATGCATATCCCCAGCGGCTGCCAATAGCTGCAGCCTTCAGTATCTCAGGAGTGACGCCAGGGACAGACGCCAGGGCAGAAGGGTCCAAAATGTAGGCAGTGACGAATTGTGTGGCCGAGGTGATTGGTAGGCCTGCTGCAATGGCATAGTCGGCAACGACGTAGGGGAGCTTGGACTTGAGCTTGTGGTAGAAAATGTTGTAGTAGATGCTGTAACCGATAGAGCCTCCAACGACACGGATGGACAGAGACAGGGCGACACATGTGGCGATCAGTTCGTCGGGTCTAAGATGAGAGCAAGATAGTTAGCAAATGGGCTCGGAAGGGGACGCTGAGGGAAATCCGACTTACGCAACGGTAATTGCGACGGTTGCCGGTGGAACGAGGACGCCGCCGACTCCAATGCCTGAAAAGACGCCGAAGATGTAGATCAACGCGGGAGTGTCGGGGGTCACCGCGGCTAAGGCTCCCCCAAAGGCAGTCATCATAACGCATGAGAAAAGGAGCAGTTCTCTAGCATTTCCTTTAAACCACGAAAGTGCGCCATTGATGACCGTGGCGCCAATGGTGATTCCGAGGCCAGAGGCCAAGCCCTTGAGGCCGACCTGGACAGGTTCCGGATCGAACACCGTCAACGCCTCAAGCGGATAGAAGTTGATTGACGAGTAGAAATTCAAGCCGCCGACAAAGGCCACAAGGAAGGCCACTGCGACGACTCGTTGCCCTTTGAACAAGTCGCCTGGTACCATTGGAAACTTTGCGAACTTGGCTTCCCAGACGCAAAATGTGATGATCAGAACGATGCCGACGAGAAGAAGGGATAGAACATAGGCGGAGGACCAAGGATGTGAGTATCCACCAGCCTGAAGAGCAACGAGGCTGTTTGATCGTGTTAGAACATTTTGTAGCGATTTACTCAAAGGGAATTATGAGACACTCACAAGAGAGTCAGGCCGACAATGGACAGGAAAGCCCCGACGTAATCGATAGACTTGAGAATCTCCATCTTGGGTAGTTCTTCACCTCTTCTATGAGACTGCGGAAAATATGTGAGGGCCACCACCGCGAGGCATATGCCGTTGTATATCCTGGATCGATTCTTGTCAGCGCCTATTCATTCCAAATGCCATCGCAGAGACCTACAGTGAAATCCACATGCCCCATCTCCAAGTGTGATAGGCGCTCAAGATCTGGCCGTACATGACGTACGGAACAAATGGAATAACGAAAAAGGTCACCAACGCAAGGTAGAAACCGCGTTTCTTCACAGGGACAAGTTCCGCAATGCTACCGGAAGTCAGCATGTGTCCCAATTAAGGGAAGCGAGGAGAATACAAACCCAGCAAGAGCAGTGAGTTCACCGACGGCAGCTCCAGCACCGGCAAGAGACATGCCAACAACCGCCTGGCCAAAAGTGTGCGTTGTGCCAACGAGAATGACTCCGATAAGGATGGTCACGCCGCCCGCGAGAGAGATGTAGCGACGGCCGAACAGATCTTGGAGATAGCCGACAAAGGGGGCCACGACGGCAATGGTCAGTGTGTTTGCGATGGGCAGCCACGAGGACTTTTCAGACGATCCGATGTCTTTCACGATGTAGGTGAGGGAGCCACCCACAAAGTAAAGCGGAATCTGAGCGCCTAGCAAGCATGAACAGGGAGGTTTGATTGAGAGGACTGGGGAAGTGACATACCTACGTAGAGCCCAGCAAGAGAGATGGAGGCGACGGCATGGCGCCAAGTCCAATCAACAACTCCATCAGAATCATCTCCCTTGATGGCATGGGTGTTGTAGTTGACGTCGAGGGGCGGAGTGCCACCGTGTTCAGCTTTCTCAACCTGCTCCGAGGAGGGGGTGGAATGATCGTCTTCTTGGGACTTGGTCATGGCTATTTCATGCACAATTGACAGGAGACGATGGAGCAAAGATTGGGCAGATAGGATAAAGGATGAAAGGTCAGAGCAATGTATTATAAATGTCGTACAAAATATCATGTTCTCATTTATCACCTGTGTTCGGAGCCTGAAGCTTGACCTTATAGGCAGCATTTAACTACATAGTACATGAATGGACGCCGTATTGTGTGCCAGGGGACCAAAGCTGTCAAAACGCGGGGACTCCAGATAGCCCGGCTCAAGCAGGCTAGGCTGACTTGATTAGAGGTCAAGTCCTCAAAGACGCTTTGTAGAGTTCAAGGTCTGGATGCGGGGCCCCGCACTCTTGGTAGTCAAGCAAAAGCAGCCATTCCACTTTAGGGATAAACCCAGAAAACTGCCGAGTTAGCGTACTTGTCCATGTCAGATTGTCCTTGTCAGAGATTCGGGAGCCTTGACTCCGACAATCTGACATGGACAGAATACGCTAGCTCGGCCTGAGGATCGCCTGTCAAGGCTGTGACTAGTCCCGTCTAGAAGCAGTAACTATATGTTAGTCAACGGGAAGTTGTAATTCGTCGAATGGAGCCATTGCCATCCACTCTTCGCAGTCCTGTAACACCCCGAGAGTGCGCCTGTCTTGCCAAGCATGCATGATACAACAATTTAGACGCAAACTGCTACACACACCAGATAGTTTGTCCGCTCGTTTGGGACGTCCACCTGTGGCCTGGCTATTACTACTGTACCACCATATCACAACTCGCAGAACAGTCGGGTTTCTCAATGGGACCGAGGCTGTAGATATCAGACCAAGACCCCCTCCCAGTTGTCTAGGATTCTGTTCTGCACCAACTGTCAACAGCGTCCGTATCATAGACATCTAACTCAGTCACCGTCTCGCACTTATCAACCATGACACTGCCCAAAGCCGCCAATTATGAGGACGAGATGCGGGAGGCCTGGGGATATCGATTCAAATGGACCAAAGACCATCAGACCCCAGAGCAGTATGACTACCTCAAACACTCCTGCGATACACTGGGCGAGGATTGTGCGGTGCTCCTGAATGAAATGTATCCGACTGAGCGCGGGACCCCCCAGAGTCAACAAGACAAACAAGGCTTCAATGCCGCATCTAAGTCAGAGGAACGGGCCTCGAAATGGAGGGATCTATACGAGCTCTTCTGCGAGCACCATGCGGAACATTCGAAGCTACAGCAGCTCTGGGATGAGGTCAACACCACCCCCGAATGGGTCGACTGGGACCAGATTGCACGCGGCCAAGATGTACTGTACCGTTACGGCGGTGCTGCTTTCACTGGCCTCACATACCAGTCGCTCGTTGGAGGCACCGCCGGCGCTCGAGTCGCCGAGGTATTGGGCCGAACAGGTGGCTTCAATGTGAACACCGTGTTCCGCCGTATGCTCGAGACGACCATCTACTTTATCGACGTCACCGAAAGTGTCGACAGCCTCAAGTTCGGCGGCCGCGGGTTTGCCAGCTGCATGAAGGTGCGCTTCCTACACGGCACAGTTCGACATCGCATCCTCCAGCTCGCAGCCAAGCGCCCTTCCTACTTCTCCGTCGAAAAGCTCGGTATCCCAATCAACGACCTGGACTCGATCGGCACCATCGCCGTCAACTGCGCAACTATTATCTGGCAGTCACTCCCGCGGCAGGGTATACATATGCGCGAGCAGGAGATACGCGACTACGTAGCCCTTTGGCGCCTCATCGCCTACTACATGGGCACGCCGACCGACTTCTTCTCTTCGCCGGCCAAGGCGCGTGCTATCATGGAGTCACTGTACCTACATGAGTACAACCCCTCTAGCAGGTCGAAGGAACACGCACAGAACATCATCATCGCCATGAGTGACACGGCGCCCAGCTACGCCAGTAAGCCGTATCTCGAGGCTACTGCGCGCTGGCTTAACGGCGACCCTCTCGCTGACGCTCTGGGTATCGGCCGGCCAAGCAGGTACTACACGGTGCTGGCAGCGGGGCAATGCCTGCTGTTCATGATTGTCTACTATACCTGTCGTGATATCCCCGTCCTTGACCGCGCCCAGATTGGGTCGTTCCGCCGAAATGTCAGGGATTATATCAACAACCCAGAACTCGGTCTGGATCACCGCTCTGCCTTTAACTTCAAGTACCTGCCTAATTCTGACGAGTGTAAGCAGCAAGGCGAGGGCAGGACTCTTGCTAAGACTAAGAAGATGGTACTCTGGACTGCTGATCGTAAGGCGTTGGCTGTGGTGGTAATACTTGTGGGCTCCTTGGTTACTACTACCTGGGCAGCCTTTGAGCTTGCCAAGTTTGGAGTTGGTATGGGTTTTAATATAATGAGGAACTTTTAAGTATTTTTAGGATGCTACTTTTATATATCTCAAGCTCTTCTCTATTATAGCTATATAAAAAGGCTGTAAAGTATTAACTTCAAGCGGTTTTTGTATAATTTAATGTTATCAGCTGGCTGTAATACTGTAAGTATTAATATATTGTTACTTTTCCTTCATATCTAAAATCCTTCTACTTAAGCACATGAACTATCTCAGTTTCACAGAGGTAACTCTCCGGGCTTCTCAAGCTGTTTCATAATACGTCGGTAAGGGCTAGTGTCTCTTCTACCTAGCTGGAATTTAGGCTGTAAAATTTACAGGCGATTTCCAAGCCGAGGCTTCCCCCGCACATTGGTGCCATTTAGACTTTGCCAACTGACAAGGAGTTGACAATGCCGTCATGCCGGCCGCGGCATACACTGTTACCACGGTGTGTCAATACGCCATTTTGCCGAGTCTCAGGCTAGGTCGCTTGCTACTAGTACACATCCAATGGGTATTCAAGTGACAGCTGCTGTTCAGTTGTCAGTTCATCACTCCCCAGGATATCAAGGAGACGAACCTACCCATGAACACCGATTCACGCCAACGCAATATACAACACACTACGTGGCAATAAACCCCCCAGCGGTAGCAATAAACATTACATCATGACAAAGGCAGACGTGGTAATCATAGGGGCAGGATTCTCGGGTAAGTTCGAATAAGGTCGGTGGTTTGGCTACGACTCAAGGAAGCTGATCGTATCAAAGGGATTTGCATGGCCATCAAGCTGCTCGAGGCCGGAATACGCAACATCGTCATCGTCGAGAAGAGTGCAGGTTTCGGTGGGACGTGGAAAGACAATATCTATCCAGGATGTTGCTGCGACAGTTGGTTTGTTCAATCCCCGCGGAGAGTACCCACTAACTCCTGTGACCTCAGTTTTATCACACTTATACTCGTATTCTTTTGCACAGAACCCTCATTGGTCAAGAGCGTATCCAGAACAACAAGAGATTCTTGTAAGTAAACGTCCCTATGTAGACCCAAGCTCTCCCGTTGACCGAGGCTCGGCGATAGAGTTACATTCAAGATGTTGCCCAGAAGTATGGTCTATACAAATTCGTACGCTTCTCCTCAGAAGTCACTGCCGCGGAATGGGACTCTGAGAGTCATGAATGGAACGTCAGCATCCAGGTTCTAGGTGGAAAAGAAGCAGAATTCTGCGCTAGATACACAATCAAGACAACATTCTTGATTGCAGGAGTTGGTCAACTGAACGAGCCATTGTGGCCCAAAATTACCAGCCAAGAAAGCTTCCAGGGGAAGATTATGCACTCTGCCCGCTGGGACTGGAGTTTTGACTTTACTGGCAAGCGTGTCGGTATAATCGGCAACGGTAGGCCTTTAAGTTACATGCTAGGGACAGAACACAAGTCTGACGATCTATTTAGGGGCGACAGCCGTTCAAATTGCACCTGAAGTCGCAAAGGTCGCTTCTCATTTGAGCATCTTTCAACGCTCACCGAACTGGTTAATCCCGAGATTTGATGCGGAGATTCCACGATGGAAGAAGATCCTATTTGATTATGTGCCTGCAGTTCTCAGTCGGGCAAGGGCTGAGATAATGAACCAACGCGAATCCTACTATCAAGCTGTCAATCGCGCTGGCTCCGCCGACTCCTCAGCCATGACTGCAGTCTGTAAGCAGCACATGCAGACTCAGCTTCCTAGCCGCCCAGATCTGTGGGAGAAACTGACGCCGAACTATCCGCCGGGATGTAAACGCGTTCTACTCAGCGATGATTACTATCCTACATTGCGGCTGTCACACGTTACTCTCGAGACACGACATATTGACAGAATGACTGATACCGGCGTCGTTGTGAGAGAAGGACTACAAGAGAAAGAGATTGATCTTGACCTTGTCATTTTCGCAACTGGATTCCAAGCCAAGGATTTCCTGCAAGGCATTCACGTGCAAGGCGTGGGCGACCAAACTCTCAGTTCTAAATGGGCAAACGGTGCATCTGCTCTTTACGGCGTCACGGTAGATAATTTGCCAAACTTTGGAATGCTCTATGGACCAAACACAAATCTGGGCCATAACTCAATCATTCTTATGATTGAAGCTCAAGCCCGATATCTCGTTCCATTGGCAACGAGAGTCTTGAAGAGCAGAGCCCGAGGGGGGAAGTTATCCGTCATGCCCAAAGCATCGAGGGTTCAAGAATGGAACAAAGATCTGCAGAGCAGCCTGGGAAGTTCTACCTTCGCCGACTCTAGGTGCAGTAGCTGGTATAAGACAGACAGCGGGGTTGTCACCAACAATTGGAGCGGGACTGTGATTGAGTACCAGGAACTACTGTCCAAGGTTGACTGGTTGGATTACGAACTTGAGGGAGATGGGATGGAGAATCTTCCGGCTGGCAAGGAGAACATTGGCCGTGTCGTGGAGGAGACACTGTTTAGTAACCTGCAACTTTTTTCGGTTACGGCTCTAGGGGCATTGGTCGCAACAGTCTATTATCGTCGGGGTTCTTTGCTGAAGCACATTTTGTAGCTGTCGAGATTTGCTAAGTACTTTCGATACGAAACTATAGTCGACATTTATGTTTATGTTTTATATACACCTTTTCAATTAGAGTCAAGCCTATTTGGCTTTAGGAATGTGGTATCGGATGAGCCTTTCTCTTTTCGCAATATGCCCGACCTGTCAGGCCATTTGGCTAGTATGGTTTGTCCGCAATATTGATCCATGTGTTTCCGTTACTAGTAACGCCCATAACATCCATTCTCACCGTTATTCTTCTGAGTCTTCTTGTCTTTACTTAAAAATATGTTTAAAAACTCGTGGAAAGGTCTTAGTTCATCACTGAATGTATTTGAGATATACATACGACTAAGAAGTTGTAACTGAATAGAATCAAGCCAAATCAAGTACAACTCTTCCATGAAGTTTCCCTTCTTTCATATCCATAAATACCTCAGTCAAATCTTCCATCTTGCGAACCCCCACGTGTGGCTTGATGATACCACGAGCAGCAAAGTCAAGAACTTCAATGGCGTGCTGCTGATTTCCAACCGCGGAACCTACAATTCGCAACTGCTGTGAAATCATCTGGACAGGCTTTGCCCCCGCGACAGGCACTTCGTCGCCCTCAACCATTCCAACGCAGACAACAGTTCCATTGAATCGCAAAAAACCCATAGACTGTGCGTAAGCTTTCGGGGAGGCCGTGCACACAATGACTGCGTGAGCACCGAGGCCGCCGGTCAAATTCTTGATCTTGGTCGTCATCTCCTCGTCGCTTGAGAAGCCCCTCACATCGACAAAGTGCTCTGCACCCGAACCATGCACGAGATCAGCCTTGCTGTTGTCATCCACTCCAATGATGCGCAGGCCCAGAGCTCTAGACCCAAGTTGACAGGCTAGATGACCTAGACCGCCTCCCGCCCCAGCAATGACAACCCAGTTGCCGGCATTTGCCTGACTGCGAAGCAGTGCAGCGTACACCGTCACCCCAGCGCAGAGCATCGGGGCAGCTATAGCCGAGTCCAGCCCCTCTGGTATCGGCGTCACGTATGCAGCTGTCCCAAGTACGTATTGTTGAAAGGTGCCTGGAGTGAAGTAGCCCGAGATCTGTTGATTGAAGCAGAGACCATCTTCGCGGACAATGCAAGGTTCTGCGAGAACAGCTTAGATTTGACTAGGTGTGGACGTCAGGTGAATTACATACCACATCTTCCACAACAGCTAGCGATCCATTTCACTCCAACACGATCTCCAATCTTGATACCCGTAGACTCAACTCCTGGTCCCAGCTTGACAACCTTTCCCACACCCTCATGGCCGCCAACCTGACCCTTGGGTGTTGGAGCAGGGAGCGATGTCCACTGAAGTAGTGTCAGTCTTTGTATCAGTGTGAGGTTTAATCTCAGGAGTACAGCTCCAGGCGCAAAGATACATACACCATTCGTCATGACAGCCAAGTCCGAGTGACAGACACCGGAATGCGTCCTGGGTAGGTCAGTATCAGCTGGTGCACTTATCCGACATTATTGGTAGCTCACATATTAATCAGCACTTCGCCTGGTCCAGGTTCCGGCGTGTCCAATGTCGTAATCTTGGTTGAGATGGAGCCGGGGCTATCGTATACCACGGCTTTGTACTGCTTGGGGATCTCGGGTCCCTTGATGGCCATTATGAAAGCTATCCTGGTTGAAACCTACGTTCAAGTTGAAGCGGGGCTACCTTGAGATCAGAGGTCTGTATCGTGGTGTGTTGGTGATCTGTTACTTCTTTTTCCTAGTCTGTGCTGACTTCAAACTCTCAAGCGATGTGAGCGGGACGAATTAAAATACGGCTTTCTGATGGGAGCATTTACTGAGGCATAGATGTCAGATTCTCAACCCAATGCGATTGCAGATTGTAGCGTATTGAGCGTGACAGACCAAAGGCTTAGTGACGTTATGTTCTGTCTGCTGCCTCGGCCCAGCGGGGTAGGTCACAGGTAAGGGTTAAGTCGTGTCAATCATGCATCCCCGCACTGCCATTTTGCGACCCCATTAGCGTAGTGCGAGTCAGAAATCAGTAGTCAGTGCTAAGGAACCGAGGCTGTAAGTCAATTAACCAATGGACCTCGTGACAGAGCTGTTATCTCAGAGGAATGGCCGAATACGGTTGATACTGACTCCCTCTTCATCGCGAGCGATTATAAGTGTTTCCGCGAAACCAGATGGATTTGTCACGTAACCAGCATGAAGGTTTGACATGATATCAACCCTCTACGTTAGTATCCACACGTCTGTCGCCGCATAATCCAACCGGTACAAGATACAAGATGCCACTGACCTCTGACCTCTGCCTCCCAGACGGCAAAAGCTACAATCAGCCTTTAGGCCTGTATGATACTGTTCCTCCAGTCTATAATGGTATCCGTCTAAACTAGACTGTCAAGGTTCATTGATAACGAATTCCGTGAAAGCATAAATGGCAAGACCTTTGAAGTTGTAAGTTGCTTGCCGACCCATCAGGATGCGCCGGTTGCTGATCGACGCGTTTGCACAGGTGAATCCTTCGTAAGCGAACCAGAACCATGCAGCCCCTCAGTACTGATACACAGGACAGCACCGAGGAGGTCATAGCCCACGTCTCCGAGGCCGGAGAAAAGGACGTTGATTTGGCTGTGGCAGCCGCACGACGAGCGTTCAAAGGCCCATGGTGTACAACAAGCCCCGAAGATAGGGGAAAGTTGCTGCGCAGAGTAGCCGACCTGATCGAGGAGAACCTCGATCTGCTGGCCAAGGTTGAGACGCTCAACAATGGCAAGGCTCAGCAGTGGGCAATAGGAGATGTGAAGCACTGTGTCTCCGTCTTCAATTACTATGCAGGCTGGGCCGATAAGATGGAAGGTAAAGTGATTGATGTTGATACAGAGCGCTTCAACTTTACCAAGCGTGAGCCGGTATGTACTGTAGCTCCCATACACCAATTACATGACATGCTGACTTGACTCGTTTTGTGTAGTTTGGTGTGTGTGGACTAATCGTCCCATGGAATGCACCTCTTGTCCTCATGTCCTGGAAAGTGGCTCCAGCTCTTGCAGCTGGCAACACCGTCGTCGTCAAAACCTCAGAGCTAACTCCACTGTCTGCCCTTCTACTTGCTAACTTATTCAGACAAGCGGGAGCTCCGGCCGGTATCTTCAATGTCATCTCAGGCTTCGGCGCTGTGGCCGGCGCCGCCCTTGCCTCTCACATGGACGTTGACAAGATATCATTCACAGGCTCGACTGCGACTGGACGTGCCATCATGCAGGCGGCAGCCAAGTCTAACCTCAAGCCTGTGACCCTCGAGCTGGGCGGTAAAGGCCCCAATATCGTGTTTGATGATGCAGACTTCGATGCGGCTGTGGAGTGGGTTACTTTTGGCATCTTCTATAGTTCTGGTCAGGTCTGCTGCGCCGGCTCCCGCGTGTACGTGCAGGCTGGAATTTACGGTAGGTTTTTGAAGGCGCTTAGGGCAAGGGTAGCCCAGATTCAAGTGGGCGATCCATTCGACATAAACACATTCCACGGACCGCAGACCTCCAAGTCTCAGTTTGATCGCATTCTAGGGCATTTATCTCCCCCCGTTTCACACTTCTCTGTGAAGAAACTAATTGTCAATAGGTACATCAAGAGCGGCGTGGACGATGGCGCAAAGATTGAGGCTGGTGGCTCTCGCTGGGGCGACAAGGGCTTTTTCGTCGAGCCCACCATCTTCTCCGGTGCCTCTCATGACATGAAGATCATGCGCGATGAGATTTTTGGGCCAGTATGCGTTGTCTCCAGGTTTGAAACCCAGGATGAGGTAGTTCAGGCAGCGAATGCAACTTCGTATGGCCTTGCTAGCGGAGTACATACCAGGAACATCGATCGTGCCCTCAACGTGTCCAACCTCCTCGAGACTGGCACCGTTTGGGTCAACCAGGTTCGTACCCAACAGTAGAATACCTGATATTTACTGACTTTCGTCGCCGCGCGCAGTACAATACTATTCATCATCAGCTTCCATTTGGGGGATACAAAGAAAGTGGGATTGGTCGCGAGTTGGGAGCAGCTGTGTTGGAGAGCTACACGACCATCAAGACTGTCTCTGTCCGGCTATCAGGGACACAGTGATGGACTCTTTAAATATGATATCAGATAGTGAATTCAAAAGGAAGACAAGAGAGAAGAGCGGATTAAAAGAGGGAGGCTATAACTATCTTGACATCTAATCCTATCACTATCTTTTATACTATTTAGGAATTTCGTCAAGCATTGCTGTCAAAAGTAACCAGTCTTGTTCTCCTTCTTCCTCAATATGACGAGAGGAGTCAGGAGATACCTGAGACTCGCCCATTATTTGCTTCAGCCAGTCATCATCATCTGACCCAGCACACAACAAATTGGAAGGTAAGGGCGGTATGTAGCTCGTGACGACGGCAGACTTCATATACCACGAGTCCAGGTTCCTGTATGCTAGATTGAAGTCCTCTGAGAAACTATATACCCCTTTGGCGGGCTGATACCTGCAGGTATCTCTAAGGTCGTATGACCATCTGAATCCGATATCGCTAGCGAATTGAGCAGCCAGACTCTCGGGCGCGTAGTTAATGCCGAAAAGAATCAGGTAATCGCGCACTTCGGGCCTAGTTCTGTCAGAAGGACCTGGTCTTGAGTGTACAGGCATAGCTTGGCTAGGGGTTGTTCACCATACAAAGTAATCGACCAGCCTTGAGTGGTCCGTCTGGGATTGCAATGGACTGTTTGTTGTCTAAGTGAGAATCCGCTAAAACGCGATATGAGAGGGCTTGCCTGTTGCGCACCTTGGATTCATATAAGCAGGGGGTCTCCTGCTTGATGGAAGTTGTGGGTTGAGTTTGACCTGTTTCTCCTCTTAGCACACACTGTTGTCTTTGTTCGGCATGGACGACTACCATGAGCATTGATCGTATCACCCGGAGAATCGCCATCCTTTCTACTGCCCCGCCACGCCAGAGAAAGCCCTCATCGACAGCCCGCAACATCAGCCACCCGATGTCGAATGGGTTCTTAGCTCTCGCAACATCCCAACCATCAAGAACCGCCTGGATGTTGATGTCGTCGTCGATCTCGGGGCCCGAGAAGGCGTGTCCTCCCGCGTCGCTCTCGATGGTATCGAGCGCTTGGCTGAACGCTTGAAAGTAATCTCGCTGTTTGTCGCCGCAGCTGAGATCAAGAGCTGGATACAAATGCTCAAGCGACTCTTGATGGGGATTGCATGCTGGATTGTATGCATCGCGAACCTGTCTGGAGCTCTTCTCGCTACTCGCGGCGGGAGGACGTGGCGTGGAACAAATGCTTTGATTCAAGTCGTCATCAGCTGTGTGCTTTGAGATTGTATTGGTTGCGAGCTTAGAGATCTGAGCCAAAGCTTGTTTCAGGCTGGCGATCTCGTCGAATTGCTGTCTTAACTGTTCAGAAACATTCAATCCCGAGTTACTCTGGGCTTCTGTGAGCCTTGCGACGCTCCTCTCGAGATGGGCGATGTATGCTTTGGTCTTTGCACGGGATGCCTGCTGGGACATACGATCGCTCGCTCTCTTTCGTTCTCGTCGACTGAGGTTGGCATCGTTGCGCTTTGTGGTCAAGGCACCGAGGCCATGAGGAGAAGACGTGCTGTCTGTTGCCATGTCGAGCAGGTGTTGGCAGGAGATAGAGAAAGATGCGGGGAGAGCTATGGGATGCAGAGGTTCTGCCTGTCTGTCGCCCAATGGAGAAGCAGTTCTGCGTTCCCCAGACTTCGTAGCTTCAGTGCTGCGAAAGGGATCCGAGCGTAGAGGTCCGTGAGTGCCGAGGGTCCCGTAGTTACTAGCCCTTATTTGGCTTCGTTTTCATCCCATGCGTGCAAATCCCTTTGGAATGCGGGGTATGCGGCCGAAGTTAGATAGCGAGACGTCTTTTGTCAGTGATGATGATAAGATTATTATCTACTCTGGTCTGGCCTCTCGACTGGGATATGATGCTGGGCTCTTGGAATGCAAGACGTCAATTACCTAATCCTTGCGCTTACCTTCATTTCGATCAATTTACCATCTTTTTGACCCCAACGACTTTGTACACAGTTCGAATCTTGGCCGGGCGAAACTTTCAGTTCTGTCATTTTGGAGCTCCCGCCGACCTTGTCCTGCAGGGCTGGGTCGATCATAACATGTACCCCGCGTTTGTTGCCATGCATTATACCATGCTTGCAGAATTGTCAAGAACCTCGGCTCAGAGAATCCCATGGATTCATGTGACTAAACGTCAATCCCAATGGCTTACGTGCTTGATTGGGAAAAGTCCTTGATGACATTCTATTTGCGATACGAAATTCTCAGGACCTTGACACGTTACAAGTTCCATGTGACATGACTTGGCCTGGCGAAAAGCAGTATGCCTTTCTGGACATCCCAGAATAAAAAGACCGTCCTGCTCTTGAAGAAGCCATCAAACTGTAAGGGTCCAGAGAAATCGCTGCCAATCATAGTTGATGGCATGTCTTGGGTGATGAACCCTGATATCTAGCCCCGTACGGGCTTTTCGCAAAGGAACTTCCGTGAAGGCAGGTCGATTGACATTAAAGATCTAGGGAAACATTCAAATGTTAAGTCTGTAAAGAGAATGTACCGAATCTAGTGCCAATGTGTGAAGCCCGAGACATGAGAGCGGAAATGCTGCGGCTACGGTCCGAAGACGCCACGCTTCCGTCTGGCTGAATGGATTTGGTTTGCAGGTTGGCATTACTCTAGATGTATAGGGAGTAGACGCGCCTTCGGTGCAGCCACTGAGACTTACGGAAACATGCAGCGATTGAGAAGATGACATCCAGTCACTTGGGCCCCCGGCCTAGCCAGTTCTGTGGATGATGAGGGCAGCATTTCCTAGAAGATACCTGGCACCTGGATCCTCAAAGTGCATACACAAATTCAACAGATGTTGTCGATACATCGATCCAAGCACAGATCTCAGAGATACTAGGAAGATCCTCTGACAAGTTGTAGCTCAGAGTATAGACGTAGATTTGGCAAGGTCATAAACATGGGGACACCGGACTATCAGAGCAGACCCATATGCAGGAGATAGCGATGGTATCTTGAACCAAGTGACTGTGTTCTCAAATAATGATATTACGAGGGGGTTTGCCTTAGAAGAAACAAAATGTGACAACTATAGCTTTGTGGAGTTCTTTAAGCTATCTCGGCATATCAAGGGTTAGTATTGATAGAGGAAAAGAGCTAAGGTAGAAATGCTTTAAATCTAGGTTATATGCCATTGTACTAAGATCAGGGGACAGGTCATAGTGGTTAACCTAGCTCTGGGCATACAGAAATCTATGACTCGACCAACTTGCACCAAGATAAAACAACTAGGCTAGTACATATTAAAATACCAGCACCACTCCGACCATAACAACCATCACACTCCAGTACATGACCTGATTTCTGCATGCTTTTGATGAAGGAATCAACGATGGAATGGATGAAGACTCCCCAGATCCCAAAGGACTGAAGCTATATGTCGAATCGGGTGCCTCAGCCTCTTTAGTGACGCCTACCTCAGTAGCAAATGTCGTTGAGACAGCTGGGTGATGCCCGTGAACAGTAACTAATTGAGAAGGACTAGTAGAAGTGTCGGGTGCTGGCGCTGGCACAACGCTTGTCTCGATTGGGAAGCTGTCAGAAGAAAATTGCTGATCCTGTGGAGGCAAGGACTTGGAAGGATTCAGTGCGCTACTGGGTTGGGAGGCCGACACAATGGGTCCGTTCTTGGTATTATCCTCTGCCGAAGTTTGGACTGCAAATGATGATTGGTCTTTCTCATCACCTGGTCGATCGGTGTTCTGTTGGTCTTGTGTCGGCAGGGGGTTGGCTGTCTTTCCTTGTCGTTCCTTTTCTTCTGGTCCCTGAGATGCGGCCTTGGTACTCAAGGGTCCGTTCTTATAGTCCGGTTCCTTGCCATTCCCCCTCCCTTGTGTCGACTGGGGGGGTACGGGCTGTTTGTTCTCCGCTTCGCCTCCTGATCCTTCAGTTGCGGCTTCAATATCAGATCCATTCTCGTAATCCGGTCCCTGGCCGTTCTGTTCTCCTTGTGTAGGCTGAGATTGGGACTTGGCGTCTGCATCATTGCCAGTGTAAATCTGATGGCCTTCAATTTGATCAGGATATCTGTGGTTCCAAGCCTCATCCTCGATCAAACCGGAAGGGTTGTAGGTTCCACTACCAGTCTCGCAAGCAGCAACTGGAACCACCATGGTGACGACATTCTGCCCCTGATAGCCACAGGCGTCGCAAGACGAAATAATGGTGGTCATATCTACTGGCGGATATTCTTGGTGGTCACAGTTGCAGGGAGTATATTGCAGCGTTACCGGTATACAAGTACTGATAAGAACCTCTGGCTGACTTGGGTCAATAGTGACATATGTTACAGTGGTTACTGTCTCTGCGATGACAATCTCTGTGTATGTGACACCCTTAGTGACGTGAATGGTCCGGATAGGCCCTGGCTGAGTGGGAAATGGAGTGCTAGATATTGATCCCGACTCGGGAACAGTTGATGATGCTGAAGTCGCTGGAGAGGATATTGAAGAAGAGGAGACTGATCGCGTGTAGCTTATCTGAGCAGTTGACGCGGATGTTGATGAAAAAACCCGTTTTCCTGAGGCCTGTGAAGCCCCCGAAGAGGGGGGAGAAGAGGAGGAGGAGGAGGAAAAAGAACTGGAAGCGGAGGAAGAGGAAGAAGCGGAGACCGCCTGACGATAGAGTGTCAAGAGACGATTAGACGGAATGGCACGACGTCTACCTGAACCACCAGTAGTGCCTCCACAAAATAGAGTGGGATCACCAGGACACCGGAGGCCACAGCGGTCATCCTCAACGATTTCAGATCCATCGAGGGAATCGGCCTTGTAGCAAGTCCTAATAGGAGTTAGCTTGATTACTCTCGATTGCTGCAACACTTACTCTTCATAAACACCGACATAAATGCTTCCAGCAGATAAATCAACACAGATCTCTGTGGTCATATTGGCCTGGCTTGCTACCTCTGTAAAGGTTGGAAATCCCTCATCGGATCGCAGACAGGCGACAAAGTCATAGCCATCAAGAACTTGGATATTTCTTGGGCTTGCAGAGGGAGTTGATGAAGTCGTCGATGTAGTCAAAGAAGGCGAGGTTGAAGATTCCGGCGTTGAAACGCTTGTCGCGGGCGAGGTCTGTTGTTGGGTGGATATTTCTGTGGACTCTGTCTCTGCTGTGGTTTGACTGGTGCTGCTCGAGCTTGCTTCCGGTCCTCTAGAACTAAAAGAGACAGTGGTACTCTCACCTGATGACGTCTCAGAGCTTAGGTTCTCGGTACTGGCAGAGGTCACGACAGTGGAGATCTCCATCGATGAGGCTGTAGTAGTGGTCAGAATAGAAAAAAGTAGAGAGGATTCTGCTGAGGTTGATGTTGTAGGGTTCAGAGTAGACTCTGATACAACTGAAGTAGACAGGTATGTGGACAGAAACGTAGACTGAGATTCAGATTGCGTCCTGGATTCCACTGTCGACCATGACGTGGTGTCTGAGAACATGGGCTCTGGATGATGTCGGTAAAGTGGTAGAGATTGATAGGGTTGTAGATGGGGTGGATGTTGTAGTCGTAAGTGAGGTAGTTGTAGAAAGTGTAGCTGTGGAAGACGTAAACTCAGATGACGTAGCTGACGAAGACGTAAATGCTGATGTAAGAGACGTAAACGTAGACGATGTAGCCATAGAAGACGTAGGTGAAGACGATGTATCTGAAGAAGCAGACGTAGATGATGTAGATGTAGGTGTAGAGGATGTAGGTGTAAGGGTTTCAGTTGAAGATGCTACAGTTGTCAATGAGGCAGACGTTGCGGGTGTTGAGGTTGAATCGGCTGAAAATGTTGAAGACGTCGAAGGTAATCGGGCTGGGATAATAGCCAGATCATAGACAGCAATCACGGTCGAACTAACATACTCAACAAACGTATAGCAACGACTCATGGAGACAAAAAATGATACTCCAATGCAAGTCGAATCGATTTGACATAGGTCCATACATTGCTCAAAGCTGTCAACCAGAGCAACTGTAGAGTAAGAGCCTCCCAGTACCGCTCCACAAGTAACTTCAAATATCGTATTGGAAGCGCCAGTGTAGGTGCCGCCCAGTTGGGCGCAGGTCAATGGTGCTGATGATGTAGTAGATGATGCCGACGAAGACGTAGTAGAAGATGTTAAGGATATTGATGATGTTGAAAGCAACGAAGATGATGGGGATGCTGATGATGTTGAGGAGGCTGAGGATGATGCAGGCATTTTGTAAATGTAATCAGAGCCTACACTTGAGTACGTGGCTGATAAGGCACCCAGGTATACGATGCAGTAACCGTTTTGCTCTGCGAAGACTGCACCATCGCATTGGCTATCTACATCGCATGCCTGCAGGCATGTCTCCAGGGTATATCCAGTTCCAAGGCTAGATAGCGTTTGATACCCATTTGGCGAGGCATCACATGTGATTGTAAACTGATTGATTGTACCACTATAGGTACCATCCTGGCAGGCTGGAGGTGATGAAGATGTTGCTGCGGGTGCCGATGAGGTTGAGTCAGCCGAAGATGTTATGTCAGTTGAAGATGTTGAATCAGCTGAAGACGTCGAAGAAGTCAAAGATGGCCGCGATGAAACAACGCCCAGGTCCCAGGAGGCATCGGGTGTTGAATAGTCAATGTGACTTAAGAGGTGGCAGACATTGCCGCTGTATGCCAAAGACACTGCAACGCAGGTCGAGTCACTCGCGCACATATCCATGCAATCTTGCAGATCAGAAGTGACCGCATTGGAGATTTCAGTGCCAACATAATATCTTCCACATGCAGTATTAAACTGCACATTGTCGCTAGAACTTGTATAAGTGCCCGCTTGGCATTGCGGTGCCGCAGATGATGTAGCCGCCGCAGAAGAAGTTGTCGATGATTCCAAGGATGTCGACGTGGATGGCTGCTGACGGACAGCTATATCGGTATAGTAGCTGTACGAACCAGTAACCTCGGTGAATAAATAGCAAATGGGTATGGCATCCCACATTATTGCAATGCATGATGGATCATTTGCGCATGCCACCATGCACTCTTCAATGGTGCCAGCATTCATAGCAGCTTGACTTGAGTAAGACGACGTACCCGATAACCCCTGACCGCACATAACATCGAAAGCCACATTTTGAGCGGTATAAGGGCCTTCGACAGTGCCCTGTTGGCAGCTTCCTGCCATTGCTGTACTGGCCCAAAGGGCCAAGAGTCCGAGTTGCAGCCTCATGGTGTATAAGCTTGTATTCAACAAGAACAAGTTGCAATTGGTATACAATCGAGGAAATACAACTAAATGACACTCCTTCGAGACTCTGCATCTTTGTTGCTCCTTTGTATATTGTTTCTCTGTGAGACATTTATTATCTGCCTGTTACCTAAATTAGGCCCAAGGTTTATATTGCATTCCTTCCGCTTCGTATTTAGATGTAGAACAGTTTCCTTAGAATATAACCTTTCTTTCACAGCTTAGTCCAAACTTTAGCAATATTACCGCGACTTCTCTCTACACTATATTTGACCTTTAATCTATGCATTACTCCTCATCGCAGCTAGTTATTAATTAGCAATACGCAGATCGTTAACCTTATGGTAACTACACAGCAAAGCATAGCATTTTCAACGATGCAAATTTGCCATCTCCATGGTCTCGGATATCGGCATTTCTTTTACGAAGGGTGGCGCTCATCATTCGAGACTGTTATCAACTTAGACATCTTTGGTTACGGGTTCTAACCGTTATCTCCAACCGTCAACCTGTCACGCCTCATTTAAGCGGCGTGGCTTGCACTAAGTCGATATCTACTGGACGCCACAGCTGTTCAAGGACTGTTTTCTGGTATGCCGAAGCTCCGTGAAAACAGCTCATGTTTTTAAAGTCTCGAACAGGCTTCTCACCACCGATGGCATTCCGAAAATTGCATAGCGTGAGAGTGGTGGCTTGCATTCTATCCCAGAATGATAAGCACACGAAGTTGTCAACGTATACATAAACACAAAGAGCTCTTCATAAAATAGAAATACACAATATTGATAATAAAAAGAGTGCATTATACATAATTGAAGCTGCAGATAATGCAGGTTCGAGTCAAATCATCTATATGGCAGGTTGCGCGAGTTTACAAGGATCTTCTGGGTCCAAACAGCGAGAACACGCACTATTCATTTGGATTTGACAAAATCCAACTAGTCTTGAACTCAATAGTTCGCTTAATCTCAGCCTATCACATACGTCTCGCTTAACGGTCATTTTAGCATCAGCCAGCTACAGCTTAACCTGTAGCCGAAGGTCTGGCAGAGTGACTCGACATACTACGACGTTGTAGCGAGCCTCTATCAGGCCATTCTTTAGAGTCATTATGCCCAAGCCAGCTATATCGTTTAGATAAAGCGTTTTCATCTTGTAGATGTAGTTCCGATCGAGCTAATACATCATTCAGCGTCACAGAAGGGACCGACCATAGTTGCTATGATAGGTCATATATGCTACTTGTGTTTTGTAAACTATTGAACCATTGGCTGAGGTATCCATAGATTGCAACTAATAAATACTGAGCGAACAGTGTTGGCCTCTTCGTAGCCCTTTGACTTTTCTTTATTTTACGCCTCTACCTGACTGAACCAAGCCGCAATCTCACCAATGTTACTGTCCACAACATCTGGCTGATCGTAATGTTGAAAATGCGAAACACCGTTATCCCAAATCAATTTCTTCTTCTCGGCCGGGATCGACTCGAAATGCCTCTTGGCTGCAGGCGCATTCATACAATTGTCTCCATGGATAACCAAAGCCGGTTTCGTGAGTCTGGCCACCCCAGGAACAGTGGAATAACCAAAGTGATCCAAGTCACTCATAACGGCGTATCGGTTCTCAAATCCCTTCAAAGTCCACGGACCGTACCAGGTCCACGCGACGGGACCCGGAAGACCAGCCAGTGAACCAACATCTGGGTCTGCGGCTTTCGGATCGACGAGCGGTTGGTAAATGACTTGGCCCGTTTTTTCGTACAACTCTTTAGCCTTTTTGGCTCGCTCGATGCGTGCCTGATATAGCGCCTCCCCTTGCTCAGGCGTAGGCATCTTCAACGACCCAACGTCGACCCCGGGTTCGATGTTGACGCAGCCAGTGCAGATCATCCAGACGTCAGTCTCATGGTCGCGATAGTACCCTGTCACGGAAGCGACAGCGACGACTCGATCATCGTACGATGCAACGTCTAGGCACTCAGGACCGCCTTGGCAGACACCGACGAGGAACAATCTCTTTGCATCCACGTCGCCTCTACCGGCAAGGTAGTCAAGACCGGAGACGACGTCTTCGTTCTTCATCTTTGGATTCTCCAGACGCCGCGGCTGACCGGTACTCTCCCCGACGGTGCGTGGGTCAAAGATCAGAGCAGCATAGCCTTCGTCGGCAAGTCGTGTGGCGTACTGCAGTGGGGCTTGTTCCTTGACAAATGAGTATGGGCCGAGAACGACGACACCGGGCGGGTTGGTCACGTCTTTGGGCTTATACAGGATGCCGGTAATGGTCTCCCCGTGAGATGGATAGGTTACCTTCTCTGTAGTGTAGCGACCGTGGCAGCCCATCGTATGAAGTGAAAACAAAGTAGTCTTAATGTTGAAAGAGTGTTCAGTTAATGTTGATGAGAGAGTAAATTAGAGCTTGTTCATCAGAAGCGGTGATAATCAGAAGGTTTATATACTTTGCTACGTGTCCAAGGATTGCATTCTAATAGCATGCTCATTGTCTTATAGAAGACAAGCGAGAGGTCGGTGAGCTGCGTTTCTTGGTAAGTATTGTGTTATCTTTCAGGGATAACTTTGAGGGATAACCCCACTATTTCGGAGTCATGAACCCACTGTTTTCGGAGAAGGGTCCACTATTTTCGGAGCCACGGCCTATGCTATCTTTTCATTCGCCGCTGGCGATGCACATAATGAGTTTTCCGATGGTCAATTGATCCCCACGGCCTCGGGTGTCGATCATGGTAGATCAGCATCTCTTTTTGACGTAGTTGGGTTCTACGTCTTCCTGCGCGGAACGGACTTATTGCATCACCAGAACACATGTCCGAAACGCTAGCCTCGTACCAATTCGGTGTTAAGAGACTGGGCGTTCAAAGTTGAACCTAATCAGCGGTAGTCAACCCACAGCTACTTGTAGCTCCCTTCGATTGGTAGCTGAGAACCAAGGGCAATTATCCCTTGCTTAGCTTGTCAGCGCTGATCTTTAGCTGCTGCGGACTTTGACGCTGTTTATCCTGGTCACTGCCAGAAAGTATATTCGAACTGGCCATTGTCAATGCTTCCTCCTAGCTAGGTTCTGCTGGCATGCCCGAAATAGCCTGCACAACGGCCGTGCCGACACTACATGCGGTTCGGTGAGACAACACGACGAGTCTTGCAACGGGTTCTCGCCTCGACAGAAACTTTACTCAAAAGGCGCCAGGGGCCTTATGGAATAGCGTGCATGCTATTGCTTGACGTTATTGCTTCTCTTTCTCGATTGATAACGAAACATTTATACCTGATATTCTTTCGCAACATATTGCCTCAAGTACAACAGCATGACTGGGTCCCATAAGCTCGTCCTTGTCACTGGTGCGAATGGCTTCATCGCCACTCATGTTGTGCAAAACCTTCTGCAAAAAGGGTACCACGTCCGAGGAGTCGTCAGGTCTCAAGCATCTGCCGACGCTGTTCTCGAGACTTTTCGTGACAGTTCAGAATTCCTTTCCGTAATTGTCGTTCCTAGCATGACGGCCGGGGGGGGGGGCTTTTGACCAAGCTGTCAAAGGTGTTGATGCGGTATGTCTACAAACATTCGTGCTTCTACATGTGACATGAGGCTACTTGGCGCCATGTAATGTATCATCTGTGCAGTGATAAGGCATCAAATCACTTCCAAAGCCGTCCATAATGTTCAACCCGAACTGGTCTTGCCCATAAGCTGCTGGTAATGAAGGACTTATGCTCAACGACTGAGCCAAATACCCGCAGCGCAATAGTTCGTTCATTGGTTGAGGAACTAAAACGTCTCCGAGGTCGGGTTGTATAATGGTGTCCCAATTCGTTTCCACTGTCTCAGTCTCCATTGCCATAAAGCTTCCATCACCAGTACCTCGCTGGTAGTTGTCCCGCTCCTCCGGATACACAGTCGCAAGCATTTTTCGATACAGCCGTTCGATAATGCTGAATGCGGAACTGGCAAGAAAATTCTTCCTGGCCTGCAAAGACTTGAGCCGCTGAATGCCCAACTCAAGATTGCTCCTGGTCGCTGCAAACTGTTCCCGTAGTTCATTCGGAAAGCGGATATGTACCGCTGCAACGAGCACCATGGCGTCGAACGTCGCAAACACCAAACTGAAAGATTTGTACTGTAAAGGCTCTGTCTGGTCGAATAGACGACCTTGAGACTCCAATATTTGCATCGCCGCGTGAAAAGCCTTGTGGCGGCTGCTCGGCTCTACAAAGATGAAGGGTCGGTGCAAAGCAAAGACTACAAAGTGCACGTTGGTGTACATTGTTTCCAAGGCCGCAGAAAGCCAAGGAGGTTCTCCATCGCGAGACCTCTGGACTGTCGCCCATGCGGGAAGGTTCGAAATGTTGGTAAGAATAGTTTCGTGGATTCTGTCAACTGGGACTCGCCAGTCCTCTACTTTCTCGAGATCGTGAATGTCCTGTAGGAATTTGTAAGCCGTGTGATAGCCGCATAAGATGACGTCGCGAGGTTGCGGTGGTCTTGGCTTGCCAGAGCTGTCCCTTGATGACATTGGCAAGGCCACGTCGTTGGGACTCATTCTCGTCGACAAGGGTCTTCCAAGTACACTACCCATATGAGCATCCCAGAGGTGAAGGATAAGCCAGACATTGCGGCCCACTTCAAGATCCGATGGCTCTTTAGATGTCGAGTAAATCGTTGACTCTGGCTTTATGAGATGTAGACCGAGTTCTTGAGCATCGCGGATAGCAGTTCCAAGCGTGTGCCATGCCTCGATTACTGCCCCTGTGGTCTTTTCAAAACATGCTCGCATCAGCTCAGCCTGGATTCCCGTTAGAGTGGGCTCGCTCTTTCTGAAACATGAAGTGAGTCGACAACCCGCATCACTGTATTCTGCTGCCCGATCTGACAACTCCATATCGACAGCATACTTCAAGTCATTCAGGGTCTCATTGTGCTGTGCGGGTTGGAAAAGTAGAGCCTGTGCCAAAATCTGGAAGAGCAGAGCAGGGAAAGATCGAAGGGCGTTCGGTAAGGCACTTGGTCCTCTTTTGAATTGATCATGCGTCAAGCGGCGCCATTGAGCAAGTTGGTTCATAAAGTTAGCTTCGTTGACGATATCGTAATGCCATGCTACATTTCTGAAGAAGTCTTGGACGAGAATGTCTATATGTTTTGAAGACGGAAGTTCTCGAATCACGCTCATGTATTCGCCAGGGGCAGGACAGTCCCTGTGCGGGACTTGAGGCAAAAGACTGGCAGGCTCCCCCAGACAGCGGAGGACTCCTGGTGTTCCTTTTGTATGGTCGCCATAGCCCAGTGGTTTGAACTCGTCAGGCACAACACCCAAGTCGGGCGGAATTGGTCCTGGGCATGCTTGTAAGACGCCGTTGATGGATTGATCTTGGATCTCGATGGAGAGGAACGAAGAAGGCGCGCGATTGGAATCCAAGTCATAAAGGCAGATGTCCTGTTCTCTTAGCAAATGGCATGTCCCCAGAGAGACCAACACGCTTACTGCTTTACCTCGTTTCATGCAATGAGCACATGGCTGGCGGCGGTCGCACTGCAAATACGACGTCAGTCTGGGATGCCTTGATAAACGAGGTGCCAATCAATGCCTTTTGTTTACGTCGCTGACACTCCCTGCAAGAGATGACAGAGCGCTTGCGTCTCGCGGACGGTCCAATACCGGTGTGGCTCATGAGTATTGGAGTTTAAAACGTCGTTAATTACAAACGTTAGACCTTCAAGGAAATACAAAAGAACAAGTAGAGCGTGTTTGTGTATCGGACAGGGTATAAACCGCGAGCTAGTGGTGTGCGCCACAACCCCGCTTCAGTATGACGAAATGTTGTGGCGCATTAGAGCGAGTAACATAGAGCCTGTCTTTGGGTAAGAATACGCCTGTCTGCTCCTTGATGTTAAGAGCCTAGGGGAGGAGAGAAAACTCATACCCCGAATCCTAAATGACGAAAAGACTTGGGTAAACTTACCTAAATTTAGAGTTTTCTTTACAGAGTTTGTCTTGATACCCTATATTGAGGTCCTGTGTTTTCTGGCTCCCCGAGGAGTGCACTGTTGAACTAGCCTCGAAGACAAGACGTTGAATGTAGGGCTGGCCTACAGGGTAAAGAGAAAGTGTATGACCAGTTCGCACATGCCTTCTGCTGTGTATTTTGGAAGCTATCTGCCTTATGAACGGCGAATTATTTCCTAAGGCCAGTTCTTCACTCAAAGATATATGGTTACGGCTTGCAACATTAGTGATTATCTATTCTGGAACCCCAATGTGGAGTAGCCAATATCTTTGGCCAACTGGTCCGTTCACATAGCAGATCTTATCCTAGTGAATTCCATAAGCTCCCCGGCCCCAGCAGCATCGACTGTTGCTGTGCCTCTTCCCTGGCATAATCTATCCTGATTCGACATATGGATTCCCTCGATTGCATCGGAGAAGCCGACGGGACCGGTGGGGTACTAACCGGATTTAGACAGACAACTGTAATGGCGGGGCCGTTCTGATGGCATTATGCGATGGAATACGGCAGGCGAGATCTTAATAATGGTCTGGCCTCAAGGTAGAGTACAATTGAGCCTTCTTGAGATTTACTCAAGTGTGTGGATTATTTCATGTCATGGTGCTGCGAAGTTCCGTATAAGCTACACCTTTTACAACTACCAAGACCCAAAACTCCCAGACCACTTTTGATTCGCCCTACGAGACAAAAATACAATCCATTGGCTGTTTACCCAATGGCTCCTCTCAAAGTGATCATTATCGGTGGCGGTCTTGCCGGCGCGTGTCTGGCAGACGGCCTCATCAACAAATCCGACGGTCAAATCGACGTAACTGTCTTCGAACGCGACGAACCTGGTTCAGAACGAGGAGGTTACCAAATCCGACTTGGGGCTCACGCACTTATCGGTTTCAAAGCTTGTCTGACCCAGGAACAATACGCAAACCTTCTCTCCTGCTTTGGCAAGTCTGGAGGCGTTGTGTCGTCCGCGCCTTGCATCTTTAGTCCTTCTGACTTGAAGGTTCTGATCGATTTGAGTAAAGCTCCAGTTTATGAGAAGAGTGCTCCGATTGCACGAACGAGACTTCGAAACTTTCTCCAGAAGCCACTGCAGGAGAATGGCTCTATCCATTTTGGTAAGAAGTATGTGAGGTATGAAGTACTTCGAGGAAAGATAGCTGGGCAAAGCAGTATCAGGGTTCACTTCAGCGACGATACTCATCATGACTGCGATGTCCTCATATCTGCTGAAGGAAGTGGAAGTCGGATCAACAAGCAGATTGGGCTTAACAACATCGTCACCGAGGTGACGCCTGGACATGGCGGCTACTTAGGTAAATGTCATTTACCGTGGTCTGTACTACAGACACTGCCGCGACAGCTTTTGGAGAAGGGCACGATCTACACCGGCAACTCCAAGGCTATGGTGTTTGCCGCTGTATATCTACCAGAAGCGCTATCGTCTCCCAAGAATACTTCCTATTCCGAGCACACGGATATCGTCAAACCCAAGAACTACGACGAGGATGAAGCTTCTCTTTTCCTCGGTATGGCATGGACGACGGGTCCTGATGCCGCAGAGCTACCTCACGTCAAAGACAAAAAGGGTTTGATGAAGAAGAAGCTCACAGAGGCTGGCTTTCATCCTGATTTTCAGAAGCTGGTTGATGCTGTCGACGACGACGCTATCATGACGACACCTTGGCGATATGCGAATAACGACACGCCCATGGATTGGAGACAACAGCTTCTATCTAAGAGCGAGAGGATGTCGGATCCAAGCATTGCGAATTCGCGTGTTTGGCTTATCGGGGATTCTATCCACCCTATGCTCCCTTCTAGAGGAATGGGCGCGAATAATGCGATCCACGATACAGCTGATGCACTTGGTCCATTACTTGAACTCGCGAAGCTGAAGAATGCAAATGGAGATGTGTCTGATGAACAGATTGGTGATCAGCTGGCGGTATATGAGAAGGTTATGATGCCGAGGGCTTTCGAATGGGTTAAGAAGAGCAGCAACCAACAGGTGTGAATCCCCCTTGTGGCGTGATGATTGGAGCTAACGATGTAATAGTTGCCGGACCTGGACAGTCTGTCAGGACGAGCAATGATCGTTGGTCTGCGAGTGATGCTCTGTATAGTCGGTGGTTTTGTCAGATGTCTCCGGGTGCTTGGATGGAGACCCAAGGATGATGCTCCTGAACTCTCTTGAAATACCCGCACCATATCACGAACTGTTGTATGATATCTGCTTATTGCATTAATTTACTCTCTGTTTTCTTCCATTTTCCGAGCTTAGCTGATAGGCTTGGATGTAATTCATGAGTTTATTGGAGGGAACGTTATCGGCTAACAGGATTCCATGTTACGTAACGGCCATCTGTTGGTGTGCTCTTGTTCTCATCATGAAGTTTGCACATATCATTGGAGCCATCGCATAGCTGAAGCGCCAATTGGTGAATCATCGAAAAGGGTAGTTCTCTGATTTGTAGAGACCACATCGCAATCAAAGAGGCAAGGCCAATGAATAACATATATTAGCGTGATACAAGACTTGGAATCTCGGACTTGGGCAGTAAGAAATTGGTTCATTTATGGCATTCTCGTTCTTCTCTTGAAGATAGTTGTACAAATAGAGGACATACGTCTTACGGAGAACAGCTAGCAATTTGAGTAAGATCCTAGACCTTGGTCCGTTTGAAACCAGCCTGACAATACCTTGCAGTCCCATAAGCAAACACGGAAGCAATCATGGTACAGCCGCAAAACAACTGCAAACCGATGAAGCTATTCCCGCTCCCGCTCTTATCTGAGATTAACGCACCGCCAAGCGGACTGCCCGTCAAAGCCCCGAATGCATTTACAAGTGATGCGAGTCCTATTCGTGTACCGATCTCTTCAATTGGGCTGATCTGTCCGACACAGCCAGGAAAGATGGATACGTAGCCACCTGAGCCGTAGCCAAAAGCAACAGCATATGCCATGATGGCTGCTGTACTTTGACTGCCCGGAATCCAGAGCACCAGCGTCAAGATGCCTGTGAATGTCGTGATTATCAGCATGCAGTTGAACTGGCCGATGACATCTGCCAGTGCACCTGCTGTCAAACGACCGATCAGACTGATACCGTTAATGAGCGGAAGAAGGTAAGGCACCAGGTCGGACGAAACACCGCTCGCCTTTGCCTGAATGATGATGTAGTTCAACGGTAGAAACATTCCCCAAAAGAAGAGAAAGCCACCAAACATGGTCAACACCATGACTGGCTCCTTGAGGCAGCGCTGATAATCTGACGACGCGAAAGGACGCGGTTTGGGCGGGGTCCGTGACCTGATCAAGACGCATGAAATCGCCATGAAAGCCAAAAACATGAAACCAACAGCTCGCAAGGTCCACCCAAAGCCGATGATCTTGAACAAACGAGATAGTATGATGGGTAGCACTATACCACCGGCGGAAGATCCAGAGTTTACGATGCCAAAGACTGTTCCGCGCCTCTTTCTGAACCATGATGTTGTCGATGTTAGTGAAGCAGTGAATACGGCGCCTGAGCCCATGGAACTAAGCAGTGCCTGGGAGAGAAGGATCTGATAGTATTGCGTTGACAAAGAGAGCATCATTATACCGCAGACATATACGGGAGCGCCGATGAGAAGAAGGTATCTAGGGCCGTATGAGTCATAGACACGACCCCACTACGAAACGCGCGCTGTTAACTCCATGATCCGAACAGTCAGTGTTGAAGTGGGACATACGACTGCTGAGCCACCGACTTGGAAGAATACTTGCAAACTCGTGATCCAGCTAATAGAGCTGGGACTGTAGTCTGCTAAAGGACCTGTCTGGTAATACTCGAGAAATACACCGACGCATGTTACTAGGCCGAAGGTGCAGAAGAGGCCGAACCAGCCTCCGACAACGACGAGCCATGCTTCCCTTCCACCTTCGGGATACTCAGTCTCGGTAATGGGAGATAATGTTTGAGACTCTGGTAGTGCCTCTACATGAGGGTGTTTCTCAGATGTATCGAGATCCATATCTGGTCTGGTAGAGCTTGAAAGGGAAGTCTCGGTTTGGGCCATGGCGATGGGAGGCGATGGGAGGCTTTTTCTGAGCTATTTCTGTCAGTATAGAGGTAGATCATTAGAGGTAAAGGTGAGTATAAAGTAATATCAGGCTGTGATTAATTTCTTTTGAGTGGTAGCATATCTCGGAATCTAGATCCGTGCCGAGCCGACACCGCCTATGACAAGCCATATTCGTGGCGGGACATTGTCCTTCTAGACAAAACAAGTGATAGTAGATGACTCAAATTAGTCACCGGCGGAGGTGCTTTTGCTCAATGTGTTTCTACATGGGGTAGAGTCGACTTCCGACCAGCAGCCGACGGGGCCGCGTGGGGGACGGTATAGATCACGTTCAGATGAGGGGGAAATGTCAGCGGAGCCTCGGCATCTTAACAAGTCACATCCTGATACTTGCGGTAGGATGCAGTAGTTTCTCTCCCTCGAGATCGTATCACTAGCCAGATAGTTTGCCAGTTTAGATTTATCTATGAGGATTACAGGTCATAGTAGCGGGCTGAACTGAGCCTTGTGGGTAAACGAACATATTCTGCAATGAGTAACAGACACCTGATAGGCTAATTCCTCCCTTCAAAGACATCCAAAGGTCAATATTGATAAGTGAATCATTACTTTTGCAATATTAATGGGGCACAAATCTTATAGCATGGTGTAACGTCCTGGACCATGCAGTAACAACAACAGTCGCGTATGAAAGCCATTGTGCATCTCAGGAGCAGAGCTCGTATATCTGTGAGCTCTACGAGATCTTTAGCTAACAGTAACCTATAGATCCAACGTGACAGGCTCAACAAAGTCCATCGTCAAGACTTTTGTCTTACCATTCGCCTCGACCGCCTTCGTCGCCGCTTCAGTCTTTATCCTCCAGGGTGGAATACATCTGTGATTGATCAGTAAATCTTACATTCCAGGTTTTCTCAGCAAAAGTCACGTACGCTTCGTCATGTAGACACCAGATCACCTGAGACGGACTCCCAAGCCAGCCAACCTTCAAAGCAGCAAACTCAGCCGCTGACCCATCGAAAGGTCTTCCGTTGAGATTCGCCCTTCCAGCAATAGCCATTATCGCAACATCAGGTTTTGGCTGTAGGTCTCTCAGAATACCCTCATAGCCGCCTAAGTGTGCACTCCAAAGCAATGCTTTCTCACCAATGACAAAGTTGAACATCAACTGCCCGCCATCGCTGTGAGAAAACACGTTACGCTTTCGATCAGCTACATACTCAATAAAGGAGCGGTGACCAGGCGTGAGTTTCTCGGGTGGCATGAGTTCTCCGATCTTGAGCAAACCATATTTCATACCGATGGTGGTATCAAGCGTGCAACTGTATGGACTCGCTGAGCCCTTGTATACGGTCGCTGTGTCGATAACTTCAGGGTGATCTGTAGGCATCATGCAGTGCAATGAAGGCCAGACGTCAACTGAGAATGCTGCGAGTTCATCTAGCGGACGTCGAGGTGCTCCAGGAGGAGCGGGACAGAGCAACGATGGATCAGCATTGGCTTTATTCCAGGTCTCACGAGTGAACAGTGGAATCCGCTCGCCGCCTTGAACAGGGAGGAGTTGATGTTCTGGAACGCCGGCCTCTCTTAGGAGGTTGATGGCTTCATTGTTGGCTATGACGATGGCGCCAGTTTTGATTGCAATGCGATCTGCGCCAGGCAGGCTGCGGGCTCGTTAATTTTATAGACTGTATTCTCACGAGTTGTACTGACTGGTCAAAATGGGCATGCGAGATGAAGATGTAGTCAGCTTCTTCGACGTCATCAACTGGTAGATACGTTTTCAAGATCGAGGGCCTGTCTAGCCAGGTGTCAAGGAAGATGGTGACGCCTCGTGTACGCAGACGGAATGTCGTGGCACCTTTTGAGTTAGTGACAAAGAATCCCCAGAGAAAGAAAGGTACACTCACCGAACCATTCAAGGGTCGAACCTGTCGTCATGGTTGGTTCTGAGACGAAAGTCGGTTTGAGTGTCAGTGTTGCGAGATCCGGGCAACCCAGGGATGTTGTCTGGAAAGCTTCACCACTTTCACGTTACTGTAACTTGAGAAATACGTGCCTCATTTACTAGTCAGTAGTAGTAATCAGCCCGAGAAATGACATTCTATGAGTGAATAACTTCTACCTACGCATTCAAGAGTATCAGCGGGGCGCTTCACGACCACTACCCTGGAGCAAGCGGGGCCGGCGGGGTAAAACACTCCGCCATCCAAACACCGTTAGCCCCCCACAATCATCGAGATAGTGATCCCGTCCCGCCGGTTCTCGATAACTCATCCTCTGCCCTAAACAAACATACCAGTCGTGCCGTACCCCAACGGGGTAATCCGCTATGCAGCAGAATCCATTGTCGTGCGATCATTGCGGAGAGACGTTCCAACGCCGTGAGCACCGAGATCGACACGTCCTCCGACACACGGGCCTCAAGCCGTTCCAGTGCAACGTCTGCTCCAAGTCGTTTTCTCGAAAGTTAGTCACTGCGCCCGTGGACGCCGTGATATTTCTGACCTAATAAAGTGATACCCTTACTCGCCATCGGGCCTTGCATGGTGGTCAGCCCGGGTCTACCAGAACACGTCGTCGTCGTCGTGGCCAAGCTTGTATATCTTGTTCAAAGGTGAAGCAGAGCTGCGATGGAAGTCATCCTTGTTCACGATGTGAGAATCGCGAGTTGGAGTGCATTTACCCCGGTGGGGATTCTGGTGCACAGCGAGACGATAGTCTTACTATAATCGTCGGAAATTTATCCCAAGGCCAAGACAGACCTGCTTCATCGCCCCTCACAGCTGAGGGTGCAGACTTCCAGGAGGAGGCTTTTATCGCCGGTGAACTTCATCTCAATTCTGAAGAATGGGAAACTCCTCCTGCTGTCCCCTCTGATACAAGTGGAATGTCGACGATGGCATCAAGCACCATATACACAACCGTCCCAGACACCTCTTCCAGCTGGCCTAATGTACTAACCGTGCCTGATACCTTTACTCTCAACCAAGATATTACCAGCTTTGGTGCCATGACGGATAATACATGGGTGTCTTGGAATTCTTCAATGGCTCATTTCTCCTTTCCATGGTTCATGAACGGATTGGAGATGCCACTTGAGCTACCAGATATGGCGCCTCGTCATGAAGACGTAGCACATCACGCAGCTTTGACCCAACAGGTTGTAGAAGGCCCGTCTTATTTAATCCCGGAAAACATATGTTCCACTTACACGAAGCCATGCCACCCGTTTCCAGAGCCGGAACCCATGGGACTGCAAATGGCTGGCGCTGAAGTCTTTGGGCATATCCATAACTTACCTGGACAGGCCGTAGAGGGATTGAATAATTTCTACAAGACACAGAGGAGAGACACAACAGTAGCAGTCATTCCTCAGGGTATCCTACACGCATTTGTAGAACTATACTTTGAGCACTTTGACTCTCAGTTTCCCTTCCTACACCCATCTAGCATGGAAGAATCGAACCTCCCATGGATTTTACTGTTAGCCGTAGCAGCAGTGGGAAGCCATTACTCCGAGATCCAAGGCGCAGAAGAGTATAACACTGCGTTGTGTGGACTCCTCGCCCGGGCTGTTGAACTACCTGCAAGTAGAGTCTAATTGCTGTTTATGATGTACTAGCTAACCATAAAACCGCAGGTACACGACAACATAGCGAATATCGACGTAACAACAGTACAATGTGTCTTTCTTTTACATGTTCTCTGGCTGTTCTCAGGCTCGCACAGAGACAAGATTGTTCTACAGCATAAGCGAAGTAGCCTAGTGACGATGTGCTGGGACCTCGTTGGCAAGGCTGACAAACGCAGACAGTCAACTCAAACTGAGCCTCACAGTCAAGAAATATGGCAAGCGTGGATCGCTGAGGAGAGTGAACTACGTCTCGCAACTTGCGTACGTGTATTGGAGTGTTTGAGCCATATGTTCCTGGGTACTCCGCTGGTCTTCAACCTTCGTGACGCGACGCGACAACTGCCTTGTCCTGAAAGGCTGTGGCGGATAGGAAATGCTTTAGAGTGGAAGTCACTACAAGAAGACTCTACAGGTATCGTAGTTGTCACCAGAAGTAAGTTTATCAGTTTACTGACGATCTCCCAGGAAATGATCCTAAGCCCGATGCCTTTGCCGCCAAAGTCATTCTTCTCGAACTATACATCGACAACTTGAATTACTACCGCCAAATTCGCAGTTCGCAACTCCTACAGTCTTCATTTGAATCATATTTAAACTCCCCAGCAGCGAACGATACCCAGAACGTACCGAACTCTTCGCTTCAAAGACCCGACACCGTTAGGAGCGAAAGTGCTCTTCTAGACACGACGATCGATCAATTGACCTTGAACAACAAATCGGACCATGGAGCCTGTACAGACACAATATTGCATGTCATTGCAATTCTAAGGATGATTCCTCTTGAAACTTTGCACTCTGCTACAGGCTGGGAGACGAATAAAGAGCAGATGATGAAGTCTAAAATGTATCTCAAAGACTTCTTCAAGAACGACAGTGTCAAGGCTCGGAAGGGCTTATGGCATGCTACTTGCATCTTCAAAGCAACGCGCAGCTCGCGTCGTCTCGCGTGTTATGATGCGCTCAGTCTCACAGTGGCGATGGGCTTTATATACTGCTACAGCGAAACACGCGCATCATTGGCACCGACTCCAACACGCCCGGTGATTACACGCCTTGACCAATTGCAAGACAGAGACGCTATTGAAGAATGGATAGAGAACGGGGGTGATAACGTCGTTCACTTGACTGGTGTTGGATTGCTGGATGGCTCTGACCATTGCGTCCGTTTCCTCCGAGATTTGGAGAAGACACTGGTATCGCAGATTGCGTGGCGCGGGTTCTGTCGTGCTTTTGCCAGCAGTTTTGCTCAGTTGAGACGTGGTGAGATGCCGACCAAGAGCTCGAGGGAGTATCTAAATGCGGAATGATAGAGCTTTTGCACTTACTCTACCGCAGAAGAGGTCAATACATGAATAGTGGGAATCGCGTCGTAAGCTAGATATATGGGGACCCTGACTCTACCATAAGCGAGCATTTCATGGAGAAAGCATTAATTAGTTATTGAAGCATATACGATACAAGCTCCTTGTTCTTCGACCCTTACGCGGTACAGCCAGGACACTCAAAGCAAGAATTATCACTCCACGTTCCATCCCTTGAGTGATCAGGCCAATCTCTAAAGTCAGCCACCTTCAGCTCCCTAAACGAAAACATACACCTATCATCCTTGTACCCAGACCCAACGCAGTAATCCAGAGCCATGCATATAGCCGCACACTTCTCAGGCGAGCTCTGGTCAGGATACGTCGCGAGGTCCCACTGGTTGTACGCCTCCCAGAAACCCTGGTAGTTGCACAACGCACCTGGCTTGCCAGACACAGCGCGGCAGCTATCGCCTTGTTCGTACGAGCAGTACCTCGTCGCGGGGAGAGTAGCGGTCTCAGAGCAGGCCGGGCATGTCCAGCAGGAGTTGTGGCTCCACACAGCGTGATCCTGAGGCCGATCTTCATGCGAGACCATATCAGATTGCTGAATCTTCTTGGAGGTGAAGAGGCAGCGGTTCTCGGTCTGGAAGTAGGCGGAAGATTCACAATTCTGGAGAGTCTGGCAGATAGCAGCGCATTGGTAGACATCGTCTTGGTAGGGATAGTCTGCGCGGGACTCTTTCCATGTCGTGCCGGTGAAGAGGGCGGCCCAGATGCAGAGGGTGTCGCTGTGGTCTTTGAAGCGGTTGAACTCACATTCTTGACCGCGGTTGTAGATACAGTTATCGGCTGGAGATGTCGTAGTCGCTGGACTGTAAGAGGTACTGGTCGCAAGGGTTGTAGATTCGGGGGCGATAGTTGTATCAGTATTGACAGGCGTAGAAGAAGCCTCTGCAACAGTTGTCTCTGCGGAGCCATTCTCACAGGCAGAGCATGTGAAACAATCCATCCCATACCAATCAACATCAATACCATCATCCGACATATCGCGGACCTCAGAGCGTGTAACAACATTGTTGGAGAAGAAACACTTCCTGGGGGCAAACATATAACCTGCTGATTTGCAGCCAGGCAGCGTCTTACAAATCTCAGCACAGTCATCGGCACCATCATAATAAGGGCGTGTCTCGTCATCGTCTTGGTTCGGGAGCTGGTATGTCAAGCCGTTGTAGAGGCCGTAGACTCTGCAGTTCCACTCGGGGTGGTTGTCGAAGCCGTCGCGCATGTCGCATGTTGGCTTACAAGCTGTCTCGGTTGGCTGCGCGGGACGTGTAGTGTCTGTGTTGGGGGGAGAGGTGGTGGTTGTCTCGGGCATGGTACTCTCTGTGAAGGCCTCCGATGAGGAAATGGCGGAGGTGGTCTCGGGGTCGATGGTTCGTTCGGTGAATGTTTCGGAGGTCGTGACTGGGTTTGTAGTGGGCGCGCCGAAGTCGAGGACAAAGTTGCCAATGTTGGCTGGGGTAACTTGATTGGAGATGAAAATCGAGTCGACCAAAATAACCGAGATGCCATTCCCAGAACATGTGATCGAGATGGCAAAGGTAGCGGAAGCAGATTCAGCATCAACCTGCTCAAGAACATGCGTCCAAGACACGCCAGTTCCGACAGATGATAGAGACTGCGAGTAGAACTGCCTGCTGCCTAGAGATGCAGCAACAGTGCAATCCTGGCTACCAAAAGAAGCAACGAGATAGTAGAACTGAACGGTATACCTGCTTTGAGAACCAGTGCTTAGTGAGTTGAGAGTCTGCCAAATACTAGCAAATGATCCTGTATCTCGCTTTCCAGCTGGGTTCCCGGAGGCAGTCAATGCAGCGCAACCATCATCGCGACTACCGTCAGCCTTGTAGCAGCCTCCCTCGTGAAATTCTGCATTTCCGGTCGCGCCGAAGTTTGTGAGTTCGCTGGGAGGGTTGTTTGCATTGCGGACGGCGAGACTTCCTCCCTCAATAGCGTTGGTGATGATGATATCGACTTCTTGAGTTGTAGTTGTCGATTGAGGAACGGTTAGACTGGGGACTTCGGATGTTTCGGAAACGTCGGTCGGGATGGACGATGTAAGTGCAAGACTAGGAGATGTTGGAGCACTGGGTTTACAAGGACCAGCAGCGGCCAAGTTAGCCAGGGTAAAGCCCACAAGCGCAAGAATAGACTGCATATTGAAACAAGCTCAGTAAAAGTGACCACAAAATTGGTCAGAAAACGAATGAATGAGAGCTTACCTCTGCAAAACAAAATCGTGCGATGCAGATTTATTATGTATGTATGGACCCCTTGTTCTGCCAAGTCTTCAATCGACTCAGCTTTACGAGACTATTGACCGCATCACGGTCGAGATTTACTATTTTCAGGGCTCATGAGCAAAATTCGGGTTAGCGAGCTGCCACTATTGATAACTATTGATCCTTATAGCGGGCCGTTTTTGCTGTACCTTGCAGGAATGAGTCTAGAGCCCGAAGGCTAACCCGAGTCAGCTGAGGGTCGTATCCACTACGGAATTACCGCCGTTGAATTCATTTATCTTTAGCTACGGCTAAGGAAAATAAGAAAGGGACATTTGCAACTAAATAAGTTGTTTAAATATATAAATATAATCTCCTGAGTATATACAGTCTTAAATATTATATGGTTCTCTCAGATTTGGCGGTCAGAGTCTCGACACCTAGACCTGGAAGACTATGAGTTCTGGGTTGCTAAGTCGGCAGCTCAGTGGAAGTTCCTTTACCAGAACTATCAACGGCATTTCGCAGAGTGTAGAACGGCATTTACCGACTTCATATCTGATACCGGATTGGTGGACCTACCCCCGTCTCTGTAGGCTTATTACCACATGATTGGTATCCATCACCCCCTGTTGTGTCCTTGATACTACTGGCTTTGTTGGCTGAGGAATTGAAGCCTCTTATACGCCTCCAAGACCGGCCAAAGAGTCATTATTTAGGTTTTCTTTTTTTTTTTCCAGCTTTATACTGTAGTAATTAGTTAGTCACTCTAGTTGTTGGTGTTGTTTGCAGTTGAGACCTGTAAGCAAGAGCTTTCAGTCAGCACACAGAATTTAGTTTGGCATTACTGCGTTGGTACTAGAAAAATAGTGCAGGCAACTAATAACAACAACATTCATTCGTTCAAGAAAGAAACTGTCAGTCTTGATGCGCACGATTAGTCAAGCCGTTAGTAAACTCCAGGTTCTACTAGATGACTCCGGGTCGCTAGACTATTAGCGATGAGCCAGCCAGTCATAAGAGAGTCCCGGACATCACTAAAACATCTGAAATGAGTGAAACATATGATGCCGGAATGGCTCCAATCGGCAGTAACTATACAGAAGCAGATCCATCCAAACTGATATTAGTTGGAGTGTTCAAAGAGTTCTTCTCAAACAAGACATCAAGTCGTCATGTTTCTATTTAATATAGCGCTTTATTCATCTTGTGTAGCTTGGGAATCCTCTAAACACTTCTCTCCGTACCATCACGGCAACCACCAGGAAACTCGAACGGTTCAAAAATGCCGAAATCCTTTTCCGACCTCTCGTGAAACAAGGCGGTATAGCACGGCAGTCCAAAATGGAATTTGTTGGCGATGAAGACAAAGATCGGCATACCTGGCCCAATCAACTGGGCCACACCAGGCTCTTAAGCAGGGGTTCGGTTTGCCGGTAGTATTGTGGTTCTCGGGCTTGCTTATTCCAAGAACTCACCTTGGTAATGTACGTCAGTGAATTTGCCGATTCAGATAATCCATCTACTATTGCTCCGTATTCATGTTGGCGGCGGTAAATGCTTACGTTGGTGATTTAGCGCTAACTAATGGCAACCAACCATTCCTTGCATTTGCCAGAGGTGACTCCGCATACACGGACGGCCGGTAAACCTGAAGGCCGTCCCCACTTCTGACAATAGGGTGTTCAGGTATTACTCCGTGGCATGATTTAATACAAGTTCCTGAAGAACCCCTAACAATCTTTAGCCTTATTTACCTTCGATATCACTTTTTAGTTCACCATGGCCACTCGATTCGAGAAAACGTCATCTGACGTGGAAGGCTACACCCGTATCAAAAACGAGCTCATTGCCATGCGCGATGGTGTCAAGCTTTGTGCAGATGTTTTTCTTCCCTTCTCAGCGTCCAAGGTCGGCGAAAAGGTCCCAGTTATTTGCAGTCTCGGACCTTACGGCAAGGATGTCCACGCCTCATCGTTTGGATTGCCTCAAACAGATATTTACACCGAAATGTATAAACACATCAAGCCGTTGGGGCCAGATGCGTGCTTCGAGCTATGCGAACCGCTCATATGGGTACGCCATCTCACTTGAAGGATCATCGCCCAGAGACCAATTCTGACTTCAACGACGTGTAGTGTCAGGAGTACGGCTACGCTCTCCTCCGTGTCGATGAGCGTGGAATCGGTAATAGTGAAGGACGGCTGGATCCTTTTGGTTTGGAAAGATCGGTGAAAATTCAAGCTGACGCTCAGGGCCAAGGTAGGATATCATCCAATCTCAGTTTCCAATCATCATCAGAAGCTCATTTACTCACTAGATCTTTATGATGTGGTGGAGTGGGCTGCTGCTCAAGACTGGTCTAATGGCAAGGTAGCATTTTCAGGCATCAGCTACTACGGTATGGTAGGATACTTTACCGCTATGCAGAAACCTCCACATTTGACATGCGTCATGTCGTATGAATCGGCCTGTAGTCTCTACCAGGCTGGTCGTCGCGGGGGTATCTACAGCCACAACTTCCAATCCCATTGGTACAACAACATCGTTATACCTAATCAACGAGGAGCTCGAGATGGGACACGAACGAAGGAGGAGCTTGCGGCCGATCGAGTGGACTACCCCAACCTCCTAGCAACATACGAGTACCCTGATCAAGGCCCCGTTGCTTTTGTGGAAAGTCTCAGATCGCTCTCTGATGTCGAAGTGCCAATTTATGTGGCCGGCAACTGGACCGATCCAGAACTACATCTTCCGGGTAATATACGAGCCTTCAATGGAGTCTCTTCGAAGGAAAAGTGGCTTGAAATGCATACTGGGAATCATCTAGCTGCATTCTATGAGCCAGATCATATTTCATTGCAGAAGAAGTTTCTAGACTATTTCCTCTTCGACAAGAAGGATAACGGAATGCTTGAGGTGCCTCGGATCCGGCTAGTTCAGCACCATGGTACCAAGACCCTATACCGTGAAGACGAGACGTCTTTCCCGCCTGCCGATGCACAAGACGTTTCATTTTATCTGTCTCATCAGAAGAGATTATCTTTCAGTCAATTGGAAGCGGAAAAGCAGCGATTGTCCTATCAGGGTTACAAAGAAAACATCACCTTCACCCTTGAAACTCCATTCGCCGAGTCTTTCGAAATACTTGGATCTCCATATCTCGATATTGAAATCAGTACCAATGCCGAGGACTTGGATCTCTTCATCTATCTTCGTGCAATTGATGCGGACGGTGAGACAGTGGTATTGAAGGGCAATCATGGCGAGCCTATGGATAGCTTCACCAGAGGCTATTTTCGCCTATCACACCGGGATGAAGTTGCCAAGGATTTCGATAAGGACCGCGTCATCTCCCAGCCTCCCATTCCCAAGTCTGAAGTTGTTTCAGGTCACACATACAGAGTTCTAGTGCCTATCTATCCGACAGCATATCTCTTTGACAAAGGCGAAACGCTTTCACTTGAGATAGGCTCGGTTAATACGTCGAGCACAATTCCTCCCATGCGCCACGAAGGGGGTGATAGGGTTGCAGCAAGATTTGAAGGCGAGAACACTATTTTCTCTCACGGTCGTCTGGTATTACCCCGTGTGAGACGCTGAATAAACCACGTTAGGCTTGACATGTGAAATTGAGTTTCGCTTTTATTATCAATTTTCGCAACCTGTATGACATGAATTTCTGCGACATTTTTATTTTCTGTTTATCTACTTGTCTGCTTTGCCTCAAATGACTACGAGTTAACGAGATATGTGGAACAGAGGATAACGCTCGTTCCTCAGCCTCGAAAATAGGTGTCCAGGCGGCCCTACGTTAGCAATTTTAGGTTTCAACATCCTGGAGCTCATAGCGGCATCAACCCTGTGCAAGAACAGCATGCCTCGCTGTTTTCAACGGCAAGAGATTGACTCGTCCAAGACATACATGTTCGCCAATGAGGCCATGGTAAGCGGACCGATTATGTAGGTCTGGGCAGAGTAAATGCGGAGCTGTGTAGACTGTGAACACAGCCACCAATGACACGTTTGGAATTGTTAGGCATGAATAATTTTCTTCTTCGTGTAAAGCATTATTTACCTACTTTTTGACGCTCGACTTCAAACTTTGCTACGCTGAAATTATGATATTTCCCGGTATCAGCATCCGCGTCAGGCCACAGACGTTATGACACGTGTGACTGCAGCCCATGTCGGGAAGCCCCGCAATTCTTACAAGCGGTCTTCAAGGTGCAAGAGAAACGAAGCCTTTCGATATATTTTTGTTTTTTCTTCATCCAATATTGCTGCGTTTAACAGTTATATTTTGAATCGCGCAACAGAAAGTATTCTCAGTATGGCCGAGAGTCCAGGGCAATCCAAGTACCGTCATCCAAACCCCGGGAAACGGCAGAGAATTAGATCACCGAGCAGAGACAGAGAAATCATCGATAACGGCGCCATCTATACTCAAAGGCTTGATAAGGGAGCCATCAGAATCATGCAACTCCATCGCGGCTCTGGATCTGATGTATTCGAGTGCGACTTGAGAAGTATTCGACTCGCTGCCAAACCTGTGGTGCAAACACCACCCTACGAAGCCTTGTCATATGTTTGGGGCTCAAAGCAAGATCCAAGACACATTTATATCAACGGAAACCGTTTTGCTGTCACACAAAACCTCTTCGAAGCCCTTGCCTATCTACGGCTCCCTGACTCTGATAGAACGCTGTGGATTGATGCGATATGCATTAATCAACTCGATTTCGCCGAAAGAGAAGTCCAGGTTCAGCAGATGCACCAGGTTTACGGTAACGCTAAGGGAGTAATCGCCTGGATAGGAAAGGCAAACGAGGACACACATGAAATCTTTGATTCGATAGCTTCGATGGGAGAGGGGGTCCAAAAGCTATTTCCAGGCCTGGATTTGGGACCACTAAGTGGTTTGAATTTAACCCTGGGCCATGAAGGGAGAACCCAAAGGGAAAAAACAGCATTAAGCCAGCTGGCTGAACGACCATATTGGTTTCGTGCTTGGACTTTTCAGGAAATGAAGTTCGCCACGTCACTCACTATCCAGTGTGGTGTGAACAAGATAGCTTACAGTTCGTTTCACAGCTTGCACATCAATAAGCAAGCTACTGCAAGTTTTCGGACACGCAATGACAACGGGGAATTAGTTCAACGCCATAAAAATAATCTTGACTCGAAATTGCCTGACCTGAAAGGCGATCAAGATTATCCCAATTATTTCCTGGAATGCCTGTTGGACCGACAATGCTCCGATCGGAGAGACAACATTTTTGCCTTTTGGAATCTGTTTCCGCAGGATTTGCAAAAAATGATACCGATAAACTACGAGTCCCCTACTAAAGACATACTTCTTCAAAGTGCTCGGGCGATTGTTGAATCGACAGGAAGCTTGTACATTTTCGTTATCAGAGCCCGCCAGATCCCGCCAGAGAGTCATGAAGAAGAATGGCAAAAGAACATGCCATCGTGGTGTCCTTATTTAGCTGCACAATACTATGACTACGGGTTCAAACCGCATACCATGTCGAACATATTCACTGAAAAGGCAAAGGTGTCATTTTGTACAGATACGAAGATCTGGGTGAAAGGGTTCGTGGTTGGCTACATTGACCGAAGCCTCTCTCCAGATAATGTACCAAGCACCGACTGGACAGATGAAGATTACAGTCAGCAGTTTGGATTTTACACAAAATGCCTTGAATTAGGTCTCCTGAGCGCCCCTCCAGAGAAAGGTGAGCAGTCCCTATGGGCAACTACCCGCACGCTGCTCGGGGACCAGGGCGAAGATTCAATCGGCGATCAAGACTTGATTAATTATGCTTTAGGACGAATATCCGACGAACTGGACGAGAATGATGCAAAATCTGCTTTATATCATATACTGAGAAACACAAGGTCTCGGCAGGTCTGTTCTTTCCAGGTTGGCGCGTCGGTCATTAGAGCATTGCGATCGAGTGGATTACCGCGGGAATTCTGGTTGAACCCCATTGCTGTGGTACCTCGGACAGCTCAGTGGAGAGATGCTATCTGTGTTATATCTGGCTGCCCCCTACCAGTTGTCCTCCGGAGGTTTGGCGATACCTATCGCATCATAGGTGAGGCATTCTTTGATACTCAGCGTCTAGAGTCTGTCGATATCCATGTAATGCTCAGGGATTTTGTAGTTGAGTAGATATATGCTCCATATATAAAAGCCTTAGATATCTATCAATAAATGGTCTTAGTATTTGAGAATAAGCTATATATTATATATTCTTGTTGTCTTTACTAGCATAAAATCTTTGCTGCTGAAACCGAGTTTAGGGAGCTGTATCGTAATTTCGTTCTCGAATTAGAACGTTAAGAGACTATGGCACCCACGACGAGCGCCGCCAATTGTGGGTCATTTTGGCCCTTTATCTTTCCGACCAATGCTAGAATTCTCACAGGCGCCGAGTTTCACAAAGCTTGAGCCCTATATGCCAGCGGTGACGGAGATGTGAGGGAACGCAATTTCGTTGCTGCCTCAGCATATCGGCAGAACACGTGAGCTTATCGTATAAAACATTATCTGGAGGTATGAGGCAATTTTCTCAAATCTTTACCATGCATAGGAACAGACCTCTTTGCTTTACCTGCAGATTTCCTGCTTGTTTCTATGCTTCTTCTTGCGGGCAAGGTTGCGAGATAAGAGAGACCACCACCGGGCTGACACACTAACCATACTCTCGGCTACAAAGAAAAGAGCAAAAGAGAGCATTTGCCAATTATACAGTTTGCTGTCTTTACAGCAGTACAATACTATGAAAAAGATGATACGAGTGAAGAAATTAGAGAAATAGTCCGACGATTAATTTAAATTTGAAATCATTTCCATAGTCGGCTATTAATATAACAGTATGAGTAACAGGAGGAATCAGACTTCTGTATAGATTTAAAGACCTATCATTTATAATTGAATTCTAATATACTATGGGAGAGATCACTTCGAAGTCAGAAATAAGCGATGATCACATCAAGGTTGAAGAACGATGACTAAAGGCCTTCGACGCCGAGCGAGTAGCGTCAGGAGATAGGTTGGGGTTGCACAACATAGTAATGATCTGGGCAATTGTTTTACGAAGGATTAGAGTGGCGATTGGCCAGTAAGGTGAAACAAGCACAACAATACACACGCTTGCAGGCTGCACACGTGACTTGACAAGGCTGAGTACCGGCTACGCCAAATTCCTCGTTCTTCTTTCTTCATACTCAGTCCTTCTGCAACATATCGATTATCGCATCAAGCATCACCCCCAGACCCCTCCACGAAAATCTCCTGATTTCTTCTCAAACTCTTATTGACAGCCGTGAATTTGACGCTATATTAAAGCAGCGTCACAGGACACGTCAACTCCGCACCCAGGCGGGCTCTAGGGTGCATAGTGAACTTAATGCTTCAGCTGTATTGAGAGACATATTTCCCTTGGCTAGAAGATATTGCAGTGAGTCAAACAACTCTGCTAGAGTTGCCAACCAAGAATTAAAAGACGACTTTGAGGAACTGTCGATGGAAAGGGAAACACAAACAGTAGAGGATGAGCGAAGAAGAAGGCTGGACAGTGGATCATACCGTAGATCTCACACTCAGCCATGGTCTTCCGATCGAGATGAACAAGACGACTACGATGAGACTGGTCATTCTGGTCGTATCTCCAATCGCACCTACCACCCAACCCGACTACCGTCGCCTGTCCAAGGACTCTCATATTTCCCTCACGAGGATTTTCGACTTTTAGATATCTTGGACATATCACGGACTGGTAGAAGAGAAAAGACGAATCTATGTCATGACTTCGATCCTCGTGATCTTGGTCGCTCCAACCACTCTTACAAGCCGAACCGAGCACCTTCCCTATACCGGGGCTACACATCGTATAACAGTTCCTACAGCGACTTCATTGAGATTGCACAAGGAACTGGGGATACTATAATGATTGAAAAGGACAAGAAGCGAAGCAAGCGAGAACGTATGCGAGACCGAAGGCCGCGCGCTGAAGAGCTTGCCGCCCGAACTCAAGAGGCGATTCGCCAGGCAGAGTTAGAGATAAAAACCGCTGCCTCGAATAAGGCTGAGGAGGAAGCCGAGCGTCTTTGGAGAGCTGATTATCCAGAAGACCCCCAAAGTCGCCTATGTGCAATACGATCTTTCAGTAAGCTTTCTAGCAAAGATACAATATACAAGGACAACACAATTGGTGATGAAGGAAGAATAGACGATCTTCTAGCCTCTGTGGGCAAAAATATGATCAAAAACTCCTTCCTTGAAAGAGCCTGGAGGTAATGGTTTAAACGATAGAGAATAGCTTGGAGGACACACCAGAAATAGATATCAGGATGTAGAAGGCGGATATCAAAGCAGGTCAAAACGGATAGAAAGCACCTTTGACTTCGACCAGTGGCAACACTTCACACCTCCACCGAGTCCACCAACAGATTGGGGGAGTCTGAAGATGGGGATGAGGACGTCGAACGAGCTCCTTCATCGCGTCCAACCTGGGCCGATGCATGCCGGGGCAGGTCATTGGATTAGGACAATACCTAATCACGATAGTGAATAAGATAGTGACTCTACTCTGCCTGAACTCATTATCAATATATCTGAATAATATGGCCGTTTTCAAACCTATTGTAAAGATTTTGCCTAGGCCCTTCTTCATATAAACACTGTTTGGCAACACCTCGCAGGGAATACTAACAGCCACTCTAAGGAATACAGACATACATGACCCCATCCATCCTAGCTCAGTTAGGTCCACCATATATAGTGAATTCCGGCATAGTATCCTATAGGTAAGGGAGGCTAATAAGTTGAGTCATAAATATAAATCTGATTTTTCTGATATCTTGAACTCTTGCAATAAATCCCTTCCCACCTCTAAGCCATATTCCTTTCTTGACTCATCAGTAATAAATAACGCGGTAACCAACCTCTCTTCCCCAGGCTTGCTAATAAGTCTCCATGGCGTGAGAAACTTAAGCCCATAGGACCCTTTCTCGCTACTGGCAAGTCTTAAGAGAGCAAGCATCGCAGGCATTTCCTGAAGATACGTCTGAACACTCGGACTCTTATTTAAAGGAGGTTGTCTAGCAAACTCAAGTATTAGAGCCGCAACTCCGGCGACGATAGGACATGCGAATGAAGATCCTTCCAAGATTTCGTTTATATTGTGAGAGGTAATGCCGAGACCTGGTGCACTGAATCTAGACCCTCGACTATGCTGAGAGGCTGATGATGGGGCACTTCTCGCATGCTCGCCGTGACCGCCGGCTGCATCAACTGCAATCACACTCTCCGAGCGTGCTGGATATAGAATATCGTTTGGGGGACCAAGAAGTCCATCGTTGGAGGTAGCTGCAAATACATGCACGCCGTTCTGGCGTGCGAAATCGATGGCTTTACGCACTGCTTGATGGTGGTATGGCCAGCCAAACGACATGTTGATGATATCAACACCCCATCCGCCACCATCTGGGCTATTTTTGTTTGGTTTAGCAGAGGCCTTTCTGATAGCCTTTTCAATTGCTAATCTATCAGGGCCGCTGTTTGGGCTAACCACTCTGCAGATGTATAACACTGCTTTAAGGCTGACCCTTAGGACCTGCAGAGGACCGGGTATCGGCAAGACACTCACTGCAGAAAGGTATAAGTTCTCGGTCTGGAAAAAAGTAATTACCTAACAAGATGCAGTGTTGCCGAAGTTGCAAGAAAGCCATTATACAGAGTCACATGTGGTGATATTGGCACCAAGGCAGAAGACGTCGAACAGGTCTATTTTAACTCCAGTCTCTATACCTGTGACTAACCATGTCCAGTACCTCAATGTTGTCTTACACCTTGGCAAAACTTGGGGCTGCGGTATACTATTGCGGTTCTCTATTCTTGATTTCATTCTAACTTTGCTAGTTGTTCTTCTTGACGAGGCAGATGTTTTCTTGGAGCAGCGATCATTGGTTAACCTTGAGCGAAATGCTCTTGTGTCGGTATTTTTACGTGTTTTGGAATACTACGATGGTAATAGCACCCCAGCCCAACACTTCAAAACGCGTTAACATCTCCCAGGTATCCTTATCCTCACAAGTAATCGCGTCGGAATCTTTGACGAAGCCTTCAAATCTCGCATTCAGTTAAATCTCCGCTACAAAAACCTCGACCGAGGTCAACGACTACAGATCTGGAAGAACTTCTTCACCCGTCTTAGAAGACTAGAAGAAGAAGCTTCTGCAAATCAAAGCGGTCTGTCCTACGGAGCAAAGGTGGATGAGATGCTAGACAAGCTTGATGAGCTAGCCGATGCTAATCTCAATGGCCGACAGATTCGAAACGCAGTGTCTACGGCAAGACAACTGGCTAGATATCAGAAAGAGCCACTGTCGTATAAGCATCTAACGGTTGTGATTAACGAAGCGAAGAAGTTTGATGAGTATTTGCTGGAGTTGAATAGGACTTACACGGCGGATGAGATTCAGAGGGGCAAGGGAGAACGTTAAACAGGTCCAACAATGATGTGAATCTTTAAATAGCTACGTGCAATAACCCGTGTGGATCGCCTTCCTCCATTTTATCAATTGCCCCTTCAACTCGTACTTAGTCTTCCTGGACTGTGACGGCTTTACAGGGAACATCGGATGGCAACACTTCATCAAAGGCATCCTTGCTGTTAAGCTGAAATTCCTCGCCGCCAGCATCAAAATCCTCAACACCCTCAACAACAATCTGAACATCTTGATCACTCCCTTCTTCTCTGAGCCCCAGAACCGTTTCCCTTAGTGTATCTCTCATGAGATACCTCCCCCTTTCGCGAGATCTTGATCCGTCTCAAACGGAAGGCGAAAACAAAAGGATCCCCCCCGCTCTGCGACTGCTTGGTCGAAATGGTGTTGCTGCCTCCGATCTGTGGACCCAGACTTATTGGAATGCCTTGGGAGCTCAAGTCAGTGCCAAATTTAAGGTGTAGCCCCCTCTGCTTTGCATGTTCGATTGTTGAAGCTGCTCCGTACGCGATTTTGATACCAGTGATCATGTATACCTTGTTTGTAGCGAACCAAGGCTTATTAGCGCGCATGAATCTTTGCACTCCCTCATCCTTCAAGCACTGCGAGACATAGGAGATTGTTGGATGGAAAGATACTGTCTTCAGATTCTCGCAGGCCCACTGCTTAGTGTGCTCTTTAGACGAGTCGACAATTACATCGCCTGCCTAGAGTTTGCAAAAAAGATGCCTAAACACCAAATGACCGGTCGCTTTTCGCGCTCATATCAAACTTGAAGCTGGCCTGGTTATGTTCGATGACATCCATTGATGCTGAAAGTTGAATCTATTGATGATTTCTTGTAAAATGTAAAGTGATGAGATAATGAGACGAAAACCTGATGAGAGTTATAAATACCCTAGAGACCGCCGACAAGCCAGTCAGCCTCACAAGGATATTCATCCAATAACAAACAACCTCAAGCGCGCACCCAATATTTATGCCTGGCAGCACAGCCCCCCCCGCCTCCACTTCTACAAAACCGTGACACGTCTCAAATAATCCACTCTCACAACACGTCACAAAAGCATCGTGAGAGATCCAAGACCCAATTCAAATTCATCTTGCCGACAATTTCGTATCATCAATCTGAACTCTCTATATTAGAGCAAAGTGATTCTGTAACGGAACCATAACCCCACACTCACACATATAACAACTTCACAATGTCCATATTTATGACACAACCCGCCTACGCCTATGCGGCAGCTCCTCCACCTCCTAGAAAATACTCGGGAATAAGCAGTGCTTTTAGTGCTTCTGCTAACCCCGATGAGGACTGGACTAAGATCTCTGACCTTACTGAGCGCCGAAGAATACAGAACCGCATTGCTCAGCGCAACTACCGTATGTTAACCCTACTTAACTCTAGATTCAGTTTAGAGCTTTATAAGCTATTCTTACAGAGCTTATAGTCCTTTTTAGGCAAGAAGCTCAAGCGCCGCCTTGAAGACCTCGAGCGGCGTGCTGGTTCTGACGATGCGGAGTCTGATAAGCAGCTACAGAAGCCTACTGAGTCGAAGAAAGGACTTCAATCTTTGAGTGGGATTCGCAACAGAGATACAATATCAAAAGATAACACACGGGGAGATGAAGCGCGGATGGGTGATCTTCTAGCCACTTTTGGAAGAAGGGCAATGCGACTAAAACCTCAAGCGCTCTCTTGGAAACAGCAGTACGTTGTCGATAACAGAGCAATTGCTACACTACCTGCTGACTAGACTTAGTATAGTAGGACCGGGCTTTGAGCAGAAAAACGGCCGGGTTTTTGAGGTACCTCAAAGCTCCGAGCGTCGCCCCCAAGTCCTGCGTACCAACATCTATGACTCTTACATTGATTCCACCTATGACAAGGATGACATGTTAAACAACACCAACCTGCTTCTTGCTGAAGACGATCATGAAAGCCATGGGGGACATAGTGGCTTTGTTGTCCAGAATATAGATGGAGACCAGTGGATTAAACCGACTGTAGTCCACTACTCACAGATATGGAAGACACTGTTCCAAGACAGGTTAATGGCATTGAGATCCGGATGAAGAAACAGAAAAATAATACGAGAGGGAAGGGGCAGAAGTCAAAGAAGGGATAAATAGGGCTTCAGGCATCATCTCGTGCAGAGGTTCTGGCCAAACTGTTAAAAAGAACAACCTTGCCAAAGAAGAGCATAGCATCGCCAATTTCAGCTCTCCGCGGATAGACAAGGAGAGGCAAAGGAAAGGTTCATATAACGTCTGCGACTTACTCCCAGCAACAAAAGCTAAGATAGATATATTATATGTCTGATTGAGGGGCCCTTTATGGATATTATCAACTAGATCCGAGCTCAACAGACGACATTTACAGGAACTATTCTCTTAAAGTCCCTACACTAATACTCTTACGCTAGTTAGAACATGTCGCATGTTAGATTGATTTACGGACAACAAAGCACGTGATGTAACTGCGGGGTATGTGGGTTTCAGCTAATACTCCGCCCCTCACTGCAAGATCAAGGAAGAGAAACGCATCATGCCACGACAAAAGGGCAAAGGTAAGTTTGAGCCAATTGAAAGTATAGTCATTCACTCACTCAAATAATACTAGGTTGCTCAATTTGTTCGAGGCGAAGGATCATCTGCGATCTTGGCCAACCGAGCTGTCAAAAATGTCTCGGCAGGGGATTTGCGTGCCCCGGCTACGGTCCGAGACTTCGATGGGTTCAGGGCGTGGCTCTTCGTGGCCATCTTCGGGGTATCCAATTCCCGGTCCCTGAGTCTCAAGCATCCACCTCCTCACCAAGTCTTGATAGCAACACGCAACAACTGTTGGACTATTATGACAAGAACATCGCCGGGTTGATGGTCTGGATCGACTCAGAAAAGAATTACTACCGTCAAAAGGTTCTGCCTCTTGCTCAGACAAATGAAGCAGTCCGTCTCGCTATATGCGCTGTCTCGGCCCAGCACGCAGCAAGAGACTTCACGCCATCTACTGTTTATGAGAAAGATAGGGATCATGTTTTGTCGATGATCATGCAAGGTGTTGATGACATGACCGCACATCCCCAACTCACAGTGACTGCCGATACAGCAGAATGGATGCTCTCGTCGATGATGGTCCTGTCATCCTACGAGTTAGCGCATGCTGGCGGTGCAGAAGCTGCTGATTTCCACCGAAAGGCAGCTCGTGCGTTAGTCAACACTCTATCGACTCTGGACTTTCCCAAGAGCAGCCTTTTCGGCTTCTTACAAAACCAGCTTTCTATGTATGATATTTTTGCATGTACTACTTTATTCGACGCGACAGACGTGCAAGATGCGATTCGGCCTATTGAGTTCGGGGAGGATACGTCATTCTCGGCTTATCTACTACTTCTTCATGATGCGACGCTTATATCTCGGGGCGACTCACCTGAGGACTCAATTCGAGATTGGAGAGGGAAATTTGCCCAGGCGCGAGGGGAGACATTAATGGAAGTTGGAAATAGCGGGATATGCTCGAGTGCTGACCGCGGGGACTTCATACGCCTTGTTGACGCGTACCACAATGCCGCTCTGTTATACACTGCACGGTGTCTTGATCATCAGCATGGTGTGGAACAGACAGTTTGTATGTTAGACTTGTTTCGACTACTGACTAGTATGGAGAATCTACATGCGTCGATTCATAACCTCGCGTGGCCAATCTTCATAGCCGGGACAGAATGCTACGGGGACCACGACAGGCAGTTCATCGTGAGAGATCTGTACAAGAGCCTATCTGAGGTCACAGGGTTTAAGCACCATGGAGATGTTCTCACTTTTCTCGAGACGTTCTGGTCCAGCGGAGATTCTGACTGGCGCATACTAGCAAAGCAATGGGAAGGTCTCGGGAGAAGAATCCTAGCAGTTTAGAGGTCAAACTATTTACTTCTTAACAGTCTCTTCATCCTCAATTCCAAAGATGACTTTCATCGGGTCGCGATATTTGTAGAAGCCTAACGCCGGTGGACAGATGCCATATCCTAGCAATCTAAGCATTTTGGGGGGGAAGTTCCGAGTTTTTGCGACCTCTGGGGGAATGCTTAGGTACTGGTTCTCCTCCTGCCTCAATGTTCCCTTGCACATAAAGATGCCAATAGTTTCTCGTGCATCATCCCTTTTCATGTTAGCATTGCATAATATCAGAAAGTTGGAGTATACCTACTTGGTGATGTTGGCTCCGCCTGCATGATAAACGTTGCCCAGGAAGAGCATAGCGTCGCCAATTTCCAGCTCTCCGGGGATAGCCTCTTCATCTAATGGACATCTGTCTGGGCCCCAGAGATGACTCTTTGGGATAACAATAGTCGCACCATTCTCTTTAGTCGTCTTGGTCAAAGCCTAGCGACGTTAGATAATTCGGACTGTTCAGCTCAACGGGATGGGGCTTACCGTCACGCAACCGAGCATCACAGGCATGTCGCAGTTCCTCGGATGATAATCCGAATCATCTCTATGAAGGGCCTGTTGTTTTCCACTAGGCTCAACGCGGAACCCAACAGCGCTAGCAATGTAGGGCTTTCCGAAAACGGTCAACTGCTCTTGACCTTCCCAGTATGTGTACTTACTACCCAGGACCTTCTCGGCAACAGATTGGAACAAGGGGTTGATGGCTAGTTCGACACATGCGTTTGAGGTAGCAAAGAACCCGGTTGCGCGCTTCGTGGTGGGGGGAAAGAAGCCTGAATCATCTTTGACGTCTGAGTCAAAGAGCGGTTTTAGGTCACTTCGAATCTGTTCGCATAGATTTTTGGAGGCTATGCCTTTGATGATCAAGGCACCGTCTCTCTCTAGGGCATTGATGATGGTGTCTGCAGTTGTCCCAGGGTCATTGGCATGTAATGTCGAGATTGCGGTTCCAGCCTCTGTGGGATAGGTTGAGGAAGAGCACATGTTTGCGACCGATGAGAGACTAACAGGAAACTTCCAATAATTTACAGTTAGGTGAGAGATTTCAAGAATTTCAGTCGTAAGTGATATCCCTTTTAATACTTGCTTGTAGTCATGTTCCCAACTGCACTTTCTCATATTAGCAACCTAATTGAGAAGTTAAATCGAGGTCTCTCATAGTAACTTCCTAAATCAGTATAGCTTCTAGCTTTATGCGGGTTTTCTCATCACAACATCTAGAAAGGGAACACGCAGCAGTTAACCTATAGTAACAATTCATTTACTTTTTAACAGTTTTTATAGTCTGCAGTGTAAGGCTTTTATAATAACACTAACCTAATTGAGGGATATTAATACGATCAAAGCTTGGAATTTATTTCTGTCTGTATCCTTGTACCAGACTAAACTTGTGGTTTGTCCATAGCGGCGTTTACCAAAATGAGGGTCCGTGCCAAGATGCCTGTGTACCCTTTGAGACATCACATTTTGCGCATGGCCATCCAAATAATCTTCTTATATAACATCCATAGGCACTTCTGGATTTTTTAATCTGATGTTTTGAGGTGCGTCAACAATTCGCCCCCCTGATTATCCCAAGTGCTCCCCGGATGGATCTACCGCCGAATTGGGTTCTCTGTTCAGGCAGCACCCCAAATTTCAAGTTCTAGATGATGAGGCTGTTTTAGATGCTCTTATTGGCTCTAAATACTAAGGCAACTGGGTCGCATTGCGCCACTTTGCACCCCAAAACCTACCCCGCTGCACCCCAAAACTGTACCTTATATTCTGCACTGAAGCTTACTTCAGACTAAAACGAAACTAGTCCCGAATATAAACCACGCTGGACAAAGGTCAATTTATTTTCCACCACCGCAAACTTTAATAGCTTCCAGGGTCACACCTCTTTTTGTTGTCCTGACTGGTCCCTTCATCAACCTCATCCTTTGCTTTGATGGCATATGTTACTGAAAGATGGGTTTGCCCCTATCATAACTATGATCGCCAAAAGAAAGAGAGATGGGAACTCCTCAGGGTGCGTGAAGCCATTCGTGAAATTGAATGTCTTGAAGAACATTTGCAACAACGAACAACCCCAATTAAGAAGCAATGCTCTCCTTTGTCCGATGTCAAAACTGTCTATGCAAGCCTGGTAAAGGTGGAAGAAGCATGCACTCGAATCGGAAAAGCCCAGCCCAGAAACATCGAAAGCAATCTGGATCCCAACCTCGAGCAGTGGGAGGCTCTCCAGGCTATACACCATACGCTCTTGCACCAGCATAATGAGCTCCCCATCGCCTCCTCCACACTCAGTCCACAACTACGCGAGTTCAGAAAGATCGCCTATGATCATTCCCTCCAGTCGCGCAGTTTGAGGCGATTCAGTGACTGTCTGCTTCCTCTTCTGAAACGCGAGCAAGACTTGGAATCAGCACGACAATGGCTAGAGCTCATGAAATTGTCTTCTTCACTCATTGAAATACTTGGGAAGAATGACATGCTCTTCAATTACGAAGAAATGGCCTTTATGGACTTAATCGAACAGATTGAAGCCATATTGGAGAGATTGAAACAATGGTTTAGGTGCAGATACGAGGACCTAAGCCGCAAGAAAGATGCGATCGAGGAACAAGGTCTTGCTGAGCCCATCTTTGAGTTTCCCAACAACATCAGGCACACTTGTACAACAATGCCGTGGACAATCCTTCCAGCATTGCTGATACTTTGGGGTGTCTGTTGGATGTTCATCGTCGGTTCTAGCCAACCTGAGCATGGATGGGGAAATGCTGCTGACGCCATTATATCGCCCGTGCCAGCTGCTCATGACTTGCACGCCGATTTCTATGGTATCGGAATTGAAGGTAAGGTCCTCACTGATTTCGTAAAAGCTTATCTAATGCACAGCAGAGGGACTTCAAGGCTCGGTCGCAGAGGACTTCGACAACGGAGGATATCTTGGTCAGGATACGCTAGAAGGACTCTGGCCTGGAGACATCCAGTTAATGAATGACTTGGTCCATCCATTGATCTTTGCCCAAAATGCACCCCGAGATCCAAACTTTCTAATTACGGACTTGACGTCACGTGGTGATTCGGAAAGTTTGGAACTGACCGCGCAAGGTACGGCCGAGATATTGCCAGCCGCCGCCGAGGAAGAGTCAAATCCTACGGCGTGCATCAGTACTGGCGACAAAGGGGAGACGGATGCCACAGGTAGTGCAAGCTGCAGTGGCTATGGACAGCGAACAATTGACTCGGATGAGTGAGTAAAGTGCTCACTTGATGTCAGAACATGCGCTAAACAGATACATCAGGGAGGAAGAAACAAGAAGTCGCTTTGTGTGTCCAGACTGCCAACAGACATTTGCAAGGCAATTTACCTTAAGCCGACATCGAACCGAGAAACACAAGCATGCATCAAACTTGGAAGAATCATTACTATGTCCCAATCGCGGCTGCAAGAGGTCCAAGGGAAAGCCTTTCAAGCGTGGATTCCATCTAAAAAGACACCTTGAGAGTTGCAAGCATAGTCAGGAAGTCCTTGGCCAGGGCGACGATCAATCTTGTCCAAGGTCAGCGTCAACATCAACTTCAGCCTCAGCTAGCATTCAGCATCGCCAAGAAGTTGGACCACATGGAGCCATCAGAGCCAATGGAATGAAGAAGAGACCGAGGGCTGAAGATGATGAAGTGTCTAATGACGGATTCCTCCTTGCAGAGATGGTAAAAAGGTATAAAAAGATGGAAAAAGAGATCGAGGAGAAGCAAGATGACTTGAAGACACTTGGAAAGACTATCCAAATGTTGGAAAGATCTTGAAAGAATTCGTAGTTGACTACGTCATAGTAGCCATACGGCGCAGAAGCTTTATATAGGGGGGGCCTCAAGAACGACAAGGTGTTAAGGGAGGATTATGCAAGATTGAATAACAGGTCACCAATAACTATATGCCAAGTCTCCGAGACATCATCATCGAAGTCAAGATAAACAGCCAGATGCTGCTACTTTGTCTTGGTAGTGACCGTCATTAGATCGCAATCATCCGGTCTTCAGAAGCAGTGTTCGGGGATAATGTTAACCTGCTGAATAAGAATTGCAGGAATACGATTTATTCTCAACTTCAGTAGCCAATGCATACCCTTGCTCGGCCTTTATATAAAGCAAGTTCCAGCGCTACTGCATTCAATAGGCCTGAAAACTGTGTACTATAGTGCCGGACCTTGTAAATTCTTAGATCGTGAAGCGTCGGGCCGTCAGGTTGTTTCCAAGGTTTCGTCTAGGCTGAAGGACAAATCCAAGATTATCAAGTTGGAGAATCTTTGATATAGTTTTCATAGACTTCCTGTATTCTCATCGCTCCCTGTACTCTAGTCTCTCAGCCTTCGCCGCACTAGGTAAGAAGCCTAATTACTTAACGTGCTCTAAAGCAAACACAAGGCATTTCCTCGATCACCGCCCCTGGACCTTTCCGTCTTTATCTAGCCCTAATGCACCATTGAGATCTCTGATAATCTGCTCAGCGGTATTCCAATTATCCTTCTCGAGGTCTGCTTTAATCTTTCTCAGCACTTTGCCACCACGCGACTTCTTCCCACACTTTTCTTTATCTTCATCGCTTAGAGCACCAAGAAACTTCTCAAGGCCCTGCGCCAAAGGATCCTTGCTCTTATCCCCTGTTTCAGCCGCCTCGGGCTTCTTCATACCCACAAAGAGTGCCTGTGCGTACTTGAACAAGTATGTTGGAATTGCCGTGACTGCAAAGGAAATAAGATAAGAATCGCTGATCAGCATCGTGTCTTGCATATCCCATAAGCCTGTCCATTTCCTTTCCGCTTTGACAAGCAAACCGTAAGATCGAGGATATTTCTTTTCAAGTTGCTTCAACATTAGGAGTGCTTGGCTCTGAACCTGTTCCAGGTGATAGTACGTGTCTCTAGTCGTCCAGAAGGTTGAATTGCTTGCAGTGAGAGCCCGGATCTGCTCAAAGTAGCTAGGGAATTTGCCGGGAATTATGTATTCTTGTAAGGGTAGCTCGAATACTCGCACAGAGACTGGTTCATGGTATGGCCATTTCCCCTCTTCCTCGAATTCCTTTGCTTCGGTCGCGTTGATGGAAAAGTGTAACAGCGCCGGCGCAGTGACGCGCCACGACCCGCATAAGAAGCTCTTATGGCAGGAGACGTAATGGAAGTTTGAGCGACCCAGATTCTCATGCTTGTCTCTGTTCTCCAGAACCTTCAAGAGGGCTTGATCCCAAGGATCACGAAGCACCTGGCCATATGGCTGTCTCCACGGCTCCATCTGCGCCGACAGATATATCCACTGCTGCCAAGGCTCGCCTCTCGAATTGAGAGGCGTCCTCCTCAAATACAGATCGTCTAGGCTTGCCATATCTTCAACGTCTTTTGTGCTCCAGTCCCTAGGTCTACTGAGTCCCAGATGAGAGATCCAATTAAGCGGGCTCTGGATCTGCGATATTCCATATACTGGGCTAAAACCATCGAAGAAGCTGTAGTCAGCGGCGTCTCCGACAAACTCAAGTATTTTGATGTCGTAGAGGTTCTCAATAAGGAGGCGAGCTAGCTCCTTGGAGCTGCCTGCATACCATTGGGCAACGATGGGTCCTTGGATGAGTCCGAGTAATACTGTGAGAGCGTAGAATGGAAGCATAAACAAGAAAACTGTCTTCGTGGTATGGCATACTGATTTGAACGTTTCCCAAACATAGCGGACAAAATATGAGATGTAATTGATGATCATCATATCTATAATGGTGTAATGTGAGAAAGATGAGGAGGAATGTGAATTTGTCAGGCAAGCGAGTTGAAAAAGAGCAACCCTTTTATTTTAATCTCTTCGCCTCTAACAGCTGTTGACTGAAGAAATTATCGTGCCTTAGTTTAGTGGGCTTCTGCCTAGAATATCGCCGAGTTTCCCGCAAAGTGGAGAGTTGGTGTCTCTGTTCGGGCAATGCTAGCGATACATTAATTTTATTTCTGTTGTTGGTCGTGAAGTCAGACCACGGACTGACTAATGCCAAGGCGCTACACCTTCAAACAGCAAACAATAATGGGTTCTTCTACGCCGCATGCAGATTTAAATTAATGTTGTGATGAAAATGTTCCTTATGATTCATGAATCAAATATCACTAACCGCCATCCAACTCATCTTTGTCCCTTTGATCTTTGATGGAAGTTCTAAACAATTCTAAGACAGATTGGGGAGCTTAAAGACACTATCTGTAACCCAATTATCACCGTTGAGGTATCCAGCGCTCATAACATACAGCCAATCAGGGTTATCCATAACCATGGCCTGTCGGGAATAAGCGCCAGGCTGAGGGATGTCATAATAAACCCAAGAGCCAGCAGCGCCGAGGTTAGTGTTGATGTAGATGCCGTTATCGCTGTTAGCAGTAACGATCAGGGATCCACTAGATCCACCAGAGGGTGACCAGGTCAGATAAGGCGAAGAGCTGGGTGCACGGCTACCGGCGGTGAGAATCTGGTTGGACGCACTGTCGAAAGTGAGAGGAGAGTCGGAGATACGGTAGTAAACGGGGAAAGCGGCGTTGTTGGGAGAAGCACCTCCGCCGTACTCAAAGGTCATCATCCACTTTCCATTAGGAAGCTTGGCGACAGTTGTCATGCCAGGGCGTTGAGAGTAAGCAGTTCCTCGAACGTCGTTGACGACAGCATCCCAGGTAACACCATCGCTGGAAGTCTGATGAACCAGCTTCTGACCATATGAAGGATCACGCTGATCGGAGTAGTAGCACACGAGCTTGTTGTTATACACCATCAGGAAGGGCTCCCAAACAGGAGTCTCGCCATTGTTGGGAACGGCCTTTCCTCCGGTAGCAATGTTGGAGATGTACTTCCAGGTCTTGCCGCTGTCGGTAGAAGCGTAGAGGTCGATCTTGGTCTTGCTGAGATCAGTGGGGATACTATTTCCAGCAAGGAGGATAGTTCCCTTGGCGAGGTTGCCGATGGCCTGGGGCAGAACGTAGAGGAAGGGCTGGTAGCGAAGACCCCAGCCGTTCTTGGTGTCAGTCACATTGGACAGAGGAGCCCAGGTTGAGCCCTTGTCCTTGCTCTGGTAGATAGGGAAGTACACCATGGGTGGCTCAGGACTATAGTTCTCCCTGGACAGTGTTAGCTAATGCCTTCCGGATCATCCGGACGGCTCACCAAGTAGCTAGGATGGTCCCATCAGCAAGCTGAACGTTTCTTCCGTACAGCGTCTTGGGAGTGTTGTAGTTGGAGGGAGGCTTGTAGATGGTCTGGAACGTCACGGCATGATCCGCGACGGCCCGCTCCTCAATGGCTCTGCATGATGCAGGGCTGAGGATAGCCAAGCACGATAATAACAGGGAAGCCTTGATGCCAAGCATGATGAAGAGAATGGTGTGAAATGTATGGATGAATTGATCTGCTAAAGATCAAAAAAGACGGACGAATGTCTGTTTATATATCTTGGCATCGTGACAACATGCCTTTGCCCGATTTGACGTTGCATTTCCAAAAGTGCTCTAAACTCTAAGCTATTCCTGGGTCACCGTTCAGCCGAACCTAAACAAGACTCGTCAAGTCCACCTAATTCTGAGGCTTTATCTTGACGCGCCAATTACCCTCTCAGAAACTCGTCCGACTCACCTCAATCGTCATGTTCCTGGCTCTGCAAGGTAGCGCACCAATTGACAGCTCGCGCAAGAGTCTTTCCCCGCGTCATGTGCCGGTGGAAGCTCCACGCGCTAGGCTCTAGGTCCGGGGCGCTCCCCTTACATTGACTAGCGAGGTTAGGTCTGATTGGTGCGCATCGGAGAATCTGGGGTCCCCGGGTCTCGTGGATTCGGTCTTCGGCACTGTTGTTTTGTTTTCATGTTTCAGCCAATCAGAATGGCATGTGAATGTTTTAGTTGCCTCGGTCTGTGATATGAAGTTCAGCAAAATTGATGTTTTCTTTAGGGTAAACGAGATATTTCTAGTAGACTGGCTACAATGAGATTGGAGGCTTTGAGTGGGAATTGATTCAGCAATGATATTCAGGAACTGTATTATAGGTCTCAAAAGTCACCGGCCTTGTTACCAACACCCAATCATATCACGGCGATACCGTCGAACCTCCCGTACCAAGTCAAAGAATGCCGCATCGACTTTGACACTGGACTCGGCATCTGCTTCAACGAATATGCAACCAAGTCGTTTTGCCAAGGATCGACCTTCTTCTGTTGATACTTCTCTGAGCGATTCCTGCAAACACTCAATGCCAACTATAACCGTCGGGAAGTAATCCTTGTCCTTTTGCTTCAGGATCTGATCATAGTAAGTGGTAATTCCTTCAAAGCCCTGACGACTTGTGACACTGTAAACCAGCATGAAGCCTGCTACTTCTCGGCCAAACTGATTTATCGTTGCAAAATAAGAATACTCTTCTTGTCCAGTCGTGTCAATCACGTCGATTTCAGCAACTTCATTGTCAATGACGCATGATCTACGATATGTGTCTTGCTTGGAGGGGTCAAAATCATCGTAAAAGTAGGGCTTGACGAACTTGAAAAATGGTCAGCTTCCGCTCAAATGGTAATAAGGAGTCATGTGTCGACTTGCTTGGATGGTGAGATCACTGGTTCTACACCCCCCGGCACCCAACAACACCAAGGGGTATTCTGCCCGGGCCATGCCCTGGAGCTTTTTATAGCGTAGGTAGAGTTGGTTTTGATGCTGGACCTTTTTGATTTGATTTATCCATTCCATACACCTTGTTTGGGAACCAATAGTAAAGCAGATATGGCATTCGTTTTCATCATCCATCCACTTAATATCGCAAGCATTTAATCCTTCTCTATGTTAAATTGATCTGTAGAGAGTCTTTATATGGAACTCTTACCTTGTTTAGCTGATACGGAGACTTCTTCTACTTGCTTGATGTCCTTTGCAAGAATGATTTGAACAATCGACAGCCGGGCTCTGAGGAGTTCTAGAGGGGAAGGCTTCCCATATCCTAGCATACCTCTTCGTCGACTCTTCGGGAGCGATTCTACTGCTTGCAAAATCCCCTTCTGGAACAAATAGAGCTGGATCTGTAGGATCAGACAATTAGTAAAATACTAATCATAGTTCTCTAAATAGTAAGAAGCATACCTTTTCTTGTCCAGCATCCATTGTATCGACTCTATCAAACATCAAGAGTTTACCCAGTCCCCAAATAACCTTATTGGTCTCATAATCTTGGTCTTTAGACAGCGCAGCTTTAGCACGGTTGAGTTCCCGAGCAATGTTGGAATCGTTAACAGCCTCTTTAACCATTTTTAGACTCGTTTTTGCTGATGTTATGTGATCAAGGTCATGGAGCCCGTATTGGGTAAGTTCCTAGATACAATTAGTACTATGGATAAGTAATACAAACATGCTGTCTCATACTTCTAAAAGGGCATCGTATTTGTCTAGTCGTTGAGTGGGAAGGCCAAGCACTGCTAGGACATCGCCTAATAATCCTCGACGCTCGAAATCGTTAACATTGCTCGATGAGAATGCAGCTCTGACCATTGACTTTGACTCTGCTTCCCCGGTGATGAGGGCGGCATAATAAGGGCTCGAATCTACTGCCCATTCCTGGAAAGCCTTTTGCCAAGTTTGCTGTGCATGCGGTTTCGAAACCAGCATTTCGGCTTTTATCAGAAACTGTCTTTGAACATTGACCAGTGGGCCGACGGGCGCAAACAAGGGGTCGAAAGTATCTGTGGGGAGGATGCGAGATGATCTGATCTTCTTGACATTTTCGAATAGACTCTCCAGATGTTGGAGATAGAGCCTCTCATCGCAGAGGAATGCATCCACAGCCAAACCTGCGGGGTTGGGCTCCATGGCAAAGATATTGGGTGCAGATTCAAATACGATCGCTTGAATTACACTGGCTTTGGTTAGCCTCGAAAGAAGGAGTCGCACTAGGCTGATGACCTTGTTTTGCATTAGTCGTCGATTTATCTTAAGTGATGTAAGGTATATGCATACCTTCACATGATTCGTCGTATCGTCAAGTAGGATTTCGGTATCCGTGACGTAATGGGATGGGGGGATATGCGAACATTGGATGCAAGCTTCAACAAACTCAGTTATCGCGGCTTTTGATACCTCGTCAGATGGACTCGACGCGATCAATTCTTTCCATCTCTCGTGATATGAATTGTCGAGTTGATCGAACAGCATCAGCAGTGGTGTACCTAGACTAAATATGGAGATAAGATTTGACAGTGGACTTTCATCCTCGGAGAGCTGATGCTGGAACTGCGCGAACCATTCGAACTGCGATAACTGAAGTTGCACTTCAATGCAGTCGTGGTAGATCGATCTCGTGAGAATCGTTGGAGCCAGTAAAGGTGTAAGCTGGATGATATCCCTCCCAAATTTATAATGCTGTGGATTCGAGATGTCCTCTACGTACAGCGGAAGAGCTAGGACGGAAATGTGAGATATGTCACTCAGACTGATTCCGGACAAGCTCGACCATGCGTGGGTGGGGGCCACAGAACTGCGTGCTGAAAAGTCCATGGTATCTCTCTTGGCATGACGGTAAACACGAGATAATTTGAGATCATGCTCAAAGTCAAATTCGAAGAGAGAGGACCGCCAAGATGACGTACTCTTACGATCCAGGGTATCCATGTCTCTCGTGGACTGGATTGTTGCTCGGCGACGCGACATTGCATCGATAGTGTTTTCCATGCCCATCATCCTCCTAGATAGATCAGTGTTGCATCGGAGCAGGTCATCTACTGCTGTAATTAACAGCTGCTGACCTTCTTCAGCTCTTGCTTGAGAATCGCTTTTATGCTCAGTTGGTTACCTGTAAACCTCAATAAAGCAGGAATGGTGGGCAACGTACCTCTGCAGAATGCTTAAGATGCAGACGATAGATGACTTGAATGCCTGCAATCTGTGGAGTATTGCAGCTAAAGAACTCTTCTTTCTGACCCACTGGATCGGCGTCCACAGGCTTCCACCAGGGCTACTAGGTTCAAGTGGCGGCAGCGTCTGCAGCGCTGTCAACAGCTCGGAAAATATCTTGACTCCATCGAAGAGCACTGCTGTCAACTGATCCACCTGTATCAGTGACGCGTATCTCACATTAGACGTGGAGAAGTTGCTGATGAGCTGTTCTAGCCCAGCAATGATAGTTTGGGTCGCGAGAGCTTCAGAGGAGACTTCAGCCGCAATCTTGGGTGCGTCCTCTCTTGCAGTTGTGTATGGACCGAGAATCTTGATGACCTCACCTGCAGCGGTTGCAATCCCCGCTACAGAGGCAATCACGCTCAATGGATCCATCTCAGATGCTTGGGCAGCGCGTTAGACAGAGCTGAAAATAAGCATGAACTTGTAGTAGGTAGAATGTCGGCGTTTGGAATCGTGAAGGAGGCTGTGCAGCTGAAAATCTGCCCGGGATACACGTTGTCAGCAACCCCACGCCACAGTCAGTATTATAGGGCTGTGTTGGGGTCAAAGAGTACAAGGCTTTCCAGTGATCCGTGTGTTCCAACACTTTGCTGCGCTCAAAAACAATCAATCGATGACCGACCTGTATTGAAGTATTCCAAATAATTGTATTATCTAATACTTTCTGTTCTTACGACATCTTGGCTATGTGCGGTTGGTCTCTACCCAGTTGCTGCCTTATCTTACATGCGTAACGCCACCAGCTTGAATCTCAGCCACAGCCTGATCACAAACCGAATGTTTCCCCGCTCTGACGAGCCGTGACATGTGAGATATTGTTATGTTTTGTGATATACCCTTCTAGAAGATCCCGCACACATCAATACGGCTTCTCCATGACTCCGTATTAGGAGAAAAGGAGTTCTTGGTTGGCAAGGATACAACGGAGGCATCGAAGTTCGCGCTTTCAATTAAACCTGCCGCGCCACTGCAAATGCTGGTTGAAGAAGATCAACTTCTGAACCATGGCCAAGATAACTGTAGTAAAGTGTCCTTGCTGTATATTCTAGATCGGGTTGACCATCACACTGTTGTGCTCGCTCGCATCCAGTGGTCCAACTGGGTCCAGTAGACAGTGTTATTACCCTGAATAACAAACCTTGATAGCACGTGCCTTGAGGTTGAAAACGCTGTAAATATTGGGTAATTTATTTCCATTCCTGGACGGGCTCATCGCTGAGAATATGACTGCGAGGGGCGGCGCGTAATCCAGAGATCCTATTCGTCACGTTTTGTCTCACACAGCCTCAAGGCGCAGTGCGGGGCTGACTGGCAGGCACTGGCTAACCCAACATTTTCATTTGATTCACCTTACCCTTCTTCTATTTCTCATCCTCCCTATCCTTCTCAACAGGGTCGAACTGAATCGAGATGCACTAGGCTGCCATCATTGCCAGTGAATGGAGGTGACATTTGGCGCCGTTGGGGACTTTATCTCCATCGGGGTGCTGATCAAGGATTTCATCGAACTGCTCGATGACAGTCGAGGCTCCGTTTGGGAATACAACTCGTTAAAGCAACAACTCATCTTTCTTCGACTGAACTTGGATCTCGCAAAGCGCTCATACGATGAGCACTATAACGCACCCCAGTTCCAGGATATTCGGACCACGCTGGAGAGTGTCGTGGATGAGGCGGAGAGAAGGCTAGAGGGTATTGCAGTCAAGGTAAAAAAATACACATCAACTCTGTCTAAAGACTCGACCGAGAGACGGATAAAAAGACTTGCAAGAAAAGTTCAATGGAGTCTTGAAAAGAAGGAGACGGAAAAGTTTTTGTTGGACCTCAATCGGTACACATCCATCATCCAATCATTGCAATTTGATGGATTTACGTAAGTGTCATTCACCAAAAGCTAGCGCTTCACCTCATGGCTGACCTACTTGTCAAGGCGTTTGATGGCACACAAACTTGATAGTAGCCAGAAAGACCAAAACGATACCCAAAAGCTTGTGAGCAAGCTTCAAAAGGACTTTGACGATCGATTTACTAGCCTCGAGGACGAGTTGAGAGCTGCCAGAACTAATTCTGCCAATACGCAACAATATCTACTTGACATCAGTGTGGTCATCACTAGGCGACTCGACATAGTCACACAAACAGTTAACTCTCTGGGTGTTGCTGTACTGAGAGGTGTTTCAGGGTTGTCTTACCTTGGGACATCCGTTTTGTGCTTACTATCCACAATGCATAGCAACATTATAGGTCGTCTCGAACGCCCTCCCCATATGGGCCCTTTTTTTACGTTTGAGGATTATCTGGGTGTTGATTCAATCATATTACTCAACTTTGTGGATTCCTGGAACGCCTTTGAGGGATCTTTACATGGCAAGTTCAAGGGTCGAAAGGGTGGCAGACGAGTGGCCCAGAATCGATTCCTGCTGCAGGATCATCAAACCGGAGATGAGATTGATCGTGATGTTCATTGGAACTTAGCTATCACGCCAGGGTCTCGGATCAACATGAGTTTGATTTGTGAGGTTAAGGAGGACGAGGATGAAGCCCAATCCCTCAAGTGCCCGTTTCCATCATGCGGAGCAATGTGTGAAGGAGTTATAGGGACAGTAATACAATGGTAGGCCCCACACGATACACTCAGCACGTTATACTTGTTTTGCTAAAAGAATCTTAGCCCTTCATGTCAGCAATTGTTTCGAAAACTACCAGGAATGTCTGATGACGAAGACATTCCAGTAGCGCCCAATGCTCCCGATTCGGGAATTAGGGATCCAAGCTTGAAGTCGGAAAGTAACTCGTCTGATCTTGGTCAGTCTAGCAAGAGAAATGGAACCCCTCTAGACAAACGAAGAGCACTACGGTCCAAAAGAAAGCCAAAAGACGCACGGAATACTGATTCTGACTCGGACGACGCCGACTTGACCGGGATCAAGCGAGTGACTGTACTACCAATATTGCAGCTTGCTGTACGACCAACTCCACCAAAATCCAAGGCAAATCGAAAGCTAGAAGCTTCAGCGCCACAGGTTGCTTCCGAGGAACAGGGAAAGGGCCGTAACTTAGACAATGTCAACAGGAGTGCTAGCGTTGAGACGGCATTAGGTACCATCAAGTCGCAACCCCGGGGAAATAATAAAAGAGTCTCGGAGCTACAGTCTGAATCTCACGAGGAAAAGCTCGGAGCTGCATCTATGAGCGGTATGCCGTACCAGCAGATTGACGGCCACAGTGGATATCCCGATCACAAGATTCCTGGCCGAGGCGCATATACCTATGAGAGCACGTTGCCCGGTGATTCCATATCCAAAGGCTCTCGAAAGAAGTACACATTGGCACGAGTTCCGCATAGATCATCACAATTCCGAAATACGATATCTAAAGAGGAAAGGAAGCGCTTGAAAAGGTATTTGCGAAATCCCCCGATGGCAACAGAAGCAGATGCAGAGGAGCACAAAATCCCCGCTGGATATTCCTTGAAGAAGTGGGACCCAAGAGAAGAACCAATACTGCTCCTTGGCAGCGTTTTCGATGTTAATTCTTTAGGGAAATGGATTTATGACTGGTCTGTTTACGCACATAAACCTTCGACACCGATATCGGATATGGCTGGAGACTTTTGGCTGTTGCTCATTCAGCTGGCCGACAGATTGAAGAGAGCGGAAGATACAATAGAAAGGATCGAGTCAAAGGACTCCAAGGAGTTGGTTGAGGAATATATTGAGGCAGGGGAGAGGTTTTGGGCGAGATTGCGGTCGCTGCTAAAGAGGTGCGAGGCTCCCATGTTGAGAGCGTACAAGTTCGACGAAGAGGACCCCAAAAACACAGTTAATCAGAAAGGGAATACTGACGAGAACAACAATGAATCTTCACAGGAGGCCAAGAGCAAATCAGACGCCTTAAACGAATCTGGAGAAACCTTACCTTCAAGCGAAGGGGGTACTATCCAAGAGACGGGAAAGACGAAGCAAGATGTCGAGAAAAGTGTTGGTGTTGCTTTCATTCAGACTATATTTGGCAAAGGTGCGGAGTTAAAACGGACTGAGAGGTTGATGCTGAACATGCGGCTTTACAACCTGAGGTTCGATGCCAATTGCGAGGAGGTACTATCGAGCATTCAACCCTACAATTTCTTTTGAATGTCCCCCGATTTAGGATCACAAACGAGCAGTTCCCCATCTGTATGAGCCGATAGCACCATTTCGAGTTAGGTTAAACCATTAGGGCTGCAGAATAGCTGCTACCCTTTTCTCCATGTCCTAAAGTCTGCTGACTGCAGATTCCAAACTCTGATGTCGTGTGTAGTGAGCCCTACGTAACAGACATCAATGTTCTTGTAATTTCGGCGGCGCAATTCATGACTTGAGATACCAGGCATTGCCTTGTCCCAAGGCAATGAAACAACTGACTACTTGTGAGGGGCGTTATGTGAGCCATCAGCTGTGGGGTCTATCAACTCAAAATAACAGTCTTATCAAAGTCAGTCCGGGCAGTATACCAGCTACCCAACATAATTGCCAAAGGAACCAATGATTACAGTTAAAACCTCTTGATGGTCCTCCATATAGGATACTGGCAGTCATTAAAGATATACCCACGTAAAACATGATCTTGAAAATTTAGTGATTGTTGTTTCTATCCATAGCGTAGAACAAGATTCATGAGCAGCAAACTTTTAGCCACACTGTGCTCTGAAGCTAGCCACGCCAGTGACTTCAAGCTGAGGTTGCAAACAGCCCTCCGGATCGGCACTCGTCAAGATATCAATAATGCCCCCATCATCACAGTTATCATTGTTGTAGATGTACACCGAGCACTTGTCACTGATCTCGCCAGTGGTATAAGATCCAAAGGAACCATTGCGTATTCCCTGAGTACACTCTTGGCTTCCATCACCGCTGTAGGTGTCGCGGGCGCCGGTGCATCTCTCGCTGCTTTGATAGACGCTGAAAGACCATGCTGGGTCTTGGCGAGATGAGAGGGAGGAGGAAGGGTTGCGACTCATGTGGATGGCGGCGGATTGGCCGAGGCCGAGGAGAGAGGTGATGGAGAGGATGGTTGTGAACTTCATATTGAATTGTTGGCGAGACTTGATAGTGCTAAGGGTGACGGGCGTTTGGATGTTCAGTTTGCTTTGGTGTTGTATAGTTGTGTGCAATTTGCAGTATATAGTGTATGATGTATAAAGTATGAAACCTCTGTCTCAGAGAATATGAGGGCAAGATGCTTGGTTTATGATGCCTGTATAATTCAATATCAGAAGACGATCTGACCTCTATATACTGACCATCTGCCTTCATCACCCTCACTGTTACCCTCCATATAATTGTCAGATGATGCAATTGATCAACACGCAAATGCCTGGTTACAACGACATCACAAACCAGTTTCTGTAAAAATCACGATGATGATTCCCGTCAGATCCATCGGATGCGATAATCAAGTCATTCATCGTCAGCCTTGATCCTCAAGAGCACAATGCCGAAGGCGAAGCAGGCTACTGGACCCCAATATCCACTCACATGTCTTACAACGGCTTACAGGAAGGATCATTTGTGACGTTTAGACGTCTGATCACCATGTGGGGTCTAGCGTAGTTCAAAAGTTCATCGGCCGAGCCGCGTGGGGTTAAAGTTTAGTCACATTAGAGATGAATCGGCCCGCTATAGTAAGCATACGAAATGCTCCGGCGTGATCCTTTGGCGCGTAAGACGATGATCATCGGCACATCTGGTGAGTTGTACGCCTTGCGAGCCGATTTGCCAATGGGACGCTGGTGCCTTGTCTCCACTGGTAAGCGTATAGCCTCATACAAATGAGGTATGCAATGGACTTTTGTCGGGAGTAAGATTCTCATACGTTTCTTTGTAGAGTTCCATCGCGATTCCTTCGGGTTACTGAGTCATGAGAATGTTGAAAAATGACTCGTTTGAGACCTGCATGTCAGAAGACCAGTGTGAATGGATCAAATATTTGCTTGGCGCTTACAGCTGAAAATCATCAGGCTGTGCAGACATCAGTATGACGTTCATCACTGTTACTTCTCACCCGTTTAATGAGGCAATTAGATAGCCAATTATAGGCATTGAAGAATGTGACCCTTACTAGAAGTATGCTTTCTGACTGCTCGATTGATAGCTTAGTGCTCTACTTGCCCTCCAGGGCCTCGACCATCTCTGACGTAGCCTTGCCCTCTTGCTGCAACTGCTTAGCAAGCTGGATAGCTGAAGTACCAGTACCATCAGTAGCTTTAGGATCAGCTCCATGTTCCATCAATATTCTAGCTATACCGACATGTCCAGCCCTGACAGCCACGCGAAGAGGCGAATCATCAGTGGCCGTTGAAGCACCATCTGTTTCAGGCTGAGCCCCCTTCTCCAGTAGATACCGCATCATAACCTCATTCCCCCGCCTTGCCGCAGCTGCAAGAGCATCTGAGTTCTCAATCTTGGCACCATACTTCAACAGCAGATCAATGGCAGCAGTATCCTTGTACAGCGCTGCAACCAATGCAAGCGGATACGCAGCTGCATCAGGCTCCTGATTAGGATCTGCCCCAGCCTCAAGGAGAAAACGTAGAAAGTCAACGTGCTGTCGACCCATACATGCAACGATGAGAGGTGTTCCCCGCATGTCGAACTGCATGTTGATCACAGATGGATCCTTGGTGATCAAGGCCTGCATAAGCGGGATTGAACCCGTGTTTACACCTGCTCGGACGACTTCCTCGTTGAGAGGGGTGGAGCGGGACTTTAACAAGAGGTAACGTACAGCATCGTATTGGTAGTTCTTTACGGCTGCTGTCAGAGCCTCTTGGATAATTTCTTGTGATGGGCGTTGTTCGCTGGTTGATAGGAGGGTTCTCATTTTGTTGATGTCTCCAGTTGAGGCCAGAGCGAGGAGCTGATCTTTGAGCGAGTCTGCCATGTTTGCGGTGTAAAGTGATGATTTCTGAATTGATGCAAGGTCTGAGTATGTTGTCTGCCGTCCTCATCCTTTGGAACTTTTTATGATCGACGTATATTTTCGTTTGTCATGAGACGTGGCAACATCCCGTCGTGCATCACATGAGGCTGTGCGTTTCTTACGTGAGATTTATGATCGGCAGGAATCGATTGCCTAGAAAAGACGTCATTCGCGGCGAGGCATCGAGGCTGTGACCCCGCCATCGAGGGGGCGGTAGTTGAGTGATCGGCATAGCTGAGCTGACATCTATCCTTCGGGTACCAAATTAGTCTTCCGTTTGGACTGCTCCTTGCATCGGGGATTATTCCACCGACTTGGCATTTCGAGGCTGACTTCTTTGATTCCATTTTTGCTGACGCTTATGTAAATCTATACTCATGGGAAGCGTGATAGTGACTGTGATGGCAGATGGCTCAGACCATGGATGAACTTCTGGTCAACGATCTCGATCTCGGGAGAGGGATTTTGGAGTACGCTGGGGTCCGACTGATATGGAGCCCGCTGATAAACTGGAGACTTAAAAGGATGCGGAAGAGGTCTGTATGATACCTTGCTTCAAGGCTTGGAGACAACTAAACAAGGCTCCGTGTCGTCTGCCAGGGTTCCAGATACAGTCCTTGACAATAGTATAAAGACGGCTCCAGGTCGCTTCGTTACATCTCTATCACATCAAGGCAGCATTGAAACAGTATCATAGCCTCTCACTTCACTCCCATTCGTACTCCACCACTCAATCTCTTTCAGCCCGAACTCCCAATCCTTTCAAAATGAGACTCTCAAACATCCTCTCCCTCACCCTCGCCTTCATCGCCCCAGCCACCGTCCTCGCAGCCCCAGCAAACACCCTCCACCGTCGAGACTGCCCCTCCGTCGACACCATCCGCCAATGGATCCGCGACAACGCCAGCGTCGGCGAAAACACAATCTTCTACACCGCCGGCGCCAAGCAAGAGCAGGCCAAAGCCTTCGCCGAGCAAAAGGTCACAGACGGCAACTACTGGGGCAAAGTGTTCGACAACAACAAGTATCTCGACTGGATCGAGGAATGCGGCGAAGGTCCTGAGCAGGATAAGCTGTTTCCTCGTATGGGAGAAGCGCTTGCTAGGGAGTCTAGTGGAACAGCGTATGTGATCATGATCAAGGGAAATGCTATTGCGAACTTTTGGAAGGACAATGAGTATCCGTATCTGGATGAGAATGGGGTCAAGATCATTGCTGTTAATGCTGAGGACTTTGATGATCAGAAGGATTACAATGGTCAGCCATTCAAGCGGGCTATTCAATTTTAGACTGATAGATGTTGGTCTGGCCTATGAAAGTGCTGAGTGCGATAGGTGGATGTTGAGAGGGCAGTTGGCAAGGTTGCTCGAGCTGGGGACTGACGATTGGCTATTTGTTAGGAGTCCATAGCTAGATTTAAGTGTATACAGGAGTCCCCGATGCCCCCGATACTAAGAGAGTAACTTCATGTCATACCAAAGTCTACTAAGTTCCCCGAAAAGTCGATGCAAAGTCTTCGCAGAGCTTTAAACCTTACACCACGGCCCAGTGACTAATCATGTGAATTTGCGACTTGTTGCAACGCTCATGGTGTCAACCCCGCGTGTTTCTTCGCTAATTATACCACTGTTGGTCCTCCCCTGTCTCGCGTATGCAGGCCATCCATCCACATTGACTCCCATTGCGTCCAACCGAGCGATGCAACCTTGCAGAAAAGACAAGAGATCCACCACTCTACCCAGGCCAGCCATTCAGATCCATCAGCAGAACGAGCAGTCATCTTTAGGCATGCCTCTTTTGCGTGCTTCACGTGAGGACACCAGTGATTTCAATTGTTACGTCCGCGGCTCTAAACGGCTATACGTTATTAACTAGAGTTTGTTTGAGGGCCTGAGTTTGATCATGATGAGCAAGGTTTCCAATACAACTTTGAGCTGGGATCTGTGGTAATGCATGACGTGAACATGATCCAGTGGTATATGCTGCTCTCTAGCACAGCACTATGCATGTAAATACCTCGCTCATTCAGGGTTCATTCGCAAATCAGACCACGAGCGGATAAAGTGCTAGGATCGAGCCAACAGCTAACATGTCTCAAATACAACCGACCCCGCCCTTTTTTCCGACATTGCATTCGACCTCTGTATCTGCACGGCCATCACGAACAAAACATTGAGCTGCAAAACATGGCGAATGATAAGTCTAAAAGCTCGTCGCCAGCTGCAGCGCAATCACCTCCACGGGATGCCGATAGCCCTGAGGAGACTGTTCTGGTGAGTGGGGCGCACGAGCGGAACGGCCCGTGGAGCTACCATTGACGTTAATTATTAGGAAGCGGGCGATGACGATTCCGCACTTGGGGTCGTGAGTTATTGGGCCCTCATCATGGTAGCAATGGTAGCTAAATGAACGACTATTTGAAGACCGATGATGAGTTATCGACCGCGTCTTTGCGCTCTAGTATTTACGAATATCATATGATCAATGGCCGAGGGTATCATAAAGATGAGAGTGAGCAAGGATGGGCTGCTTGATGCATCTTATGCTAATTGGCATTCACAGAATACTGGCTCCCCAGTGATCAGGTACAACCTCCTATCCATGCCGATACAAATGTTCACTAACATGCTCCCAGAATGAATCAGAGCGCTTAGGTAAACTCGTCTTGCGTGTTCCTGGAAATCCGAAGCTGACGAAGCAACAGATCTCCAGAACCATCAACTTCTCTTGACATTCGGCGGCAAGCGATATTTCTCGCCCAATGCTGACACTGCAAAGAGAGTACTCGATGTCGGAACCGGCACCGGAATTTGGGCTGTCGAGTTTGGTATGAGAAATACTAGCTGAATAAGTTACCTGAGCTGACATTGGCAATACAGCTGATGAACATCCTCACGCCGAGGTAAGATGGCCTATCCAATTTTTCTCGCAGACATAACCGAATGCGTTAGGTCTTTGGCATCGATATTGCTCCTATCCAGCCAGACTTGTAAGTATGGAACCTCAAGAGTCCGGGCACGTAGCTGAAGTTATCCAGTGTTCCTCCAAACTGTACCTTTGAGATCGACGACGCCGAGAAGGAATGGACGTGGACTAAACCCTTCGACTACATCTTCGTTCGTCTCATGGTCGGCAGTATAGCAGACTGGGATAAACTAATCCGCCAATCCTACGAGTATTTCACCCTCTACTCCCAGGTTCTCGCTTCTCTTAATAACAGCGTCCAGTAACTTGGAACCCGGAGGCTGGGTCGAAGTCATCGACCCCGTGTTCCCCGCCAAATCCGAAGACGGAACGCTCAAGCCCGACTCGCCCCTTCACCGATGGGACGAACTAACCGCCAAAGGCGCCTTAGCCCTCGGCCGTCCCTTCGATGAAGGTGTTAACCACGAAAAACGTCTCAAAGAAGCCGGCTTCGTAAACGTTACGAGAAAGGCATTTAAGTGGCCTACTAATACCTGGCCCAAGGATCCAAAGTTTAAGGAGATTGGGCTCTGGACACTTGCTAACATTGAGAGGAATCTTGAGACGATTAGTAGCTTCTTGTTGAGGCAGGGACTTGGGATGAGTCAGGAGGAGATCTTGGTGTTTATTGCGGAGGTTAGGGCTGAGATGAGGGATTTGAAGGTTCATGCCTATTGGGAGGTGTAAGTATTCTTGAGTTAATGGGTTGATTGGGCTGACAGTTGTGTAGGTTCGTTGTTACCGGGCAGAAGCCGGAGGAACAGGTCCAAGGATAGTTGCACCAGCTTAGTAGTGCAAATATGGAAAAGTTCGTTATGGTTCGGAATAGGCTCACAGATATGGAGTCACTTCTTCAGAAATTATTTAGTACATAACATGTGACGAGAATAAACATCGAAATCATTATTTTTCTCGGTGCAATAATGAAGAACTCCAAGAACTCCCAAGCCTCAGGTTAAAGAAAATACATGCTGACTCCATCCTGTGATAGCATTTCAAGGCGTCACAGGAGCCATCAAATTCGTCCTTTCCGCCCTCTTGGCCTGCTTCAGCGTCCTCACCCGCTGAATACTCTGCCACTTCTTCTCCCTTCTCTTATCCCTCAAACACATGCCCACCAACACCGCCATGCACCCCGCAATACACGCCCCAAAGAACGTCGCCACGACAATACCCTCCGTTCCGATCTCGTTATGCTGCTCCATGCAGACTGTCGCGCCGGAGTCGGGGTGGATCGTGCAGAAGAGGCCGGGGGAGCAGGTGCTGGACGTCATGCGGTTGGTGATGCATGATGCGCTTTCGGTGCGGCCGTCGGTTGTGATGGAGCAGACGACGGTGGTTGAGACTGTTGTGCTGTAGCAGGATGCGCCGGGCTCGGTGGCGGTGATGCTACTGCTTGATGTGGAGGTCGGGTCGCTTGAGGTGGAGGATGAGGTGGAGGTTGACTCGACAGTAGACGAGGATTCTTGGGTCGTTGATTCTTGGGTCGTTGATTCCTGTGTTGTAGACTCTTCGGTCGTTGACGTGGGCTCGTCGGTCGTTGTAGGCTTGTCCTCCGTCGTGGTGGTCTTTTCTTCCGTCGTGGTCGGTTCGTCTTGCGTGGTCTCTTCGGTCTTTCGACTCTCCGATTTTGTTTCCGTCGTTTCCGACGAGTCCGTATCTTGCCGTCGAACCCACTGTCGCCATCGCTGCACTAACGGTCCGTTCTCCCATGGATCTTGCTGAACCTTTTGCGCATCGAGAGGAGCTTCGTGGCCGCGGTTTATAGCGGTCGGGGCATCGTAGTATGACGGATCAGGCGGTACGTCATTTGGCTGATGGGCTGCGACCAGTAAAGCGGGCAGGGCGAGGAACGGGCTTAGGGAAAGGAAGCGCATGCTGAAATTACAAGATTAAACGACAGAATGAAAGATAAAATGACTAAGGCTTCAAGTTTGAGAGCCTGATGAGATGAGGGAAGAAGGTTTGCAGAGAAAGATGAAATGTTTTCTTTGTTGCGTGATAGCGGAGATATCATCTCGTATTACCATGTTACTATAAAAAGATCTGTGGCCGCGCGTAGCCAGCTCAGGTCGTTCCACACGGTGACGATCAGTAGCACAGCCGCAAAATCATTGGATAAAATCCCGTAAGCTGACACATATATAGCAATAATACGAGCTATACCACATACAAAGAGTGACACACTGTTTAATCAATTTTCTGTATATCCGACCGCTGGTTTCGAGTGCCTCTTCAGGTCTAGGTCGGTGTCAAGCGGGTTTAGCATGGTGATACCGTTGAGCGTTGGGTTGTGGCTGGGGTTTCCTAAAATAGGCGAAGAAATCATTTCAGCAAGGAAGTTGTATATAGTCGATAGTAGTTATCCAATTTAGTATAGGTGCTAGGAGAATTATCTGAAGCGAGATGACAAAAAGCCATCGTGACTCAATTTAACCAATCCTTCGCATTGCTTGATCATCAATGCCTACACAACCTCAGTCGCATATATTCCGGCTGCTACAGTCAGAATCCACGGTCGACGAACTCCACTCTGAGCCCGAATCCTCTGTAACGTTGACATGGGGATCAAGAGCATTAGTCCATAAGCCAAGAAGCCTGCCCAGGCCAGTGCCCATTGTATCCGGGTCAGGAGACCATGAGTCGGCAAGCTGAAGCATCTCCTCTATCTCCCTGTGGACTTCTTTTATTGTCAGGGGAGTACAACGACGTGATGACGAACTGCTAGAAGTACTAGTGCCTGTAGTAGGACGGCCGATAGTTACAACATTCGGAGGCAGAGTCATGTTAGGTCGCATACCAGCGGTAGGATGGAAAGGACGTGGGCCACCGAATACTGGTGGTATTGGGGTGCCATAGTTCTGAATGTTCAACGTCATACCCGGATGGCGTAGTGATTCCCACGTTTCAGGTAAAATGACGGTTCCGTCCTCGGTGCAGAAATTGTACTTTCCTTCTTTCAAGATAGCTGTCGCGGGATATCCCAGGGTCAGGGAAGAGAGTCTTTTACGCAGTGACTGCAGTGAACATAAATCAGCTAGTGCTGGACGCTTCGGTGTCTCCTCAACTCACATCTAGATCCTTGCATGAAGCATACGGGAAGGTGAGCCTTTTACCCGTGTGTAGCTCAACTACGTGTATCGGCTCTACTTCATCACCGAGACGGAAGAAAAGACAGATAGAAGCATCAGTCTGAACAACAGCCTCGGGTCTGTTTTGAAGTGGAGGACTGGTGGTTGACATGGCGATCCAAGTACGCTCTCTAGCACTCGATTGTTTGGCGGCATCGATACCATCGTCGATTCGCTGGCGGACACGTTGATCCAGGGAGTCGTATTGCTCGAGGAGACCTGGGCGCTTTCTCCATCTGGACTTGGAGGTTGCCTTCGAGAGAGCGGACCTGACATGTTTGTCGTCCAGTTCAAGGCGTTTGAATGTCTTGATTGGGATGCTGTTGAAATGAGCGGCAAGATCAATTTGCCAAACTTCAAGGTCTTGATCCTTCCATTCGTCGTGCGATCCTGGCATGACGATTCGTTTGATCCAGTCTCTGGTAGCAGTCAGCAGACTTGGGCCAGGTTCTTTGGCCGGCTGTTGATCCTTTTGTGTTGGTGTGCTGGTGGTCTTTGCGGTGGTATCAGGCAAAACCTCGATGTCCTTGGACAGCTCTGGCGACTGAGTTTCAGCGGGTGGAATAGTTTCAACGGGTTTGATCTCTTCAATCTTGGTGTCAACTGCGATGGTAGGTGTACTGCAGAATACATTGACGTTAGCCGATCTGAAATATCTCCATCGCCCAGAACAAGGGAAAGAATTCAAAAAAGGGCAATACCTTGAAACACTGCAAGTGCTGTTGACATCTGTGGTGGAAACATTGCTGGAAGCTAGTGGTGGAGCGATGATGGTCCATTTGTCCACCTTCTTGGACCAGAATTTGTAGTGGCTTGCTCGCTTATAGGCCACTTGTGCTGCAAGCTGTCTGATTGCATTCTCGGTCTCAAAGCTGCCTGGGACACGAGTCTGTGCCCTAGTGGAATCATAAAGTCAGTAAAGACAGCATATAGAATAACAGCATGGCCCAGGCTTACCGCATCTGGTGCTGGGCGATACTGCCCAGAAGGTATCGCAGCATGAGTTCAAGCTTGATCTGCGTCAAGCGGTACCGAAAATACCTGAGTTGAACCTCGAGCGACTCCCAAGACTCGTAACGCCAGACACTGGTGTGAGCAATGGATTGCAGATACTTTCCTGTCTCCTCCCGCGGGATCTCATTGATCTCCTTGTCGCCGACAAAACTCTCTGTCTGCCGCACCAACATGATCAAAATACCGATGTACATCTTTTCGCATGTTGCTGTTAGGCGCGTGATCTCTTCCAGGCATAGCTTTGTGAGTGTATTGTCTCCAATCACATCATCAACTTTGATCAGCGTCAAGGCCGTTGAGTTAATCAAATTGATTAGCTTGGGAAGCCTTTGTCGGGCTCTTCTGTTGGCCTCCGAGTGTACTTGCAAAGAACTTGCAAGACTGAGGCCTAGCTTGGCCACAGGCTCAATGTCGTTGTTGGCCATGGTTCAACAAGGACCAATGCGGCAATAAGAAAAGAAGAGAGATGTAGAAGACAAGTCCAATGTCCTTTCGGTTTGTTTTATTGAAATCAGGCAGCGCTTTGAACTCGCGTCATCGTATTCTCTGCTTATCATTACCCCTCAATATGTGCATCAGTGCAGCCAATCATCAAAGATGTTGGTTGCACTTCTGCTGTACGTGACTCTAGGACTGTTGAACAACGTATCATACATAAGCCACCATTGTAATGATTGGTATTTGGGTCAGCCATTTGCTGCAGTCAGACGCATGTGGAAGAAACGTTGACCGCTCCTTGCGGGGGTTATCTAGAATGTGAGTAGCAAAGCCTTCTCAAGACGGATAACCGAAGGTGAACTGCGCTTCTTGCAATTGACAATTAGATGCCGTGATACCGGAATATAATGTGCAATGCCGTTGTATGTTGGTCGGTCTTTATTCACTCCGAATCAGGGCCTTTGTGTTGCTATCGCGCCTTGAGCAATAAGCCATCTCATTCTGTCCGAGGCATCGCACGGCTTCGATTGGTACTTTGGAAGCAGGGACAAATCATCTTCCTTGGCCCCCAATTTGAACATCTTGGAAAGGTACTTCTTTCAGGCTGTGGCGGGCCAGTATGTCTTCTTGGATCTGACAAGACATCGATGCCAATGGGCTGCTGGCTTTTTATCCTTTCCAACATTCGCTGCTTACTTCGTGTGTCATTCACCAGCTCCATTTTGGACTGCTTGTTGAACGCTTCACCACAGGACTCAGGCGACGGCCTTTTCGCTTACCGGCTCAACTCCAGGTCAGCTGTAAATCAGCCCCCTTCAGCTTCTCCTTATCAGCTCGTCTCAGCCTCCTTGGCTAATGGCCATCACGACTGATAGGACTTTGTAGATGCCTCAGGCATCATTAACAAGAAGAGCTATCAGCAGCCTCAGCCTGAATATACTCCACGACCCCACCCGGATCTTTAACCTCTCATGGACTAAACGATCTGTATCCGGTTGCTTGTGCATATGTTTTACGTGAGTTTTGAAATTGTCTCACAGATTTAGACACAGACAATGGATGCTCTCAGTATTGCTATAGAGGCTGCCGAGAGGACTGTGGCGGCGCTCCCGCCAGGCCACTCCGATCGAGCTACGCTTTTGAACAACCTTGGAATCTGCCTTGTGGAGAGGTTTTCTCTGAGCAGCTCGATGGAAGACCTCGATCGTGCCATTGAAGTTGCCGATGCGGTCATCGACTCTACGCCTCAACAGCATCCTGATCGACCGCGCTATATGGATAATCTTGCTACAAGGCTCGGTATGCGGTTTGGATTGATCGGGTCGATTAATGATCTCAATCGCGCTATTGACCTTGTCGAGATGGCAGTTGAAGTTACACCACCTGGCCACCTTTATCGAGGACGTTTCTTAGGCAACCTCGCGATTTGGCTTTGTAAAAGATTCGAGGGCATTGGTTCGACGGACGATCTGGATCGCTCTATCTGGGCTGCCGATATGGCTGTCGAGGTCTTATCAGGCGACGCATCTCGGCGGGCCAACTACTTGAGTATTCTGGGGAATTGCCTCGGCAGGCGATACCAGCAGACGGGATCTAATGACGACCTCGACCGTGCGATATCGGTTGCTGAGCTATCGCTGGGGGATCCAGGCCAAGATTCCATCCATCGAGCCGCTTACTTGAACACTCTCGGGTTGTGGCTTGGTGAACGATCTGATCGAACCGGCTCAAAGGTCGATCTTGATCGTGCCGTCGAAGTCACCGATATGGCAGTCGAGGCTTTACCGCCTGATCACCCTGAGCGAGTCATATGTCTGATCAATCTCGGAAAGATTCTCGGCAGACGATTTGAAATGACTGGGTCGATGAGTGATCTCGACCGGGCCGTCGAGGTGTCTGATGCTGGGCGACAAGAGTTGCCGCCCAACAGCCCTTCTCAAACCGCTTGTCTGAACAACCTCGCCATGTGGCTGAGCAGGCGGTTTGATCGTACCGGCTCGATGGACGACCTCAACCGGGCTATACAAGTTGCTGAACTGGCTCTCGCAGTCACCGCTTCGGATCACCCCGAGCGGAGTGTCTGTTTGGGTACTCTTGGAGTTTGTCTCGGTAAGCGATTCGATCGGACAGCCTCGATGGACGATCTCGATCGCGCTATTGAAGTGGAAAGCACTGCAGGAGAGGCTATTCCTACAGGCCATCCTTTTAAAGCGAGTCATTGGGACGCCCTTGGCGTATGGCTCGATAGACGATTTGACAGAACCAGCTCGATGGATGATCTCAACCGTGCCATAGAGATAGGTGAGATGGCAGTAGAGGCAACTCCCCTTAACCACATGGACCGAGCCAGTTATCTAAACAACCTCGGATGCTATCTCGACAAGCGATACGAACGAAGTGCTTCGCTGGATGATCTCACCCGCTCTCTCTCATGCTTCAAAGAGGGTTGGGATTGCCCAGGCACGCCAACCTCTATCCGCATTCGTCTGGCACTGGGTGCTGCTGAAACCTACGCCTCGCTGTCAAACTGGGAAGAGTCAAGCCAGTTTCTTGAAAAGGCCGTGGAACTGCTCCCAGCTGTAAGTCCGCGTTCATCAGCGCATAAGGACAAGGAGCACATGCTCGCAGACTTTGTCGGCCTCGCTTCCACAGCAGCTGCCGTCTCCTTGAACGCAGGCAGGGATGCCTACCACGCCCTGAAGCTGCTTGAGCTGGGCCGCGGCATCATCACCAATCTGCTCATGGACATGCGAGGTGACATATCAGACCTGAAGCAGAGGCATGCTGGCTTGGCAGATGAGTTCGTGTCCCTCCGGGACGAGCTCGATTCGCCAGCGGATAGCCCAGTCACCTCAGTACCAAGCAATGGCGCGAGTTCCCTGGAATCGCAAGCGAAACGACGTCGTGAGGCGGATCAGAGATTCACAGAGCTCATTGCCGAGATTCGTGCTCAGCCGGGCTTTGGCAGCTTCTTTTTCCCGCCGACTGCACATGAGATGATGGCTGCTGCGAGCCTAGGTCCCATTATCGTTGTTAATCTGAGTTCGTATCGCTGTGATGCATTTCTTGTCCAACTCGATGGCATTTCAGTGGTGGAACTTCCTGATCTCACGTTGGAAGAGGCCCAGAGACAAGCCCACGGGCTGCATTCACATGGTTCAGTAGGCTCTTTCAACATGGAATCACTGGTGGAATGGCTCTGGGATGTTATCTGCCGCCCGTGCCTAGACGTCCTGGGCTTTAAGGATCCGCCTTCTGATGATAGTTGGCCTAGAGTGTGGTGGATTCCGACGAGGTATCTCAGCCGGCTTCCTCTTCACGCAGCAGGACGCCATGCTGCAGGGTCTTCATCCACCGATACCGTCATAGACAGAGTCATGTCGACGTACGCTGCATCCATTAAGGCATTGATACATGGACGCCGACATACCATTCGAGGCCATGACACTGCTGAGGCGAATTCGGCCCTCCTGGTTGCCATGCGCGAAACACCAAACCTATCAGCAGGTGGGATCCTCCCATTCGCCGTCGATGAGGTGGATATGCTGGCATCACTCTGTCCCTCACTCGGGCTTAAACCCACCATGCCGCCGCGGCGCAGAGACGAGGTCCTTGATCGTCTAAAGTCGTGCAAAATATTTCACTTTGCTGGCCATGGGCAGTCTGATCCGGCGGACCCTTCGCGAAGCTGCTTGCTCCTCGAGGACTGGGAGACAAACCCGCTGACGGCGGGCACGCTTCGTGATCACAGGCTGCAAGACAATCCTCCCTTCTTCGCCTACCTCTCTGCCTGTTCCACGGGGGCCAACGAGTCTGAAAGGTTCGCCGACGAGGGAGTCCACCTTGCCAACGCCTTTCAGCTCGCCGGGTTCCGGCATGTCGTTGGAACGCTTTGGAGAGTATCTGATAGGTATGCCGTCCATGTGGCGAGGGCGCTCTACGAGACGATGCAGAAAGAAGGGGTGACTGACCAGGCCGTCTGTTGGGGCCTCCATCGTGCTGTCAGGGCCCTGCGGGATGGTCAGACCGAGAAGGATGCTGCTTTCCCGAAGCGAGCTGCTGAAATTAGGGATATTGTTGGTTGTGATGAGGATGCCAAGCCGCTTTACTGGGTTCCCTATGTCCACTTCGGCGTATAGTGTTCGAGGCACATAGCTCTGAATAATCAATTACTTGCTTATGTCAAATCGTTTATTGGAAGAAAGCTTCCAGCCTTGGCTATATTGATTCCCCTCATCACGCCTTGGGTATCGCCTATATAAAGAACTACTACACACAGACAATCGGGATACCCGTTCTATGACGGAGATTGCTACATGCCCTTAACTTGCTGCAAACTGAAAAGCAACCAACTAGCCACCGCGGCCACCACTCGCAATCAACTCAGGGTCCATCACGAGATCCCCGCTCTTTCATTTCTGGCTTTATATCTAACTACATTTCACGATTATAGCTCATTGCCTGATTTTTAAATCTCATTCCCATATTTACAGAATTTTACGGCTCATCTCTATAAAGATGGGCCGGAACATACTTTGCTGGAGCAGCTCTGATTCCATGGATGTGACTTGGCGCGAAGTCTTGAGTCTTGGTACTTGATAGGGTAGGGCCTTGCCTAACTATTCTAGTCATGGCGTATTTGAGCTTGATTATATTTCTAGATGACACTCTCTTGAGTAATAGCAGTTGCTCAAAGTTACACTGGCTGCTCCTGCCTGATCAGATGAAGTTAAAGAGACTATAGTAGTTAGTGCTATGGCTCTAGCTGTGCAGCATAAAAGTCGACGGTCTCTTTAGATGAGCAAGTTTACTGAGGAAATACATAATGTATATGCTATAGCTATCAAATTACCTTCTTATAGCCAAACATCCTTTAAGTAGGTTTCTGCAGAGGTGAACTCAAAGTCAGTTAGGAGCTTATTCCACTCATCCGATACAGTCCACACGCCTCTCTTAATGCTGGCCATGTATTCTAGAAGAATACCTTTAGACATTTGCTCCCTCATCTCGTCCGGAACCGCCTGGTGCTCTATTACAGGATACCAAGAAGTCGTAACGTTCCGAGTCTCCAGATCCTCGTTAGAGATCTTTTCAGCTTTAAACGGGCCTTATACCTTGTCAGCAAATATTTCAAGATTATCATGTCCAGGTTCAGGATAGTATCTTCCGTACCTCGAAGCTTTTCGCCCAGTGAAATAAGCTCGTAAACAGTAAATGCCGTCCCTTGCATGCCACCGACAGTAAGCCATACTCCATTGTATTCCAAGGCATGTGCCACAAGTCGGCACATGTCTCGAAGAGAAGTGAAGGTGACTGGAGCATCGCTGTCCTCTGGAATGATGGCCCTTCGATTCTGGAAGTCTACAAACATAGAAAAGGTATCGAAATGCTTTGGTTGTGCGCGAGGATAACCGACGTAATCTGTAAATATGCCTGGCTGGAACAGGCAATACTCGATCTTCTGTTCAAATTAACACGATTAGGCGGCCCATCCAAGAGAATCAAATGAATCAGAATCGCATACGTGCTGGTTCGAGTTGGTTTCTTCCAGATACTTCCGGACGTCGTCCTTGTATTGGTAATGAGCGATCCCACTGTTACTCGCACTAAACCAACTACTATTAGCATTTCGATTGTCGGATACGAGCCCAATGACGGCACTCACGCAGCCCACTCCGAGGGGGCAAATCTTCTAACGCCAGTCGCAATGGCTGAGTTGATGAGCTTCTTGTGAAGGTCAAGGGCTTCCTTCTGGTCGAACATTGCCAAAAAGGAGAGCACCGTATCGATGTCATTCATTGCATCAACAAAGTGCAGATTTATTATCGTAGTCTACTTGCGTCCAGGCAACGCCTTTGGGTAAGTCTTAAGCCTGGGCCTAAGCAACATTGTGATTAGCATCAAAGGCGCCAGGACCAAGCATGTTGGCTTACGCTGCGACTAAATATAACTACCTCGTAGGAGCCTCTGACAAGGATCTCGTCAACGACTTCGCGGCCAAGACCTGATCTATGTCAGTAGGTCGCCTAACGATTGGGTGTTTAATCAAGCACTTACTGCCAGAGCCGCTCACAACTGCAACTCTCTTTGCCGCCATCTTGGAGTTGTTCTTATTATTATATTATTATCAGGAGGTTCGAAGTTAGTAGCTAGTTTATATAATATTAATTTAAATTAGTCTTTTAGGATTAATAAACTTTAAAATTAAAAGTAACTAAACTTAATAAATAAATACTTATTTATTATAGTTAGCTTTTAATATATTTTATTTACTAATTTATCTAAAAAATAGAATTAGTTGTAATTTTAATATTTAATTAATCTTTTTTGTAATCTTTTTAATAGTTATTTTTTATAATATAATTTTTAAAATATCTATTTTATTATAGCCTTTTTACTTTATTTATATTTATATTAAAAAACTCTATAGTTATAAAAATAATTTAAAACAATTTAATAATATAAATATAATAGGCTTAAAGCACTATACTATATTATTAAAAGTATTTTACTGTTATAACATGTTTAAAACCTGCTAAAAAGAATCCTATATTCTTAAACTTTAAACAGACCTGCTATTCCTTTAGCCTGTTTATTATCTATATTAATGCCTAATATGTGCTCTGGCTAATTTTTGCATCACTATACAGCTTCTCTAATGGTGCGACAACGTACTGATAAAACTCTACCCTAAAGTCCTTTTTTGTAAAATCCGGCGGCGAATGGAACCCACAACGCAGACATCGATCAACGACCGCATTCCACTCAGGAGCATTGTTAAGTGCTACTGCCTTCGATAATCGCTCGGCCGTATTAAAATCGGTTAGTTCCTCGGTGATTCTGTGGTCATCTACTTCCTCCTGCGACTCAAGTGTTGCTACAGTAGAGAGCTCAACTAGTGTAGCTCCTAGCCTAAATATTGCTTCGTTGCGAATTACCATTTGGCGAGTGGACATAACGTCGGGTCCTGGTCCCTTAGCTACTGCTGATGATGGGAATGACTGCATGACAAATGTACAATCTCGAAAGGTCATTCCCGAGTTTCTTGAGAGAATGTGTATATCGTCAGTGGACCACCAGTCTCCTAGCCAAGAGGTTGCGTGGAGCTGAAGTAAAGAAGACGCCAGTAGGAGGGCCAGCTCGTAGCGATCCACGACCTCATTTCCGAAAGTATATTGCGTACTGAGTTTTCCCTTGCTTGAGAGTAAATGGTGGAGGGTGATCGTATTCCTCGGCTTGGGAGGTGCGAGTGAGCACTTCGGCAAGTGCATGTAATGTTTGCGTTCATCTTCGAGTATAAACCCGATACAGATGGCGTCAGATTGCTGTGAGGATCGTTTTAATTCCTTGCAAATATCCATGATTTGCCTGTCTGGCATAGGGATGGTTCTCAGAGTTGAATTTGGTGTAAAGGTAACAACTTTAATAGAACCAGTTGAATCGCTGTCGTCCTCCAGGGCTTCGAACTCTGCGTTTTGCCACTTCCCGTTTTCCAGAGACATATCATCAGGAATCATGAAGGACAATTTGAACCTGAGAGATTCTGATGTCTTGGTCACTCTATCCTCAAGCAGAAAATGAGTGACGTGTGAGTTTGCACAGCAGCAGATCCAACCTGAGCAAAGAGCACAATGTAAACTTATGGCTGCTCGCCTAATGGAATCCCAATAGCTTAGGTTTACCTTTTTAGGCCGAGGAGGTGTTACTTGTGCTTGAACAGATATTCCAGGGGTCATCTGTTCTAATTTTGTGTTATGCTTTTCGATGTCTTCGAGTAGTTGCTTGTGCTTGCTATGCTTTATGCATTTTTTGATCTTATGCCATGTCTTCTGGTTCTCGTATTCGGTCTTCTCGTACCATTGCTATAATAAGTCTTGTAAGTAATTTCCCAAAATAAAAGCATCTGAATCTTACCTGCTGCTTACCCATCCCGACCACTTTTTCAAGCTTCTCCAGTTTCTCTTGGATTTGTCTCATCGTTTCCGTATACGCATAATAGCCTGGACCAAGCTTTTTCCTCAATCCTTTTTCCAACCCTTGCTTCAATTCCTTTTCCCATTCTTCTTTGGTAGTCCTGTCCAGGAAGTCCTCTAGCTCCTTGTCGTCAACAAGACCTCTTAGTAGAACACTGCAAGAATGACGGAAACGCGAGTGTTCAGTGTGCAGTGACACGATCAAATCGTTCATAACGACTTTGTGATGTAGAAGCACCTGTGCATCGTTCTCGTAAAACTTCAAGCCCTTGACCACAAAGGGTATGCTGTCGCGTACTGTTAGAATTGCGCGCTTTTGTGTGGGTCAACCTACACCCCGATTACTAGCCCAACTATCTCGAAACCAGACATCTTCACTGTCTCAAAGCTATTCGTGAGTCTATCAGGGACTGCGAAATCCGAGTGAGCGTTGATGAGGGCAGTGCGGGGTCGATGGTTTAACTAATCAGCAGCTTCATTATGCCTTGCGCAAATAGCGCAGCAGGGGGGTTGAAAGAATACTGGGAACCCTTTCAAATCCTGCAGGGCTCTTTCAGCTGTGGCGTTCTTGTTATTTCGTGGCATTGAGTGATTGGTCTTGGGCAACTACTTGCTATTCTAAGCATGGGTCAGCTGCGTCTATACCAAAATGGTACACATGGAACAGAACTACCCCTCTCTTCCCCCTCTCTTATGGTCTTTCTTCCAAGTATCAGCCTCATGCCCTCCCTTCAAAATGGGTACTGTAAATGATAGTTATCTCCAGTGCGCGGCGTCATTCAGCCTCCTAGTCAAGGTTCTGAAGATTTCATCTCATAGCTTTACTGGCGAAATTCCCCTCGAGGGCGTTGTTAACGAACATGCACGCTTCAATGTCTGGGCTGGAAGTGTCGGTGCGAAACATCCCCCTCATAAGCGGATTTCCCTCGACTATCGCCTTAGAGATTCGAACTTTTATACCATTCGAGTCGTCGAGATACTCCAGCGTCTTGAGAGCACACTAAAGATTGGTAGTATCAACTGTATCTTCCTGCATGAACCACCGACTAATCCAAAACAGCTAGCCAGCTAACAAGCGGCGAGCAACCGCGATTTGAACGGGTTGAGCCTAAGTTTGATCAGTATCAAGACAATGGCTCAGACCGATCATCGACAACCTCATCAACTGATAGCTCTAGCTCTGATGATCCTGATATGCTGACACCAGAGAGGCAAATTGCGGTATTATATGAATCGGTTCAAAATTCAGTGAGGCACCTATACTCGCTCGCAATGGTCATTAGAAAGCCAGTAGCAACAGATAGATTGGCCAGAGCCTCGAAAATATCGATAGACCATTTCTATTCAATAGACCAACGACACATCGAAGAATGCTTCCCGGACGCTTCCCCAACGATGAAGAAACGTTTAGGAAGTGCCATCAGTCGTCGTCGTCAATTACTCATGTATAATGAGCAACATTACCGCAAATCATCCGAGCCACAATCATCGAAAAGACCCGAAACCGCAGATTTTTCAACTCCGCAGGAACCTCAAGACAATATCTCCGAACAAATCCCCCAATCCCCTCCAGATGCCCTCGAACGCGTGAAGGTTCCAGATGCGGACACAGTTTATCATGCATCTAGTGTCTTACAAGGAAGCATCCTGGCAAGCACTGAAGCAACCAAGTTTGCCCCTCCGGCCGATATGAAAGAGGAGCCAGATACTCAGTCAGAAAGCGGAACCATTTCCACCTTCGGATTCACGGACGCCGGGGGCGAGAAGCTTTGGATACCTCCCCGTCCGCAATACAGTGACGGAGAGTACCTTGAGCAATTTCTTTGTCCTCTATGTTTCCATCTGATTGAGGTTAGAGGCATGAGAGCATGGACGTTAGTTAATGCCTTCGCCTAAGCGGTGCATCTGTTGACGTGATATAGGAGACATGTCTTCCGCGACCTTCAAGCATACGTATGTACTTTCGATAATTGCAAAACGTCTGATACTTTATTTGAGACTCGGCAAGACTGGATTCAACATGAGATGGAATATCACAGGCGAGAGTGGCATTGCAACGATTCCCAGCACGCTCTTTGCAGCACTGAGAGTGACTTTGTGGCTCACATGAAAACCTCTCATAAGCTACAGCTTTCTGAGTCTCAACTACTATCAGTAGTAAAGCTTTGTGAGCGTCCTAGTACGGCCGATACCCATGTCTGCCCATTATGTACAGGTGGGTACCGTAAGGTTGAAAATGGCTTCGAAAAGTTCAAGTCCTCGTCATATGTTAGGCAGATCAGCAGCAGCATCTTGCCTGGGGCATTAGACAACGGTAAATACTCTCGGATATGAGGACAGAAATAACCCCAGAATATGGCATTGACCTTTCCTAGAGAGTCTGAATATGGTGAAGTTACCATTGGGAGAATTTAACGAAATCGCAAACGACACGGGCCTTGGAAAGATTATCCCGTGGGTCAACTCACTACCTGACGAATATGAATTCCCAGATGCTTCGAGCCCAAGAGCCCCAGAAGAGCCATATACAAGCCATCCTGCTACCCCGCAAAGAGCAGCATGTTCGGTCTCCTCGAACATGCTGAAGCGGCATCTTGGTCAACACCTTGAGCGTCTTGCTCTATTCTCGATTAACAGATCCAAATTCATACCTGAAGATGGAAAGTCAGTTTGTACAGAGGACGCAGTCGCTAGATCTGACTCATCTTTGGGTTCATTTGAATCTTGCGGTCGTCCGAACAGTGATAGGGACTCTGAGGAAGGTCATGTTGCGTTGGGAGACTCTGTCGAGAACAACAAGGTTGGGTACTCATCTACGCGGAAGGCACCAAATTTGGTCCAGCTTGTTCGCGAGACTCTTGTCGAAGGCAGCTTTAACGGAAGATCATTCCTCTTTTCACCTGAGGGCAGCCTTGACAGCATCATGACTGAGCAATCGATACTTCAGGCTTTTTACGAAGCATATCAAGTTCCCAGTGATCTCACAGACAGTGTCCTGACAGAAACGGTAAGTACTATCCTAAGGGGCAGCAAGAAGTTGCTGGCGATCTTGGTCCTGTGTGGCTTCGAAAGTATGAGACTATATCGATTGATATCTCTTTTCATTGAAAAAGGCCTATCCGATAATCGATTGCCGCTTGAGGAATCAGTTCTGAGGATAATCTCTCGGTCTGATCTCTCTGACACCCAGGATAGCCGAGACAGTGATGCCACTGGCAAAGCATTGCATAGCCTTTCTGGATTTTCTATTGATAACTTCTGTCGCATACAGCAGTGGAGGTTCTGTGCCCCCGTTTTCTCAGCTGAGCAATGCACCTATAACCTCCTCCCAAATACCGCCCTGCCATTTCTTAAAGAGGCCAACATGGAAGCGTGGACAGTTGAAGGCGTTTCAAGATATCGTATACATAAGTGTCATCTTGAAACAAGTGGCTGGGTAAGTTGGATGTCTTTGAGATCACCAAAGGTTATGACACTAATCTACCAAATGTAGGGAATGCCCAGGCCAGAGTACGTCGCTATCAAGCGTGTTAGGAGCCTAAGAGACGACTTCCTGAACATCATAAAGGCGCCTTACCAGAAACACATCGTGAAGCTTTTCGCTGCTTTCAGTCTGGGCGATTCCGAAACGCATCTGATGTTCGAATGGGCTGAAGGTGGCAACCTTCGGAATTTATGGGAGGAGTTCCAGCCAGAGAATCCGAATGGGGACTTGGTGAAGGCCGTGATAGAGCAACTTTCTGGAATCAGCCATGCTCTTGCAGATCTCCATTCCTGTGATCTTAGGCATGGTAGTTTGAAGCCTGAAAGCATACTCTGGTTCAAAAGCAAAGATTCCGCAAGAGACCCGATTGGTATTCTTAAGATACAGGGTTTGAGCATTACAGATGAACACTCCGATGTTCGTCAAATGCAATCAGAGAGAAGGGTTACAATATACGAATCTGAGCGATACGAGCCCCCCGAAAATGGATTGTTGGGTACACAAACGTTAATAGCAAGGATGAGATCTCGCTCAGTCGATGTATGGGCTATGGGATGCATTGCTCTGGAGTTTCTGGTCTGGATCTTGTACGGCCCTTCCGGAGTGGACACACTCAACAAAAGCATGGAAATCAATTCCTCTGCATTTGAGCCCGAGGCAAAATTTTGGCAAGTCGACAACGGGGGAAACAAAGCGGTTAATGGCGTTGTGGTTAACTTGATGGACCAAATTGCCAAGGACCTTGGTCGCATGACAGGGCATACTGCCTTGAGTGATCTATTGGAGCTCATCAGGGATCGTCTACTCGTGGTTGATCTACTCACTGGCTTTGGGTCGGCCAGGGAAGTCTCAGATACGGTCAATGATAGCGATTCCCACGGCTCAGGCTCGCACACAGCAACTTCCATTAGTCCGGCCACGCTTCAGGGAACAATGGAAGCTCCCGTAATCACCGTGGCTGAACCTTTCGGCGCACAAGAACAAGGCCTGCCAGGTAAGGGCAAAGAACCAGTCAAGAAAGCAAGAGCTAGGGCAAAGGAATTCTCGGAGCGTATGGATCGCATCTTGCATTCTGGCACTCGCGAAGAATACTGGCTATTTAGTCCGCCACTGCCGCTTCCGAGTTTAAGGCCCCATGTTCTTCATCCAAATTCAGCAGAGCACATTTCTTCAAAGGAGGGTAAGGACCCGGGAGTAAGCGCGGAGATGGGCCGACAGAGGATCGACGCAATACAGAGCAGGGCCGGAGACCACAGCCTGTCTGTCATGGATGAAGAGAGTTGGAGCGCAAGCCAAACAGCAGACTCGAACCAGCCTAAAATCAACCAAGGAGGATCTACTTACACAATCACCTCACCTGAGAGCAAGATAGCATTCGAAGCTCTCAGTTTTGACCTTTCGAGATTTAAATTCGAAGCTCCTCAGGAATTTCAAGCTCTGGGTCACGTTTTGTCACCCAAACAACGACAGGAGGCTGAAGACGGCACGCTACACACCACGGCACGGAAGCTGGCTGCTCTATTTGGACCATTGCTTGATCAAACGCCCAATCTTTTCAAGGCATATGGCATGAGGTGTTCTCAGATTGTTTCAAACGGAGACCTCAATCCTCTTGGTTCCGAGAAAGACGACCTTATCATTTCCCAAGAGAAAGGAGTGGATTGCACTTCGATATGGGCCGCGGCGACTTCTGGCGATCCAGCCGTTGCGATGCATCTACTGGCTTGTATGATTGCCCGAGCTTGGGGGACCCGTGAGGCTCTCTCTATCTGGGCTGAAATCGTTGCCCAACGACAGCATGAAATCCGAGAAAAGGAAAGTACTGGCTTGTCGGTGCTGCTAGCAGCAACACAAGAAGTCTCAAGAGGGCAACTGGCTCAATGGGATGCCAGCGCTCGGTCTTGGCTCCTATTTGCAGATCAGGCAAACGAGATCAAGGTAAAGCAGACGCAGCTACAGCTTATAATTAAGAATGTGGCGGCTTTGTCTATCAATAGCGCCACCAGTGTCTACGAAAAAGTCATCCATGCGTGGAAGGGCGCCATGACACTGGTCGAAAACCTCATTCAAGGTCGGCCACAGGCGGTACATGATCGCGACGTTCTTGTCGGACTGTCTTCTTGGCACCTTTTCCCAGACCTCATCGTGCTGGGGGACACAGTCACCGAGGTCAAACAAAACGATCCTCTAATTGCAACAAGTGGAATCCTAACATTAGGCTCTGCTGAAACTCACTAGACCCGGTCCTTTATGACTTGATTGAGGTTTGGGCATGGCGATGGCTTTATCTTCTATGTGACGGCATGGGAAAGGGCGAGCATTGCTGTCATAGCGTAGGCATTAGTAATCTATCGACATGCTTTAAGTAACTCTGCAGGATGGAATATTCGGTGTAAGACATAACTTAAGATATTAATGAATACATTTACGACTACTTATTATAAATACTTTAATGCTTTAAGTATATTTAAAAAATAAATTACTTATTAATATAATTATATATATTTACTTAATATTAAATAAAACTTAACTTATCAGTTATTAATAATTAACTTTAAACTTCTTATTTAAAGATATTTAATATTAATTATATAAATTTAAATTACTTAAGCTTTATTATTTATTATATTATAATTTTAGCTAGATTTCAAGTTATTCCTATATATTTAATTACTCTTATAGACCTTTAAATAAATGCCTTTTATCCTTTTATAAAAATGGCTTAGCCTTAGATAATAAGAATAATTATAATTACCTAGCAGGCAGGAGTGTGTATTGGTATTTACTTTAAGGACTAGCTTAAGGCGTATAGCTTGGGTGATAGGATAGAGTTAATTAAGTGTATAATAGCCCTATTACGGTAAAAAGAAACTTGAGAGAGAATGTTGCTCAGCACAGGTGAACAGGTTCATGGCGGAGGTCCATTACATACAAGTATTTAAACAAGCCCTTGGATCCGGTGATAGTGATCTCAAGCCTTAGAGGCCCGGTACCATCTCAGATGCAGCCGGAACTGGAGCATAAGTCGGAAACCCGGGTGGGAGAACTAAGCATGACGTTAAATTGAACTTTTATATAACAAAAATGCAAAATGCTCGAATCCTTGGTCAAGGTTCAACCCAACAGACGCACTCTTCAATGTCACGACGTATGCTTGACAGACAAGGCAGGACCTCTAACTTCCACTTCTGGTAGAGCACAAACATCAAGCCCAACCAAACGCATCTAAATTAATAATTCGTACTGTCCTTAGTTGAGAATCTCCGTGCACACCATACAACCGGAGAAACACCAACAACGGATAATCGGATAACTCGGATCAGGCGGCTATACCGCCTATAACCCCACATGGAACAAAAAGAACAAGTATCCGGCTTCTAGCATCTGTAACAAGCCCAAAATACACAGCATCAATTGAAACTCGCATATCATGGCAGAAACCTCGTCCCGAGTCGGCTTTAAGCGGAAGCGCGTCGCCAAGGCATGTCATAAATGCCGGTCGATGAAATCCAAGGCAAGCTTACCCGCTTTATCTTATCTCTTTCTTATTATTGATGTGTTAGTGTGATGGGAAATGGCCTGAGTGCAGTCGCTGTAAGGGCTATGGATATGATTGTGTCTACACAGCTGGGGGTCGGGCCAAGAGGCGCCAGGACGCTTCTACTGATGATGGCTCGCTGGATAGTGCTGTGCAAGGACATGGAGATCTGCGTGAAGCGATAAGGCAGTACGAGTCGTTGTTGGACATGGTAGTGTCGAAGCTGCCTACGCCACAACATCAGGAAGATGCATCTTCAGTGTTGGCTTGTATGAAAGCCGCTGACAGATCCTTGTCCAACATCGACACAACGACTCTTACGGCAAGGCTGACAACTACCTTGACCGGCTCTGATACTTTTTCTTTCCGTCCGCAGGCCAGTCAGGCCGAGAGATATCTTGGCAAAGTCAGCGACGTCTGCTTCTTCAACCTGGTCAAGCGGGTACTGCAGGCTCAGCCCGGGTCTTTGGACTCTGACCAACGAGTCGACAGCTACGAACAAGTCGACGACATTGCGTCTCCGAGTGTGAATGTCATGCCTGGTAGGGTCGTTGAGCTGCCGAGTCGTGAGGCGGCGAAAGTCTTTGCTGATGTGTACTTTTCCACTGTGCATCTGGCGTTTCCGTTTATTCCGCAGTCGCTGTTTATGAGATCGCTTAATCAGGCCCTGGATTCGTCGGATGACTGCTCTCTGGATAATACCAGACTTGCGCTGATATGTAAGTTATAGTCATCGTTGTGTCGTCATAAGTTCGTTACTGAAGCTATAGTAGATGTCATTTGTGCCATCGGAGCTTATTACACCAGCATACCTGGAGAACAAATCGGAGCAAACAAGTGTCATGAAGTTTACTTCCTCCAGGCGGTCTCTCTAGCTCTACCCGCAGGGGCAGACCGATCCATCCATCATGTGTCTCTGCTCTTGGCTCAATGCTTCTACATGTTAGCAGTCTGTCGAACAGACAGGTAGGTCTCATTCCGATTTCAGTCAATCTATGTGTAGTTAACTAGGCAGCTGTTGGGCAACATTGGGTCAAACCGTCCGTATGGCCCAGAACATTGGGTTACACGTAGAGCAGAATGATCCCCAGAGACTCAAAGGACCCGGTCGTTTACTTGTCGAGCGACGACGGCGGATCTGGTATTGCATATATGTTCTAGATCGCCTGATCTCTTTGCAATTAGGCCGACCTCCAGCGATCCATGAGGATTACTGCCATGTTCCGCTGCCGTCCCGGCTTGGCGACTCAGACATTGATTGGGACGGTGACGAGTTTCCAACCATGTTTGAAGGGCCTTCTGCCGGGGACTACCATCTAGAAGTCATCTCCTTCTCCAAGATCGTCAGCCAGGTCCTGCGAGATCTGTATAGCCCGCGTGCCAGCCAGAACTTAACTAGTGATCTGTTCAATACCAAGGAGCTCGACCTCAAGCTCATACAATGGAAGCAATCGCTGCCAAGAACGTTGCGATTCGACTTGGGACATGCTTTCGACAGGTCCTTCATCTTCAAGCGCCAGGTACGTATCTATCAGTATAAATAATCGATGGTCATCACTAACATACTGAAGTGGAGCATGTTGGCGATCGAGTATCACCATCTACGAGCTCTCATCCACAGACCATACCTCTGCTACCCAATCATGCGGAATCTCGATGACGAGGCCGATATTGCGCTCAGCCAGCCAAACTGGGCCCTTGTCAGCATGTATGAAAAGGTGTGCATCGCCGAGGCTCGCGAGACAGCACGTCTGCTGCACTGCATCTCATGTGAGAAGGATTTGGTGCAGGAATTTCCTTGGTGGCAGATGATCTCATGTTTGATATGCGCAGGATCCATCTTGGTGGTCTCGAGCATTTTTAGTCAGCAGACGGGCGATGCATTGGAAGGATTTGATGCTGCTGGTATTTCTGATGATGCGGAGACTTGCTTGAGAGTATTTGAAGCTTTGAGTGTCAACTCCAAGGGTGCTAGGATTGCGAGAGACATGAAGGAGGGACTAAAAGAGTGCGGTCTGAGATGGAGTATGTGCACGCCTTTCTTTCTTGGATACATCGCTAATATCAGTTCTAGGAGACGCGACGATGGCATCTGAACCACCTTATGCAGCACTACCAACATCAGATACAGCCTTGGAAACTAGAGGACACATTCCAAGTCTGGATGGGCAGGACGCGTCGTTGTCGGAATTTTCTTTTACCACGCCCAGCGCCTGGCCAGCAGAGATTGTCGATTCCATGGCGTGGTCGGTCCAGTTCTTTGGCGCCGTTCAGTCTGGGGAGTAAAGTTGCATTAAGGCGGCTGGAGTAAAGCCCTGGTCACCTCGTTGAGGATCAATAAGCGAGACTAGAATGGGTTGCTACAGGGCGACGGGATACATGTCAAAAGAAACTTATTGAGCAATTGCCTGCAACGCGTAGTGTTATTACGCGTTTTGTGATGACGCGACGCGACTTATCCGGTGGGGACATAGCAAACGCCAATCCGATTAGACAGCTCGAATATGTTA